GCACCCAACGAAGCTATCCACTTGTGCTGGAAGCAGAGTCTGATCAACTCTGTGTACCTGCAGAATTTGGTTTGAACTGTTGAACAAGCTGTCCTGTTGCTGTACTGTTGTCACAATCTGGAATCAATTTTGGTCATTTACGATTAGTTCAGCTGCATCAGAACCTTCCTCTCAGCAAGTCAATTTATTTATTTCTTCACGGCTGCCACAATCTGTATTTTCGCCGAAACCTGTCGCCGACAGTATTTTTGTTTTTTTGGATTTTCTCGCCGAATGTCGCCGATGTATTTGGATAACTTTGTCAAAACCACGTCGCCGATATATTTTTGATGACGATCTTGGACATGGAAATCATTCAGGAGAACTTCTATTATTCGTAGGATGCATCGTTAATTTCTTTGTTATCTAATCTGCATGTTTCAGGATTCAGTTCCTGCCGGATCATATAATGATCCATTCTTGTCTAGTGTGATTCCTATGGTGACTCCGACATGGTGCCATAGGGCCAATTGAGGCAACCCTGTTTAGGGTGAATGTCGACTGAATTGATTTCCGAATTTACAAATTTTAATTTAGTAATTCGTTTAAGTAAAGTGCAACAGCGGGCCTTACTGTTATCCACCGTTTCTTGGAGATTCTCGCTGCTCCGGCTGTCCTTTGTGAACCCTGTGGACTGCATTTCTACTGTGTGAAGCTGTGCCGAACATTCAGAAACCTCTTTTTTCGCAGCAACTTTTGCAGTCACATTGCATCATTCCATGACACAAGAACCAGGCAGGCACACGACTTCCAGGTGTGGTCTCCTTTCTTTTGGTTGTCTGGTGAGGTCTCACATATTGTGCACCTAATTCGCTGGAACTTGAAAGCTGTTTGATGCCAATTGGGGCAAGACTTGACCACAGTCCCGGTGCAGGGAATAATCGCACGACCTTTAGGCAATTAGGAACTGAATCCTGTTGTTTAACTAATTGTTTTGGTTTCATTGTCTGTCACCAACTAGTCCCCCATTTGGTCCCTAATTTTCCCCGCGTGCCTCTCCGTAATGTGTCGTGGGGTTTAGGTGTGTGCGCTGTTTTGGTCAGGTCCGTTTCGCCGTGTAGGTTGGTTCCGGAGGTCCGTCTGTTCCCCTCCCCCCGTGCGCTGTTTTTGGCCGTCTGCCCGTCGTGTGTCCGCTTTTTTCTTCCTCTTGCCTTTCAGGGTTGACCCGGCTCTGGCCGGGTGTGTGTGTGTGTAACATCTAAACAGATGTAAAACTTCTCTCTTTTTCTTCCTTCTGTCCTCTCCCTTTCTAAATAACGCAGGGGGGTGCAGAGCACAGTGGAAACTGCACCCAACGAAGCTATCCACTTGTGCTGGAAGCAGAGTCTGATCAACTCTGTGTACCTGCAGACTTTGGTTTGAACTGTTGAACAAGCTGTCCTGTTGCTGTACTGTTGTCGCAATCTGGAATCAATTTTGGTCATTTACGATTAGTTCAGCTGCATCAGAACCTTCCTCTGAGGCTGCCACAATCTGTATTTTCGCCGAAACCTGTCGCCGACAGTATTTTTGTTTTTTTGGATTTTCTCGCCGAATGTCGCCGATGTATTTGGATAACTTTGTCAAAACCACGTCGCCGATATATTTTTGATGACGATCTTGGACATGGAAATCATTCAGGAGAACTTCTATTATTCGTAGGATGCATCGTTAATTTCTTTGTTATCTAATCTGCATGTTTCAGGATTCAGTTCCTGCCGGATCATATAATGATCCATTCTTGTCTAGTGTGTGAAAGATTGTCTGTGACAAAGTTGTCTGTGACAAAGTTGTCTGTGACAAAGTTGTGTGTGAAAGAACTGCGTGTGACAAAGTTACAAGGCTGTGTGTGACAAAGATGCGTGTGAGAGAGAAGTGGCAGGTGAGAGATATGTGTGTGAAAGATTGTGTGTGACAAAGTTGCGGGTGACAAAGTTGTGTGTGAGAGAGCCACGCAAAACGAAGGTGGATGTCGGCAAGGGCCGCGCTTGCCACGCAAAACAAAGGTCGGTGTCACCAAGCGCCACGCCTGCCATGCAAAGTGCAGCGGCGCCCCGGGCGACTAACGGGCCTAAGCGCGCCACCAGGCCCAGCCCAGTGCCATAAGTGCCACGCCTGCCGCGCAAATGCTGTGTCCATGTCGCCAAGCGCCACGCCTGCCACAGGTGGATGTCGCCAAGCGCCCTGCCTGTTATGGAAAGTGCCGCGGCGCCACGGGCGACCAACGGCGCCCCAGCGCGCCACCAGAGCCTGCGCCTGCCAGGCAAATGCTACGTCCATGTTGCCAAGCGCCACGCCTGCCACGGTGCCGCGGCGCCAGAGCGACCAACGGCGACGGCGCCCAAGCGCGCCACCAGAGCCAGCCCGGTGCATAAGCGCCACGCCTGCCACGCGAATGCTGCGTACATATTGCCAAGCGCCACGCCTGCCACGCAAAGTGCAGGTGGATGTCGCCAAGTGCCACGCCTGCCACGCAAAGTGCCGCGGTGCCACGGGCGACCAACGGCGCCCAAGCGGGCCACCAGAGCCAGCCCAGCGCCATAAGCGCCACGCCTGCCACGCAAAACGGGCGTTGATGTCAGCAAGTGCCACGCCTGCCTCGCAAAACGAAAAGTCGATGTCAGCAAGCGCCACGCCTGCCACGCAAATGGAACATCGATGCCGACAAGTGCCAAAGTTGTGTGTGACAAAGTTGGTGTGAAAGATTATGTGGCAAAGCTGTGTGTGTGTGACAAAGTTGTGTGTGAAAGATGCGTGAAAGATGTGTGAAAGATTGTGTGTGTGTGTGCGTGACAAAGTTGTGTGTGTGTGTGACAAAGTTGTGTGTGAAAGATGGTGTGGGACAAAGTTGTGTGTGACAAAGTTGTGTGTGTGTGTGACAAAGCTGTGTGTGTGTGCGGCAAAGTTGTGTGTGAAGATGGTGTGTGACAAAGTTGTGTGTGAAAGATGGTGTGTGACAAAGTTGTGTGTGACAAAGGTGTGTGTGAAAGATGGTGTGGGTCAAAGTTGTGTGTGACAAAGCTGTGTGTGTGAAAGATTGTGTGTGTGACAAAGTTGTGTGTGTGTGCGTGTGACAGGGAGGCGGCGGAGAGGGAGGAGGAGGAGGAGGAGGACGACGAGGAGCGGGATACAGAATCAAAAACAAGAACCCCACACAAAGATGTGGGGAACAACTCATGACATCATGTTCGTCAAAACCAAAACATGGTATATGGAGTATGGTCATCCATGCCACAATGGGAATCTGTCTATTGGGTATGTAACAAAATCAAATCTCAATTAACGCATTGATGACTATCCCCGACCACGGCTTACCAGACCAAGACTGACCAAAACCGGCCAAAACGGACCAAAACCGACACCCAAAAAGATCCTGACAGTTCCGGACGGTTCCTGATCCCGGCCTGAAGAGCTGCTGGCGCGGTGCCCTTGCGCGCCACCGAGAAGTCCAGCGGTGCCCATTTGACCAGCAGAGCAACAAGAAAACCAACAAAAACAACTCGGGCAACTCGGACAACCCGGCTGGAGCGAGACATGGTGGCGGAACTGCAAAAGCGATTGCAACTTCAGAAGCGGAACCCCTTGGAGCCAAAAAGAAACGCCGCGTTGCACAGAATCTCCTAATGGCTCCCAATGTCTTCTGTACGGTTCTGGCTTTCTTGCCACGAAGTTGAAGAAATGCCGAACGGGCACTGGAGCTACCAGCTTCTGTTTCTATCAAGATTCCGAGTGGCGAAGGGGGCTACAGTCCACTACAGCGACGAGCATTCACACAGAATTCACACTTTATCAGACGCGCTGTGTCTTGCCGCAGGAAAATTGCTGTCCCTGTACACGCTGCAGGCAGAATTGGCCCCAGTCAGGAGCACAGTTTTCTTGGCTTGCAATCCCTGGAAGCGTGTGGCCCAAGTCCCGTTATCTATACAGAGCCTCCAAAGCGGCGTCATCAACCCAAGACACCTGGTTGTTCCCCACCTGCCGGCGAGGGTCTCTATTTTTTAACACAGGTGCAACTCCCTCCCTGCCTCCCTTCCTGCCTGCCTGCCTGCCTGTTTGGCTGTCTGTCTGTCTGTCTGTCTGCGTGCCTGCCTCCCTGCCTGCCTCCCTGCCTGCCTCCCTCCCTGCCTGCCTGCCTGTTCCTTCCTTCCTTCCTGCCTGTTCCTTCCTTCCTTCCTGTCTGTTCCTTCCTTCCTGCCTGTTCCTTCCTTCCTGCCTGTTCCTTCCTTCCTGCCTGTTCCTTCCTTCCCCTTCCTTCCCGTTCCTTCCTTCCCCTTCCTTCCCGTTCCTTCCTTCCCGTTCCTTCCTTCCCGTTCCTTCCTTCCCGTTCCTTCCTTCCCGTTCCTTCCTTCCTCTGTCTTCCTCTTCCTTCCTCTTCCTTCCTCTTCCTTCCTCTTCCTTCCTCTTCCTTCCTCTTCCTTCCTCTTCCTTCCTCTTCCTTCCTCTTCCTTCCTCTTCCTTCTTCTTCCTTCCTCTTCCTTCCTCTTCCTTCCTCTTCCTTCCTCTTCCTTCCTCTTCCTTCCTCTTCCTTCCTCTTCCTTCCTCTTCCTTCCTCTTCCTTCCTTTTCCTTCCTCTTCCTTCCTCTTCCTTCCTCTTCCTTCCTCTTCCTTCCTCTTCCTTCCTCTTCCTTCCTCTTCCTTCCTCTTCCTTCCTCTTCCTTCCTCTTCCTTCCTCTTCCTTCCTCTTCCTTCCTCTTCCTTCCTCTTCCTTCCTTCCTCTTCCTTCCTTCCGTCCGTCCGTCCTTCCCTTCCCTTCCCTTCCCTTCCCTTCCTTTCCTTTCCTTTCCTTTCCTTTCCTTTCCTTTCCCTCCTTCTTTCAATCCTTCCGTCCGTCCGCCCTCCCTCCCGCCCGCCCGTCCTTCCTCCCTTCCTTCCCTTTCCTTCCGTTCCTTCCCGTTCCTTCCGTTCCTTCCTGTTCCTTTTCGTTCCTTCCCGTTCCTCCTGTTCCTTCCCGTTCCTTCCCATTCCTTCCCGTTCCTTCCGGTTCCTTCCTTCCTTTTCCTTTTCCTTTTCCTTTTCTTTTCCTTTTCCTTTCCTTTCCTGTCCTGTCCTGTCCTTTCCTTTCTTCCTTCCTTTTCCTTTTCCTTTTCCTTTTCTTTTCCTTTTCCTTTCCTTTCCTTTCCTTTCCTTTCCTGTCCTGTCCTGTCCTTTCCTTCCTTCGTTCCTTCCTTCACTCGCTGCCATCACTCCCGTCATCTCCCGTCTTCTTTCTGCCCTGTGGAGTGAGCGCCACCACTCCAGATGGTGTAGGGCACAAGACGATATTGCCAGCTCCGGATGCTGCGGGGCACGCCTGGACCCAAATGCCAGAAAGAATGCCACACAGAATGTCAGAATAGATGCTAGATATAATGCCCGAAAAAATGATGGAAATAGAAACACAATAGAATGCCAGAAAGTATGTCAGAATAGATGTCAGATAGAGTGCCAGAAAGAATGCCAGAAAGAATATCAGATAGAATGCGACGGTGGGGATCACTCGAAGCGAAGTGATTTACATTGCTTTTCCAAGGTTTTACCCATGACATCGACCGGCAATCTGAGATTCGCACCATGCCGCACCATCCCGTGCTGCCGGACCGGCCTTCAATTTCCCGAGAGTCGCGCGAGTCACGCGAGTCACGCCCTCTTCGGGCAACCCCAATGGTGTGGAGCACCTGGTGTCTCCTTAATTATGGCCGCAAGGCTGGGAGGCCCTCCTGGAACATTGGCCACAAAACGATCATTTCGCATGTCGCATCATTTCGCGATCTGTTCAAGGTGCGTTCCGCGATCTGCTACAACGCATACAGGCTTAGACGCCTGGGGAAGTTGCCAAAGCTCTCATTCCTCGTTTTCTTGACGCTCAAGGACATATCTGGCAAAGGCTGCCAATTTGCCGCCGTGGTCATTGTCTGCTTCCCTGCAGATCAATCAAAAATGATGGAAACACATCGGGAAACGTCATACAAACTGATGCAAAGAGAGGCTTTACATATCGATGTACTGTTTTCCTGTGGCATCACAGTTCTCATGTTTTGTTCCCTGGATATTCTCATCCTGAAGCATAATTTTCCGCTCCTCTTCTTTATTGCTCTATATCCAACATGTGTACCTGCTGATATCAACGAACATTTTAGTGCCCAGCAGCTTAAACTTTGACATGACCCAAGCTGTATAGTCCTCGGGTTCGGGCTGAGTTGAGAAAGAAAGTCGCCGACTGAATCAAGTGATAGGCCAATTGGGGGTGAAATTTTGAATCAGAATCAAGGAAGTGAATCCATGTAGAACCACTTGCAAAACCCACATCCTTGAGAGCTCAATCTGCTTATAACAGAAGATTCTTTCTCCAGCGAAAGTGTTAAGGGACTGTACTAATGGTCTTTGCTAAGGAAAAGAGGGCAAAGTCACTCTGTGTGGCAACTGAGTGGCTTGTTCGTTTTCGTAGACCCACTCCATCGTTTCGCTCCTGTGCTTCCCAAAGCCCATGAGTCTTCCCTCATTGATCTCAGGATTGTTTTCCTGGATCCACTCTGCCGCAATCTTCAACTTTTCGGTGCAATCATCAGGAGCAGAATTGTATGTATCCACTATCCATCTGCAATAGTCTGGATCCTGCCACATCAATCCGAAATCATCCAAAGTTCAATTTGAAATCACAAGGCTTTTGGGTTTCAAAATGAAATCTTACGGATGTGTGCAAAATCTGTTCAGTTGTCAACCGAATTTAAAATTTGGCTGAGAATGCTTCAGAAGGTGGGGAAAACTTGAAAAGTAAAGATGTCAGCGGTATTGGAAACCCAAAACGGACGAGAATAACAGCTACTGTAGAATTGAGAACAGCATTGGTGCTGCCTTTAAGCCATTAGTTTCATTGTGCTGCAGAAGTTGCAATGCGAAAATAAAGTTTGCAAACAAATAGCACTTACGTCTCTTCCAGTCTGACCCGCATTAATTCCAAGACCGTTGTCTTGTGCATCTTTCGGATGTTTCACAACACCACTTCACAAATAATTCCACTACTGAATTTTCAGAAGTTGTTTCCGCTCTGCTCTTGCCAATCTGACCTAATCTGTCTGCTTGTCCAGGGCCTCGTTCACCACATCCAGAATCGTTTTCTCGCGGTACTTTCCAAAGCCCAACTCTGGCGCGGCCTCACACAGAAGCCCACAGAAGTGGCGTGAACCTTCAGTTTTTGTTGAGCCATCCAAATGAAAAAACAACTCATGACATCATGTTCGTCAAAACCAAAACCTGATATATGGAGTACGGTCATCCATCCCACAACGGGAATCTGTCTAATGGGTATGTAACAAAATCAAGACTGACCAAAACCGGCCAAAACGGACCAAAACCGACACCCAAAAAGATCCTGACAGTTCCGGACGGTTCCTGATCCCGGCCTGAAGAGCTGCTGGTGCGGTGCCCTTGCGCGCCACCGAGAAGTCCAGCGGTGCCCATTTGACCAGCAGAGCAACAAGAAAACCAACAAAAACAACTCGGGCAACTCGGCCAACTCGGCTGGAGCGAGACATGATGGCGGAACTGCAAAAGCGATTGCAACTTCAGAAGCGGAACCCCTTGGAGCCAAAAAGAAACGCCGCGTTGCACAGAATCTCCTAATGGCTCCCAATGTCTTCTGTACGGTTCTGGCTTTCTTGCCACGAAGTTGAAGAAATGCCGAACGGGCACTGGAGCTACCAGCTTCTGTTTCTATCAAGATTCCGAGTGGCGAAGGGGGCTACAGTCCACTACAGCGACGAGCATTCACACAGAATTCACACTTTATCAGACGCGCTGTGTCTTGCCGCAGGAAAATTGCTGTCCCTGTACAGGCTGCAGGCAGAATTGGCCCCAGTCAGGAGCACAGTTTTCTTGGCTTGCAATCCAAGCGTGTGGCCCAAGTCCAGTTCTCTATACAGAGCCTCCAAAGCGGCATCGTCAACCCACAAGACACCTGGTTGTTTACATGGTTTTTACAAGGTTTTACCCTATGACATGGACCGCTTGTTTGCGCAACAGCTTGCAGCAGCTCTTGAATTGATGGAGTTGGCACAGTGTCACGTGGGATTGAGCTAAGTAAGTTTCTAACCATCTCACGCATCTGCCATGAGGTCTTGGGCCTCCTGTGCGCACAACACGACAGTCGCTTAAAATCACCAACCATATATGTTGAAAAAAATTGAACAATCCAACCTGATCAAATCCGTCAAATCATGACCATCGAATTGGCATGAACATGTCATGAACGTGTGAAACTTGCCAACCTGACATAACCTGACAAGAAACATGGAACCTTGGCAGCCTTGGCATTTGGCATCCGGACACGAGGTGGCCAGACAAGGTCCAAACTCAAGGCTCCTCCAAGCCACTGATGTCAAGCTCCACACCCAAAGGTCGCAAACCACAGTAGCCCCGAGCATTTGGCTTCGCGTCATACTGCTGGTGATAGTTCTGGCAAACCAAAACATGCTGTGCACGAGTCTACAGCATTTAGAAATATGCACCAACATGCAATCTATGTTCAAGGATGTTCAAGGTATATAAGGTATATATATGCAATGATTCTTGTCAAGTTGCAAGGCGGCTCCGATTCTTTGGGTCAACTTGGTGAGTTCATGGAGCAAAACATGTTTCTAACGGATTCTAACGGTGTCATGTTCAAACGCCACAGGCGCTGTATGTCTTGCCTCAGCATAGTAAAAGGTGGGCGCAGGGAGGATCTCAGTGGAGATGCTTCCTCGGTGAAATTGTCCATGAAAGTCACAACCCGTACCTCAACTCCTCAACTCTCATTTGTATATCTATATTTATCTATACCAGTAGTACCGCACAAGGCGGCGGCGGAAGTTTCAAAAATAGGAAACCTATAGGAGAGCTTGGTTGTTGTGAATCCGGGATGGCAGAGCGAAGCCACTGATGGACTGAAGGGTGCTTGATCTCTCTCACTCTTTCTCTCTCTTTCTCTGACTATCTACCTACCTACCTATCTATTTTCTTTTCATCTTCTTCTCCTTCTTTTCTTTCTCTCTCTTTCTCTGACTATCTACCTACCTACCTATCTATTTTCTATGTATCTATCTATCTATCGATCTTTCTAGTGTAGTGCAATGTAGTGTAGTGTAATTTAGTGTAGCGGTGTGTAGCGGAGTGTAGTGGAGTGTAGTTGTGTAGTTCTGTAGTTGTAGTTGTAGTGTTGTGGAGTGTAGTGTAGTGTAATGTACTGTAGTGTGTGGAGTGTATAGTGTAGTGTAATGACCCGAAGCGAAGCGAAGCGACATCTGAACCTCCAAAAGTGGTCCGAACCCCTAGTGTTTTGTACATTTTGACTTCGAAATGTGCTTCGCGCCACAACGGCGTGCACTTTTTCGAGATCTGAACCTCTAAAAGTGGCGCGAACATGTGGTGCTTTGTACATTTTGACTTCGAAATGTGCTTTGCGCCACAACGGCGTGCACTTTTTCGACATCTCAACTTCCAAAAGTGGTCCGAGAATGGTGTGTTTTGTACATTTTGACTTCGAAATGTGCTTCGCGCCACAACGGCGTGCACTTTTTCGACATCTCAACTTCCAAAAGTGGTCCGAGAATGGTGTGCTTTGTACATTTTGACTTCGAAATGTGCTTCTCGCCACAACGGCGTGCACTTTTTCGACATCTCAACTTCCAAAAGTGGTCCGACCATGGTGTGTTTTGTACATTTTGACTTCGAAATGTGCTTCGCGCCACAACGGCGTGCAATTTTTCATCTCTCATCTGGCCAGCTGGCTCCGCACCCGCCGCTTTAGCGAGCCTACTTTTCGACCCTCCGGAGCCCCAAATCATTGGGAAAACACAGTGTTTCGCGACTTTCCTACCTTTTCGCGCATCTGCATCTTTCTCTTCTACTCTTCTTTCTTCTGATCTTTCTCTTCTCTCTGCCTCTTCCCTGCTCTGCTTTTCATCTGTCCATATTGTCGGAAGTTTAACTTCTAAACTTCCTTCGATTAGTCTATATTTATCTCTTCATCTCAGAGTTACCAGGTGCCCTTATCGTTATTCGAAACTTTCTGGAAAGAGTTCAGCAAAAGCCAAACAATCCAAACAGCATTCTGACTAATCTATGAATATCTGAGACACAAAGAAGAAGTTGTTCGTGTTAGACTTTCCCGCGCTTGTCAATTTTGACCGTTTCGACCAACAGCTTCCATACAGCTTCCACACAGCTTCTCCACACATTTCCAATCGCCAGGTGTCGTCCTCAGGATGCGGGACCAATGACTTTGGCATAGCGCTCCTGAGGGGAAAACACGGAGGCATGAACACTTTTTTTAATATATAAATTTTTAATAGGTGTCACATGTTGTCACATGTTGTCCCTACAAGCAATATGTGATATGCGTATTTATTTATTTGTCAGAGATATCAGATATCTTACACCTTTGTACGCTTATGACCATGCTCGTGCTGCGTTGCTGTCGATTGAAAGCCATGAATCAAGGGCTGTGCTTTCACTGTGCTTTGCCCATGTCAACTGAAAGCAACTGGTGTCCTTGGTGGCCTCTGCCAATTCCCGTTGCCTCTCGGTGTAGTAATAGATGCCTGTGCCACTGTCAGTGTCGGAGCTGCCAGAGCTTGTGTTGAGTTGCGTTGACATGCTACAACTATTACTAGTGTGAAAAGATGTGAAAAGCATGAGTTGACATGAAGTGGACATGTAATCGTGTGAAATCATGGGAAATGTAAAGTAGGTAAATGAAAATGTAGACACGATGGACGCGATGGACACTGGTCTTGGTCTTCCATGGGTTCCGAGAAATAGCTCTGATCAAACCTGAGCGATACTGGGTGCCGAAGTCGTTGCCCTGCTGGTTCAGCGTGGTTGGGTCCTGAGAACGACAACAAAACAAGAACTGGATGAACAGGATGAACAGGATGAACAGCACTTGACTAGCACGTGACAAGAATATGACGAAGACAGTATTCAACGGAGGGACTTGAAATCAACAATCCCGTTTTCTCAGGCATGCAGACTGTCTGGATGGCAGCAAGGGTCTGCAAAAGCAAAGGAGAGCAGTTCAATTGTTGAAACAAACCATTTTGCAAGCGGGGGAGCCCTAAAAACGCGGACAACATGTTCGTTTTGCCCTGAGCAGTTTGTCCTGAGAGCGCATTCAGGGAGTGTCTGTGAAGCGTGCGGGGCAGGTTAGAAAGAAGTCACAGAGACATTTTCTTGACGAATCTTCGCGATTCGAGGAATATACTTTTTTGTTACGCGTGTTGGTTCTCCGGAGCATCGACATTTGGAGCATGTCGGACTGAGTGCTTCGTGTCATGGCCTTCCAACATCTGGGGGCTTCCAAAAGGATATTATGCAGCTTCGGGGGTCGGAAACAGCTTGCAGCTGAGGACATTGCATGTTTCTCCCAGAAGTACTTCAGCAACTGCGAGTATGACACCTTCTCCGGATCGTAAATGACCTGGGAAAAAATGTGTGACATAGCTGGGACTCAACCACCTGGTAAATTTCTCTCAAAGCACACGACGTGACAGGCAGTCATGAGATGAATGCCATTGAGTTACTCAACAGTTGTGTATGCTATGTATGCTTTGGAAAAAGAGGAATCACAGCAGGTTGCCCCTGACTGTCTTGACCTGGCAACATTACAGAATGCAAAGCTTTGACAATCTCGGGCTAACCATGGGCTACCCCATGGGCTACCTGACTCGCACCACTTCGTTGTGTTTGGTGGCCCCCGTGCACACGTCTTGGTAGCTGGGGTTCTCAATGTCGCCACCGGCGTATCCCACCTTGAGCAAATCTGAGCAACATCTAACAGAATCTAACATCACACTCATCACACGGTCCTTGGACAAATCTTGAGGATTTCACGGGCATGGTCTCTATGGATCTCTATCGTCTCTTGTCTCTATCACATGCAAAGTGAATTTGATCCCGTCCTTGAAAATGTCTGGTTCTTAGGGTTGTCAACCCTGCCATTTTCAACTCCAAACAAATTCCCTTGATATCTGCACCTGAGTGGAGTAAACACCAGGAACTCTCATGAAAATATTCTCTGAACCTTGGGGCGTTGGGCAGAGTTGGACAGAGTCGGGCAGAGTCTGGAGCGGGACACTTCGGCGAATTGGTAATCGGAGGGCTGCCGAGCTCGACATGTGTGAAGGACTGAAGGATGTGATATGTTCGGATGAAATTGTCCTTCAACAGCAAAATCATATGCAAAATCTGCAAACATGTTTAACGAAAAAATATATATTGACCAAATTCTTGCAGCATTTGCAAATGCAGAATTCGAATCCTCTGTTTTTCATGTTATGGCTCCGACACCAAAAGCAGCCCATGCCAAACATAGCCTCCTGCACCCACGTTATCTCATGTTTATCGATTAAAAATGATTCAAAGCTGTACCAAGCGAATATGAAAGCAATTCAAACATTGGGAAAGGTCAGGAAAACGTACAGGTCCTGCATGCCAGCAGGCCATGGAGGGTACATGGCACCATTCGTCAAGTAGTGTTTTGCATTCTCCTGGCTGATCTCAACGAAACTGAGCTGAAAGATGCTGAAAGATGCTGAAAGATGCTGAAAGTTCAATTATGTTGAAAGCAACGATTCAAACTAGGGTCCACAAAGTTGAATAGCTCAAGATCAAGTTAGACATAGTCAGACCAACAAAGACTGTCCGAGACATTGTATCCAGGAGACATTGCAAGCGTTGCAATACTTCTCAACAAGCTGCGATGCCCCACGAAACACTCTGTCCGAAGGAGCGTCTCGGATTGGCGTCGGAGAGCCAGTGGGTGTGCCAAAGAGACCTGACATCTGGCGGAAACTAAGGTGTAAAACTGGTTGAATCAGTCTTGGAATGGATGCGTGTGCGGATTGCGGCTGAAAGTTGCGAAAGTTGCAGTGCTCAACCTAGATTCTCTGGCCTGATGTACAAAGAGCAACATAGAACAACGTAACAACATCTAAATAATCTAATAGCTTCTAGATTCATCCGGATTCCAGATGATTCCAGATGCAAGTGTCAGTTCAAGTTCAGCCGAGAGACTACCAAAGAAGGCACGAGCTGTTCTGGAGTCTCGGGTCTGTGACGGAGCGCCAACAAAACTCCTGTTTTGAAGAAACTGAATTCGAATTTCCGCCCCCAATCTAACCCTTGTTGAAGCTGGTGCTGGTCATAGCTGTAGCTCGTACTTTGGCTCTGTTGAATTCTCCCCACGATACATTCGGCTGCGGGCAAGAAAGCACTTTGGATACTGAATGGATACTGTATGTTGCACAAATTGCATGCTACTGCGCTCTTCAACAAAGAAACCGGTGTGATATGAGCGAGTTCAACTTTATCAGCACGATCCATCCCTGTGGCCAAGTCCTTGCCTTCAACCATGTTTTTTTGATGGTGGCATCACGTCTCTAAAATTTAGGTTGACAGAGCAGCTTTATTTCCCGCTGTTTCGTCTATGTTTTCACGGGGCTACATCGCAGCTTCTCTGCAATACGCTGGTTTGGTTTACTTCATGTTACTTACAGAATCTTCCATACACAGCTGTGTCGCCTGACCTCGTCCTTCCAGCGTCACCAAGTCATTAGACTCTCCATGTTGGCCGTCTGAATAAGCAGCCTTTGGAATCCACACTTAGTAAAGGTACTAAGGTAATCTAAAGTAACTGTCGAAAAAAATGTATCTTTTCTTTGCTCCTTTGCATCCACACTTTTTCCAATTTTTCCCACTCCTCGAGAGCAGCGCCGTGGTCGCCAGGGTGAGAAGCACGGCACCTGTCAAGAGGAACTCATTCCCATCAAACAAAGCAAATCAAAGCAGTTTCAATGTCCAAAAAAAGGCATGCCATGGTTTCAACAGCCCAGTCCTCTCTTTCGTGGCATTCGTGGCATGTCTTTCATGCCCATGTTGGCCGCCAAAGTTTGCCCTGGAGCATGTGCAGGTGCACGTGCTCACACTCGGCAGAAAATCTGCCAGAATTCAGACACAAAGGCCTTCCTTCTGAAACAACGTGACGGAAGAAATGAACAAGGCCACACCGTGAAACACGACGATCTTCACAATCTAAGATTCAACGATATCTTGAAAGCACTTCGTCAGCAAGGGTAGGCGGTGCAACGCCACAAGCCTGTCACGGCTGTCCGGGCTTTGTGTTGGAAGTTCGAGCCAAAGCTACAGCAAGTCTCTCAAGTTATCTGAGCATTGCTTTCCACCTGTGCTGTTGCGGGTAGTCTCAGCCACTCTCCAAATTCACATTGGCAGAAAGTGCAGTAACTGTAGTACTCGTCAAGATCGTTTGAATCACAGACTTTCACCATGCCACTGGAGAATGGTATAATACGGTAATATACGGTATATATAACACCAAAGAGACCTGTTCTAGGTGTGAAGCAACGGGACCATTAGGGACCATTGCCCATTTGATCTGCAGCATTCTGCAGCTATGATGTGAAAAGATGTGAAAAGCACGTATCTCTGCTGAAGCCATTGAAGCCATTACTGGTTTGGTGTTCCAGTGGTCCCAGAAAGAGCACCAACAGAGAGCATCTAGACACATGACTCATTGTATAGACACAGCTTCCGCATCACATCAGCCCATACCAATACATTGAGACCCTCTTGACTTGGGACTCCATGAAATGGGCACTCTGATGCTGCCAGTGCTTCCAGGGCCCTGAAAAAACACGGTCAGTTTCTCCTTTTGACAGCTCTTGGAGGCCCCTTTTCGGCCCCTTTCGGCCCCTTCAGCCACTTAAGCCCTTTGAACTGGATCACACCAAGTCACACCACTGTCGCCTAAGTCAACACGCTAAGAGGCAAAGCGGCAAAGTGACATCACAAGCAATTCACTCTCACCTGGTACATACATCAAAACCGAACGTATTCAGAAAGCATATGAAAGCGTGACAAATGTCTTTTCCTGGGGGCCTAGCTGACTTTGGGCCATCTGCTGCTGCTGATGCAATGTGAATGTGATATCCTTCTGGTCCTGGAATCTTGATCAAACATGTTCAAACATGTTCAAACATGTTCAAACATGTTCAAACATGTTCAAACATGTTCAAACATGTTCAAACATGTTCAAATACGTCATCCGCCCTACATCAATTTCTCAAGTTCGCCAGGGACCAGCCGAGAGGAAGCTTCCAAAGGAATGAGTAGATTGATCGATTGATCGTTGTGCATATTTTGCGAATGGTTCAAAAGGCGTTGATTAGGGTAAGTTCGGTGAAACATCGCAGGTGCGGTTGAACGGGTGCTTGCTCAATATGATGATTGAGAGTGAGTTAAGAGAATCAATAAAGGAGATGTGATTAAGCGAGGTGAGTGAATACTCAGTGCATGAACTATGGACTGTGAATCATGGAGGGGATGATTGGGTGGACAAATGGCTGACGACTTGGCAAGTTGAGCAAAGGACACCGCACACTCAAGCCAAAAGCCCTTTGGATTCGCATCTTTGTACACCAGGAATCCGTAGGAATCCTTCAGACCAGGAAGACCACTCTGACAGAGAAACATAGAAAAACCTTTCACGTGAGTCACATGAGATCTGTGACCATCTGTGACCTTAGCCTGGGCCTAAAAAATGCGACTGGGCGCACAGGACAGCAAGGCACACGACACAACAACCAAGACACATTCGAAACACGTTTGATGTTCAAAGTTTCGAAACGACAATCAGAGAAAGGGCAATGAGGGGGCCAAAGCGGTCTGGCACCAGGACCGTGCATTGAGAACAGGACCGCAAACAACAGTGCCCAACCCGTGAAGAAACACTGGTATCTGAGTCAGTGAGTGTCGTTGAGTGAAGGCGTTGTCCGAAACTCGGCGAAACTCGGAAGTTTCACTTCTTCACTCCTTTGACCAAGCATGCTGTATGCATATTCAACTCATTGCAAGCAGAGCGTTCGCTGCTCTGAAATGGTCAAACCTGTTCCAGTCCCTAACCCCAAAGGATTAATAGCGGCACGCTACAACCGTAGCCTGAACAGATTTGAGATATTTTGAGTTTTGAGATGTTCTTCCAAAGCTCCATGTCTTCCTGACGAAAGAAACAAGACTGAGAACCACATTGTCAAAAGGAAACTCCTTCTACAAAATTGCCAAGCTGGTTTCGACTGCACTATGCTGCGAAACACAACAAGAGGCACAGAACCTGTTAGCATGTCATCGACGAAGCGGAAGTACCTGCATGCAAATCAGACAGTGCCAGCATTCACATCGAGTCCAGAGAGCACACCCAAAACTAATTTTTTGAGAGGATCCAACAAGCCCCGAGGAAGGCTTTGCGGCTTCATGAAGAAACAAATTGAAACATATAGAAACATATTGAAGCACATAGAAGCATATAGAAACATATTGAAACGCACTCACGAGAAGATGGGACTTCCGGAACTTCATCTGTGCTCAAAGGAATGTCTCGACGGAAGGTGTGTTTCCCCGCCGTTAACATAATGCATGTGCTGTATATGTATGTGTATATATATATACGCTGTATAAGATTAGCTCAGGGGCTCTGATGGAGGTGATGAATTCATGAGTCGTCCTTCCTTTATCTTCCTTCATCTTCCTTCCATGCTTCCCTTGTCTTCCCATTCTTTTTCCCATGCTTTCCTGTATGCGTTGACATCCTTTTCCTCTTGTCTTTCCGTTTCCTTCCTTTTCCTGCATTTCCTTCTGTCCTTCTGTCTTCTCCTAGTTTCAGGATGACATGTATATGTTGTTTTGAAAACATTCAAACATAAAGCAAAATATGAGCTCCACAAAAATGTTGTTTCTTGATTTTTCTTGTTGCTTCTTATCCGTTACCCGTTCTCATCTGCAGTGAAGCGCACCCTTTGTCGCCCCATTCGTCTCCCCATGTGTTCCGCAAATGCCAACACCTGAGAGAGAGCGTCGAAAACATCCAGAGCAATGGCGAGCGAGAAATAGTGAGAATTCGTGAGAATCGGTGAGAATTCCGAAGGGAATGAGGTGATTGAAGTCAAATTGAAGTCTATACGGACAGCGTGATAGCATGCGTTGGGAAGTTTTTCGAGTCAGGCATTTAATTTGATCTGCTTTTCAGTTCAATCCGACCATGTGCTTTAGATATCTTTAGATATTTTTAGATCAACTTCAACGAAGTTTTGTTCGTTCCAACTGTTCCAGCTTATGGCGCGTCATATCCTGGAGACTAAAATGCTTGTCAAAAAATCCTGTGAAACTGTAAAGACTCAACTCTTCGGAGATTTCTTGATTTGTTTAATTTATGCTGTCTTTGATTTCCTGCGTAGCTGCCATCTTGGAAGGTGACTCACCACGGTTCGTCTGGCTCGTAGCACTGCTCTTTTGCCTGGAGGCGCAGAGACTGCCACAGTGAAGGGGCTCAAACCAGGATAGTTAGGGTGTTCATTGTTCAATTCTACTCAAAGTGAATGCAGATCGATGTATTTTGATGAAACAAATGACATTGGACTGAGTGAGACGACGAAGTGACAACAATGTCACAGACAATGTCGACGACAGGAAGCAGCACGGTGCCTGATTTGGTCGCCATCCCCTGGGATGCGAATCTTGTCCTGGTGGGACTTTCGATCAGAGCGTTTTTTCACGAAGTTTCAGAGCTAAAAGAAGCATGGGAAATATTACTAAAATCAATTAAATAAATGAAAAATATTGGAAATGTCATGAAGTGTCATGAAATGTCTTTGCGAATCAGCTGAAAAAAGCTTTGCAATGCATCCAATTCCACGGTTCTTCCTTTCCAGAGCCGAGCACACGTCTTTTCCGTTCTGTACTGATCGATCTGTAATGCTTTGGATTCCCGGCTCCCCACTTTGGGGAGAACCGGAGAACACAGGCCCGACCACATCCAAAGCAAGGCCCAGGATGCAGTCTGATGCAAAGGCAGTCACATGTCGGATGCAGTTACCAGATGTTGCCAGAAAACAAAATGCAATGAAACGCAATGGAAATACAATGGAAACGCAATGGAAATGCGTTGCAAGTTGGACTGATACCTGTCTGATCCATGAGACGCGTCGCTAGCAGACACACCGCATCGGTTGTTGCACTTCTGACCTTCTACCAACATAAGAGAGAGCCTGAAAAGCTGCTTATAAACCTGATAAGTTCACTGATACTGGGTTTTGCGAGAAACAACTTGGTTGCACAATTTGCTATGCGGATGGCGTCTGGTGAGACTCGGTAGGGGCACAGGAAGCGGAAAGAAGGTCGAGTCTTGACCTGTGTGAAGAGATGTTTAAAGATGTTTAAAGAGCATTCTACGTCTTCTACCAAGACAACAATTGCGGCTCCCAAAGGATTTGTGCTCCGATGTTTCAATTACACAGCTTGCTAAGGCTTGCTATGAACAGTTTTTCTTTCAAAGAGTTTAGAGCATGTTTCTCCACACTGTTTGCAATTCTACTCTGGCGGGTGAGGCAATTTCGTCTAGCCGCTAGCATTCTACACACTTGGAAATGCCTTGAGCCGTGCATCTACGACATCATCTCACGTCATTCTCGTGAACTTCGCGAACCTCTGGAAGATCGTGGAAGCACCCTTTGATTCTAGCCAGGCAGTGACATCTCAAACCCAAACATCCCAAAATCTCGGGGTGAAACGTCCTGAAATCCTGTCAACAAAGGACGTTTGCATACGATGTTGAAACGTTTGCTCAAAACATACCAGGCTCAAAGCATCAGACGCTCTCTAGCAAGAGCTCGCAGCTTTCAGCTGAGAATCATTGAGTTTTTGGTCCAAATTTCCGGATCCGACGCTAAAATGCATAGACATGCATAGACTGCATAGGTTGCATAGAGTACCATGGTGTCCATCAGAAATCACAAGAAAGCATAGCAGCATAGGAACATGATCACAAACTGTGATGTAATTCAAATGACTCAAATGACCTCGAAACTTTGCAGTCCTACAGACCCCAACTAGGCCCAACTGTGGTGATTGTCTCTGTTGTTTTGAAGGCTTATGTAGTCGATCTTGGAGGATCTTGGAGGATCTTGGAGGATCTTGGAGACAAAGTCTGAAGCATCACAATCTGGGAAGATCTGGGAAGCTTTGACTGAATTCTCAGCTGTTCGTTGATAGAATCTGTTCCTACCTTTTGCCTACAATCTCCGACATGGTTTGGGCCAAAAACGAGCTTGGCCGTATGAGTGGCCAACTGATTAAAGTAACACGGCTTGGCAGCTTGGCTTCAACAGCAAGCCGAGTCCAGTCGGAGAATGACGAAGGCATACGAAGACTCTATTGGATTCTATTGCTTTGTTGTGTTTTCTTTGGTTCTCTATGTTCTCTATGTTCTCTATGTTCTCTATGTTCTCTATGTTCTCTTGCTTTGAAATGCATTTTTTTCCGTTTAACAATGTAAATTTCCTCAACGTCGCGACTGTTCTTCAAAAGCTTTGGGGGGTCGTGTTCAAACCTTTGTCCCGAAAGGCTCCAGGTTCTGAAAGCCAAGCCAGAGATCAAGTCAGAACCTGGATTCAAATTTCTGGTATCAACATGCCAAAAGTTTGGGAATGCCAAAAGTTGCAACATGCCAAGCCTCTGTGCCGTGCGTAATCTACGAGATTTGACTGTGTGGGCCAACACCTTTGAAGGCACAGCCAAAAGGGCAATGTGCCCACCAAGCGGCTGCATTTCAGTGCCTGTAAGACATGAAAGCTCACGCAAATCCTCCGTGAACCAAAAAAAGATATGGACTGTCGACTAAGGGCATGTTATTACTTTCTTTAATCATTGAAATATGCAAGCTGCATTCAGCGCCAGCCAGCTGAGTAAGCTGTGACTGGTGTGGGATTGTCCCTAAGTTGTTCATCCTTGAACCTGTCAACAGCTGGCTTGGGAACATCGGAGCATCCAGTTCACCGAAGGATTTGATGGTTAGAGCATTGGATGAGTCAAATTGAGCTAATTACACTAATCATGTGTGAATATCTGTGAATATCTGTGAATAGCCTCTACATTTGCGTGTCCTGTCATTATCATCTGTTTGCGTCATGCGTCATCATGAAAGGTTTCAATGGACATGCCTTTCCAAGGTCTTGGGAAACTCAAAACAAAGCGACAAAATGCCACGCGAGCTGCATGTCTACCACACTGGCGTCGGTGTCAAAGGTGTCACATGAAAACTCTGCAGAATGACAAGGCGTGGTACCGCTCTTGACGGCCTCGTCCACTTGGAGTGAGCCACGCGAAATCTGCGCCTAGAATTCAGACAATGAAATATGGTAATATTATTACATTATTGCATATGTATAGATACATATACATATACATATACATATACATATACATATACATACATTACATACATTACATTACATTACATTACATTACATTACATTACATTACATTACATTACATTACATTACATACATTACATTACATTACATACATTACATACATTACATACATTACATACATTACATACATTACATACATCACATACATTACATACATTACATACATTACATACATTACATACATTACATACATTACATACATTACATACATTACATACATTACATACATTACATACATTACATAAATTACATACATTACATACATTACATACATTACATACATTACATACATTACATACATTACATACATTACATACATTACATACATTACATACATTACATACTTACATACATACATTACATACATTACATACATTACATACATTACATACATTACATACATTACATACATTACATACATTACATACATTACATTCATTACATTCATTACATACATTACATACATTACATACATTACATACATTACATACATTACATACATTACATACATTACATACATTACATACATTACATACATTACATACATTACATACATTACATACATTACATACATTACATACATGACATACATTACATACATTACATACATGACATACATTACATACATTACATACATTACATACATTACATACATTACATACATTACATACATTACATACATTACATACTTTACATACATTACATACATTACATACATTGCATACATTACATACATTACATACCTTACATACATTACATACATTACATACATTACATACATTACATACATTACATACATTACATACATTACATACATTACATACATTACATACATTACATACATTACATACATACATACATACATACCATTACATTGCATTACATTACATTACATTACAATACAATACAATACATTACATTACATTACATACATACATACATTAATTACATACATACATTAATTACATACATACATTAATTGCATACACACATACATACATTACATTACATTACATTACATTACAATACAATACAATACATTACATTACATTACATTACATTACATACATACATACATATATATGTAGGTGTGTGTATTATTTCTTTATCTATTCAATTATCTATTTAGTTTATCTATTTATATACATTCGTATATATGTATATGTATATGTCAATAGTTGCAACAATTTTGACTAGAATGCCTCAAGCCCAACATCAGCGAAAAATATCTGCCCTGCCAAGATTCAAAAACAAACAAGGTAGGTAGACAAAGTGTCCAACACCCAAACAGCAGACCTATGAATTGTGAATGTATATCAAGAACATGAGAGGTGGGAACACTGACTGGAGAAACACAGCAAAATGATGAGCAACCTAAATGCAGTCAGACTTTCGAAGTATTTGCTCGAGACATTGCTCCTGTGTAGCTTCGCTTTGAGCGCTACGTTGGGGATCGGGCCAACCAAGCAGGCAACGCCGGTAACGTTGGTACAACGGTAACTCCGAGGCACATTCTAAGTCTGCATGGGTCACCGATTGGCCTTTGCATGTACAAGGCAGACCCCTCACAGGGTCAAGCAAAGCACTTTGAATGCTTTGAATGATGCCTTAAATGCCTTTATCCGTAGCCGGGTCAGGATGATGCCTTGGCCTTTGAATGTTTTGAAAAGTGCACAGAATTTAGTTGTCTGAGCGCAATCCTTCACCTCTGAGCACCCACTGTGGCAATTTGCAAGCAAGTTCAGTTTTATCAAATTATATCAAGCCACTGTGAGTCTATGAGTATTTGTTTGCATTATTTTGTATTTGTTTGCCGTTTTCCGACTTCTTTTGCCTGGTCCAAGGGGGTCATGTTTTCATCATTTTTCATCTACAGCTACCCAGCCATCCCACGCAGCCATGCTGCTCCAGATCCTTGAAACGTCATGCATCCAATTCAGATTCTACGGAGCCTGCTGTATTGCATCATATTTGTTACCCTCAACTTCTCCTAACTTAGGTGTGCTTCTTGTATCCCTCTTTGTTTTCCTTGCTCTTCTTGCCCAAACAAAAGTATTGCTTAGCAGCCAACTTCTGTTCTGGTGCTTGTCAGGTGCAACTTCTGTTCCGAACAATTTGAAATGGTCTGAGCCTCGGCCACTCAGAGTTTTGACGTATTTCTCCACCTCTTAGACCTACTTAGACCTACTTAGACCTACTTAGACCTATTTGTTTTCAGCATCATACCGGTTCTTGGTCCAGCCACACAGTAAGGGAGTGTGTTCAAACAGGTCCGGACTGTTGCCGGACGGTGCCAGACAGCAAGGTCCTGTGTTCTGTCTCACAGCCCTTGCGCTTGGATGGAAGTCGACATCGTGCACTGATGCAACAATGCACCAGCACTAGGCACCAAGAATTTCCAAGTCAAAGATAGTCAAAGGTAGTCAAACATAGTCAAAGTATCCAACTGCCACCTCAAGAACGCCAAACATCGGAAGTTCCCTTTTCGCAGTCCCTGAAATGGTAAAATGCAGGATCAACATGGATCAACGGTGTTTTCAAGTACCTGTGCTGTCAAACATACTGCAAAAGAGATGGACAGCGGGCTAACAGGCTTGCTGATTTTGCTACACTTTTGTTGCATATCTGTCATTGTCTGTCATTGTCATTGTTTGTCAGTGCATTTCACTTTAGGACGTTGCGGGTGTCTCCTGGGCTCTGGATTCACCAGCTCACTGTTCAAAGAAACAGCCGTCCGTGCACTTAGAAGATCTTAGAAGCATTTCGGACCTCTTCTCACTCTTCTCCCTCTTCCATCTCTTCCATCTCTTCCTAACCGACACCAAAATTTTGAAAGGCTATGAAAGGCTTGTAGCAAAGTGTCTGAGAAAGTTTCATCGTAACTAACAGTAACTACGTTTAATTTGTAGAAACCAAATTCACAAAATGTCAAAAATGTCACGACACGCCTCAAAGATCCTCAAAGCCAATGCAAATCGTCCCGCTTGCTCTTTTCCCCGCCAACGGTGCGAGGAGCACGAGCACGCAGCTTTGCTGCTGCAATGGTCAAGGTCTCCTTCGTTCAAACACAAAACGAACAGATTTGTTGAGTTCAGCGGAGATGGAGCAAGGTAGTCGAGGCTTAGCATCAACAAGGCAGATTTGAGGGTAATGCGTCTGCTTGGTAAGTGGAAGTTAAGGAGAAAGACGAGAAATATTAGTGAAATATATGTCGAGTTATGTGCAGGTATGTCGAGTGAAAGAACCGCTGCCGAATCCTTCAACATGTTCCACAACATGTTCCACAAAGGTCGCAAAACAGAACCCGCGAGACCGCGAGACCCGTCCAGGAATGAGGCATCGAAGTCTTCACGCGCCAAAATCAATGAGATCAGCCCTTGGAAAGGCATCTGCCGCAGCACCTCACGTCACCACGTCACCACGTCACCACGTCGTGCAAATGTGTCAAACGAGTGTGTTCCTACAGAAATTGGTACTTCGAAACACTTCGAAACACTTCGAAACACTTCGAAACACTTCGAAACACTTCGAAACACTTCTAGCGATGTTACCGAAGCAGCGATAAAGTCACAATCCAAAGAGCGTAGCTCAATTTCTCTGCTTTGCGTTCTGTCAACATGAAATTGTTGCATCCTCGGAATCCTCGGCTGAGATGTTCAGTTAGACAGCCAAGTACCTAAGCGCCACGGCTGCAACGGCTCCAGGGCGCAATTTGATAAACAGGATGGACTTGATCTTGACAGTCTTGACAAACACCTGTCTGAGACCGATCTTTAGAAGTCCTGGACTAAGTTTGGTTTTTTCATGTTTTTTGCATGTTTCTATATTTTTCTGCTTTTGTCCTTATTTGTCCTCTGAGGCTTCGACAACTTCGATTTCTTCACAGAGCTCCAATTGCTTGGCACGCTCCTCGACACAAACGTTGCCATGCGGACGGTTGTCCGCAGTATCCAACTGTGTTGGTGTTCGTGGCCAAATTCAAGCTGCCAAACAACAATATGCATTAGATTGCATTAGCATCTCACAGTAGCATCTCAAGCATTATGAAAGTGCCAATGGTTGGCCGCAAGTGACATGGTTTGGAACCTCTCTTGCCACATCTCCGTCCTTTCTGGGCAAGGCTACACATTGGACTGTCGAATCTGTTTTCCAACCACAGAACGTTGATCTCTGTGTGACGTGGGTTCCCATGTCTGCCATCTCCCTGTCGTCCTTGAGATGAGGCAGAACCAATGTTATCATTTCTACCTGACCGGGCACAAATTCCACAAAAGCTCACATAGGGATCACGTGTTGCTCCTCAGCATGCAGAGCATGTAATTCAGATTTTCCCGAATGCGTAGCGAAGGGTTCTCGTTTTACTTTTGGGATCTGGGGATGGAAACGTGTTCGCTCAATGCTGCTTTTGTGTTCGCAACCGTTCGCAACTGTGTGAAGGCCCTATGGCCGTGCCTATAGGGAGTGCTGCAAAAGCGGTCACTTTTGGAGGACAGGCGCAAGACTTTTGCAAGGTTTTCAGAACAGGTTTCTGATTTGTCGTGGCAGGCGCAGCACTTTGGACTTGTGTTGCGTGTTTTTGCGGATCGCATTGTCAGGGCTCCGTCAAGTATCGTCAAGTGGTGACAACGTGCAAATTGTGTGACAGGCGTGGGATATCGCGAGAGTGTCATTTTTCGTGGCAAGCGCAGTGGGACACTCTACAGTTGACAATTCACACACCACACGCTACACTTTCCACTGCACACTCTTCACTCTTCACTCTTCACTCTTCACTCCACACTACACACTTTACATTACACTCCACACTTTACGCTCCACACTTTACACATTACACTGTACACTTTACACTTGACACTTCACACTCTACACTTCACACTCCACACTCTTCACTCTTTACTCTACCTTACATACTTTACACTTTGCACTCCACACTACTAGACTCTACACATGACACTCCACACTCTACACTCTACACTTTACATTTTACACTCTACACACTACACTTTGCACTCCACACTCTTCACTCTTCACTCTTCACTCTACACTACACACTACACACTTTTCAGTACACTCCACACTTTACACTTTACACTTTACACTCCGCACTTTATTCGTTACTCTTTACACTTCACACTTTACACTTGACACTTTACACTGCACCCGCTACACTTTGCACTCCACACTCTTCACTCTTTACTCTACACTACACACTTTACAGTACACTCCACACTTTACACTGTACACTTCACACTCTACACTTGACACGCCAAACTCCACTCTACACTCTACACTTTACACTCCACACTCTTCACTCTTTACTCTACACTACACACTTTACAGTACACTCGACACTTTTCTGTACACTCCACACTTTACACTTTACACTTTACACTTCACACTTCACAGTGACACTACACTTGACACTCCACACTTGACACTCCACACTCTACAGTTTACACTTTATACTTCACACTCTACACTTTGCACTCCACTCTTTTCACTTTATACTCCGCACTCCACACTCTACACTTTGCACTCCACACTTTTCACTTTGCACTTCACACTCTACACTCGACACTTCACACTCCACAATCCTGACTTTATACCCTATATGCTTTATTCCCCACTCAACACTCCACTGTCTTCACACTCCACACTCCAACCCATTCCACACTCCACAGTCTACACTGGTAGGGTAACAGGGGAAGAATGTACAAGACTGTTGAAATCACTTGTTTCACGAAAGTGTTTTACGTGACTGCATTCGGGTTCGTTGGTTGCTCTTGTTTTTTGTTCCTTCCAGTGCCTTACAGTCAATGCGCATCTTCTTTTCTACCCGTCGGAAGATGAGTCTCATGAAATGTCATGTGTTGCCAAAACTTGAGAGCAGGCGGAGGCGGACGAAAGGTAGTGTAGTGGGAGAGGAGTGGTGTCAAAATGCTGCGCCCCTAAGATGATACACCAAAAACGTTTTTGCGCAGTCTAAGATGATTTTATCCAGAGCATGACTGCATGATACGGTGTCTTGTGCAGCGTGAAATGATGCACGAAAAGGGGTTTATTTAAAACCCCTTTTTAAGACCCCTTGCAGCAACTGTTATTGAGGCTGAAGCATACCAATTATGCTGGACTACAGGGACATCTCCCTCATGGAAAGTGTGCCTCTAATGTGGGGGCCCGTGACCGCGTCACCCGTGGGAATTGAACCCATGACGCCCCCCCCCCCTTATAATTGATATCCTATACATAGCGGCGAGAATTCCACGTTTGACCCGGGCTGGCCCCCCAATACCCCCTATGATTGTGCTGAAGCACGGAGAACTCAGGTAGCTGACGCTACCTTTCGTGACATCTAAAAACAATCGCTTCCATCAAAGCGAACTACATGCTGCGCACCCGTTCCAACCCGCGGCCTCCTCAAGTTTCTGGAAGATTTTCCGCTGCCTGCAACCCCAAGACCGAAATACAGAATTGCCGTCAACGCCATGAGATCTGCAAAAAAATGCAAGAAATCCACTCTACACTACATTTCCTCATACCATTTCAGGCAAATTGAGTATTTGGAAATTGTGGAAGACTCAAAAGGGTATCAGGTGAGAAACAATTGGGGCAAGCCAAGAAAGGTAGAGTTTCCTTGTGCCCATGGAGTTCTGGAGTAGATGAATTCCGTAGTGACAAATTGCATTTTGTACTTTGAAAAATTCAAAAAAGGAAAAGTGGGAAACTGCACTGATTGTTCAAATTAGAAAAGTGAAAGATCAAAAGGTCGAAAAGAGTCGGCAATGCAGCTGCTTCTTCAAAAGAGTTGAAGAGTTGATACAAGATCGTAAGAGTCGGCAAGAATCAAAGAAAAAGCCGAAAATCAGAAAAATGCATGTCTGACTGTGCAGTTTCCTACTCTAATTTAATAGACTCGTTGTTCTTAGCCGGAATTCAGTGGCAAAAGATCATGAAAAGAAAAAAAAAAGTGGGAAAATGTGTTGTCTTTAGTTCAAAGGCTGGCAAAGTCTATTTTTGATTGTTTGAAGTTTGAAGTATTGTTGGATGAATCCCGTTTCATGTCTGTGCTTCTCATCTGTCCACATTGGAATTGACAGCCACTGTTCCCTTCCCAGAGAAACACGATTCCGCTAGGCTGAGAGGACCCTAAATTGAAACTGACGTGTGGGTACAACCAAGCAATATCAAGCAATATCAAGCAATATCAGGCAATATCAAGCAATATCAAGCAATATCAAGCAATATCAAGCAATATCAAGCAATATCAAGCAATATCAAGCAATAAGGTATGATCATGCATTTTGCTATCCCGTTCTACATACGCAGCATCCCTAAGGTTCCAGGGGTCCTGCCTCTTGTCAAGCTTGCCGATCGGCTCACGATGTGCCATGTGGCAAAAACCGCAGTAGGCACCCTGCACAAGTTGAAGGATGAGCATATGCCTATCACAGTGACTACAGTGACTACAGTGACTACACGAGTAGCAATTTAGATTAACTTAGTACATCTTAGTGACTAGATGACTCGATTGACTAGGTGCTGCATATCTGCATCACTCATTGTGAAGTTCTTGAAGTTCATCCTGAAGAACTTGTGAAGAACTTGTGAAGAACATGTGATATGTGAACCATGCACAGCGTAACAGTGAGGCCAGTGAGGCCAGTGAGGCCTTGGCACAAGGACCCCAAGCAAAGTACACGCATGGAGGAGCACAGAGTTCAGGATGACCAAAGCTGCCAATACTCGGCAGCAAGTCATCCTGAACAAGACTCGCAACACAAAATTCACAAGATTCGTTGAACTGATAGATGAAAGAGCTTCTTTTCTAACACAAGGGCTGAGGAACGTCCAAACAGAAATGAGAGAGTCTCGCGTTCGACCGCAAAGCAACTGCAACCCGAAAGCATCCAAGAGCCAAACGAAACCAACACATCCCTCAGCTGCTCAGCTCTGCTTAGCTCTGCCGTCCTGGTCCTCTGAGACTGCTGATGGTGTCCTCAGCAGAGTGGTGACGGACGGTACTGTGATGAACTCAGTGGCCATGCTGCGCAGCTGCGCAGCTGCGCAAGTTTCCTCATGTCTGTTTTGAATCTGGTTGATCAACGGTTGAACCGTCTTGAACCGACCACTTTGACACAGCTCCAGACTTTGTCATTGAGTCTTCGCAGGTGCTGGTCAAAGCTTTGCCATCGTCTAATGCCCTGTCAGGCGCAAAGTGTCAGTGAAGCGAGTCAAAGGGAACCTACAAAAATGCAAGTTGGTCTAATGAGTCTGCCAAATTCAATTTGTCAAGGCAACCTCCCGGAACACAAATGAAAAGCCCGCATTGTACGACCTGATTCATGTCTAAATCGACTTAAAATATCTTAAAATGGGCATCATTATCTGTTCCTAAAATGTGTGGACTGACTTGCATAGGGTCCAAAATCTTCCATTTCACCTGAGCCATTCAAAGGTACCACTTTCACCCGATCAGAATTTGGAGAAAAGTGATCACTCTGCGTCTTCACATATCTTCACTCTTTCGCAGTTTCATGGTTAAATCATGGTTCATAGATTTTATATATACATATGTATATATAATACATTATAAGACTGTTTAGAATTGTTTAGATGTGTTTAGTCTCGTAATGTCTCCCAGTTCTTCACTTCAAGAGTGGAGGACAAGGAGACGACGCCAAGGAATGGTGTCCAGTGATCCCATGAACAAGACAAAAGAATTGCGCAATTTCGAAAGCGCAAAAAGAAATAAAAAGAACAGGAGAATTCGAGATATTTCGAGACGAATCAAGAAAATTAGAAACGAAGAAGTTCGTTTTGGCATCCTGCCTGTCGAATGCCAGTTCCAGCCCCGGAGGTGCCTGAGGTACACACGGTACACTGTGTACACCTCTACACCTCTACACCTCTTCGATCCTCTTCGACAGCATTTTGGATATGACTCATATGACTCATGTGACGATGTGACCGACTGATACATTGTATACATACACTACATACACATTCAAGTTCACATGGATGCTTTGGATATTTTGGATGCTTGCTCGAAAGATTCTTCGAAAGCAATACACAGCTTGAATGAAATGGAGCCTGGAATGTCTTGTCTCTGTACGTTTCCTGACACTTTACAATCACCGTACATCACCGTCGCGCAAACAAGATCCCTTCGTCTCAAAGTGCCAGCCTTCAGGAATGGGACCTTCGAAAACTCGCACCTCAGAGTCAATCACTGTCAACTGGTAAATACAAGAATAATACAAGAATCAAACATGAGAAATTTAATCAAACCATGAAACAAATGAATAATGTAAAATATGAGTCGAGAAAAACAGGATCTGCCCCGGCGTAGAATGTTTCCTGCCCGACGATGCAGCAAATGGCGAGTTTTGAGCACTCCACTCCCTCGACCCAGAATATCCGAAATGCAGGAGGTTCCTTCAGGACGCAAGCATCGCATTACATCGCAAATATTGCAAAATCTACACTATGCATCACTATGCCGATACTCTCGGCTCCTCAAATTTGTGCCGGTCGGAACAGGAAACAGATGGAAACAGTCAACAAAAGATAACAAAAGCATTTCAAACGAGTTCAAATGCACTTGATGTCACGGCACAGCCAAAAACGTCGTGGAGTTCACAGATCGCCGTTTGACCCGATCCGGTCCTCTCTGTGAGACCACCCACCAGCGACATGCCAAAGCCAGCACCTGCCATGTTCAGCAGATTCTGTGGGATGACTTTTTGGATACTTTTTGAGTTTTTGAACAGGAAACCTTTTTGTTTTGCAAAAAGTTTGGGAACAGATTTGTTGTTTCTTCCGTTTGTGGGAGGTTTGAGTTTCTGCTCCGTGCACATTCCATTGGCGCTCGTCGGATAAGATTTGGAGCTCGATCCAATCGATACGATTGATCTCGATTGATCTCGATTGATATCGATTGATATCGATTGGTATCGATTGATTCAAGTTCAATTCGCAACCCGGTGAACGGTGAAGACCCTGCCTGCAAAGGTGCTTCCAAAGCCCGTGAAAATGCTGAGCAAAAATGGCAAGCGAAGCTGCTCAGCCCTGATCATCAATCTCGGTGTACGCTAGTTTTCACCCCCTGACATCTTTTCCACCTAGGATAGATAAATCATATTTCCCGAGCTCTGCCTTGTGGCAAAAAATGCTGCAATCTTCAGGACGAAGCTGTGACTTACCCAGTGCTGGCTCACCAAAACATGTTTGCAGTTCATCGATGTTCGCATGAACAATACGAGCTTCTACCCTCAAGAAGGAATGTCAAACGTGACACGTAACGTGATCAAATAATTCATGTGATCTGTTTCTGAAATCCAGACTCTAATGTCCCCCAAACATCCCCTAACATCGCAAGCTCCCCGTAACCCCAAACGCTCCCCGTGGTAGATACAGTCGCTCTCCCAGCCAATGAGCACCACAGCATGGCCACCCTGGTTTGGTGGCTGTGAAATCTGCCGCCAAGTGGAGAACATGAAATGATAGGAAATGTCTTAGAATGAAAATGCTTTGCTCCTACTTGGGCTGCATGAAGAATATGGAAGACTATCAGCAACAATCAACAACCATCGATGTTTCCATTCAAACAACGCATCTACAATCCATCTAGTCTTAGTCACTGGCCCTTTTGTATCCTTTTGTTCAACATTCGCCGCAGCATGTCTCCCAGCACAGAACAAATGCGACATGTGTTGTCAACAGCTGTATGAATGCGAAGTCAGATAGTCACACTGGCGAACCTGCATAGCGCCCCATTGGTAGTTGTAAGCCTGCTCTGGCCAAAACCTTAGTAAATCATACTGAGCCACGTTTCAAATACATTCAAATACCAATAAAGGAGAAATGGCTAGATAAATCTGGATAAATGCTTGCAAGACTTTTGCAAGACTTTTCTAGTTTGTTGCACGTTGTGCCGCAGGTTACATCGGAGAAACGTGAAGAACCAGGTGAAGTCCTGGCACGTGCAGCACGTGCAGCACGTGCAGCACGTGCAGCACGTTGCACTTCAGATCATTCGTGAAGCACAAAATTTGGACAAGCTTGGGTAAATGATGGCAAACGACGCTACAAACTGGTTTCAAGATGTTTCAAGTATATAAAGGTCAGGACATGCCTTGGGTATCCTTGGGTGCTGTTTGTTTTGAACAGGGCAAATGGTCTCAAACTGGGTCCTCGTAGACAAAAAAACTCGTATACAATGGTCCATCTTTCAGGATCTCCTCTTTGAAAGCGTCCTGAAACTGGCAGTCAAATCAGTGAAGACTTTGAGAGTTTATTCGAAACTGTTAGAAACTGTTAGAAACTGTTAGAAACTGCTAGGGCCTCGACATTGCCAAACCATGTGAAACTTCCGAAAGTATCCAAAAGTCTGATTTGCAGTTGCCGTCGCAATTTCCCTTTGGTGCTCGCGGTGCTCGCCTTGTGGTTCAGCACGTAATGATATCTGGCAGCCAGCTGAAGCTGGGCGCAACACTAGAAAAAATTGAAGAAATCAATCTATGTCTAATCTATGTCTAATCTCAACTCAGTCTCAAAAGGTCTCAAGAACGTAGTTTTACTCACTTGTCACTCACAAAGCTTCAGCATCTGCAGCATCTGCAGCATCTGCAGCATCTGCGTTGTCAAACGCATTGACTGCAGCACAGAAGCACCACATGCCAGGGGAACTCTGTGGATTTGTGGACTTGCGGCTCAGTCAAACACCGATCTCGGTTGCACTGGTCCTGCCAAGATCAGACTCGAACGACAGTAGATTCAGTAGATTCTTGAAGCCAAAAGATCCAAGAGCGGAGCTCATCCAAACCAGCAAACCAATCACTGGGGCATCACATGAAATTTAGCTACACCAGTGCTACACTAAAAAGACTCACTTGGTATTACTGCGTACTGTATTCAATCGCTTGCTTCGTCTATGTCTCAACTACTCAAAGTTTTTCATGCTTTCGCTGCAAGCCCATGCAGCCATGCACTGCAATGGTATTTGTCACACCATCCCCAAGTGCCACATGCCGCCACATGCCGGTAGATGCCGCTCCGCTGTTGAGATGCTTGGTGTTTCGGTGGTTACGGTGCTCGTCTTCTTCTCCTCACTTTCGTTCACAGTTCACAGCCACCAAAACTGAAAGGGTGGGTAAGGGCGGGAAAGGCAGCAGGGTAGGAGGACGCTACTGCATACTATAGCATGCCTGTCGCACTTGGAGGCTAGCTTGGCATTTCACATGACATGGAATGTGGCATAGCATGATAGCCTATCTCGAGCGTCAACTTGAAGTCAACTTAACTGCCAAGCATCCCGAGGTTGCTCAACAGACATGACATGACATGACAAGTTGATTCCGTTGCGACACGGATTGTCCCACGGATTATCCGAGGGATGTCATGTCTCATCATCGCAGAGGTGCTGGGGTTCCGAGCTTCAGAGCCCCAGTGACCACCTCGGACCCCGAAGCCCCAACTGGCCAACGTTGCAAAACCAACGCTGCATAGAAGAACTGGACATTGCATGACATTGCTGGGCCTGGTAAAAATTGTTACAATCCCAAAATATCCCAAACATCCGAAACGTGTACAAAGGTGTTCAACCTTGTGTTCCAAATAATCCTTGGAAAAAAAGTCCTGAAACAGTGTGGCTCCACTCTCAACCTTTCAATGGTTCAATGCTTCAGCGAATCAACTCAATTGTCGATCCAAATGGTTCTGATTCAGGATACAAGAATGGAATCTGTCAATCCAGTTCATCGGACCAAAATTGTAGAGATAATTTGAGATAATTAAGACAAGCTTTGACTGTGTTGACTATGACAAAGCTTATCCACATGTTCAAAATTGTCCAAAGTCCAGGGATCCTACCAAAGCCCTCCCCAATCATTCCAATCATTCACACTCTTTTCAAATCTGTTCAACCTTTCAATGTAACATATGTAACATATGTAACCATGAAAACTGTTGAAAACTGCTGTCAGGAATCCTTCTGGGGGCTGTGGTCACTGCCACTGTGGTCTTTCTGTCTCTTGGATTCTCCCTCAGTGGCCCTCAGTGGCCCTCAGTGGCCCTCAGTGGCCCTCAGTGGCCCTCAGTGGCCCTCAGTGGCCCTCAGTGGCCCTCAGGCTGCTGCCAGGGATATCGGAATTCCATGTGTCCTTCGAACCTGTTGGTGCCTGACACGCCAGCTGCACACATAAACGATGCTGGGCAAAGTCAATTAAAAACATGTTGATGATATCAACATATATCAACATGTTTTGCCAACTTGGTATCTATCTGCAGCTCGAAAGTGACAAACTTTGGAGAATGCTAACGAATCACAGAGCTCTCGCACATGGTCTGATCCGCAATCTAACATGCACCAAACATGTCCACACGCACCAGTTTGCAATGCTATGCAATGCTCAACGTCTACTGTTCTGGACTCTCTGCCTCGGTCGTTGTGGTATCCTCCTGGAGATCTCACCAAGTCAACCAGAGTACAAGTCTTGTTGCACAGATGAAGCCAACCAGATGCCAGACACCAGGACTGGCCCAGAAGTTGTCGAAAAAGTGGACTCCCAGCGGGACTTGTTCACTGGACATCACTGGACTATTTCTTTGCCAGTCTCGTGGCAAGTGATGTGTCGGATATGTCTTCGTTCTGCAATTGCAATTTCTCCTCATGTGGCCCGCCGGTGAAGAGGTTGTAGAGCCAGGTGAAGAAGTTGAAGCTGGCACGAAAAAAACAAAAGCAATGGCGCAAGAAAATGTAAAAGAACAAGCAGTCAGACATCTGATAATATCCAAACAGTGCTTGCAGCACAATTGGCCGTGAACATGCACAAAGCTACAAAACGATTGTGGTGATTGGTGCTTGGATGTGAACATGTAAACCCCCCCAAAGATTTCTACAATTCTACAAGAAGAGGATTGAAGCATCACATTAATCAAAAAATTGCCAGGGTTGATTATCCGAACTTGGACCCAGATGGGCCTCAGCAAACCATTCCAAGTGTCCAAGATAAATACAGAAACCATCAGAAACCATTCCAGCTTGAGATTGCATCAGATTTCCAAAAAAAAATAACTGCCCTAACTGATAACTGCCCTAACTGCCCCTTGTCTCATGACTGGCCGGTACCAACATGCATCATCCACCCCTCATCATCCTCGCGTAGTTGCTCCTGACTTTAGACATATCATACTCCAAGGCGTGCGTTCATTCATGGTTCTATCTGCCATGCGCTAGTATTGCAATAGGAATTGTGAACAAAAACACAGAATCTGAAATTGACATCACCAAATCAGCGCTGAATCGACGCCGAATTCTCTAAACGGCTTCGTTTTGGTCCGTTTAATCGTCTGTCATGTCCAGCTCCTGCAGCAACACTGTCATGCCGCTGCCGTCGCCATGGTCTTGGTTTCCGCAGATGTTCACAATTGTTCACACCACAAACGTTCTCACCACAAACATCAGGGGCGCGTGTACCACGTGTGAGCACATTTCTGAGACCTAGTCTGCAATGTTGATGTAAGAATGGTCTGCTTGGCAACATGTGAGATCTCATTTGTACATCTCCAGTTTGCCAGACTCCTTTACTTGTTTCCATCTAGTACGATGTATTTCGTTGGCCTTGGCATTTCCTACAGTCATGCCAGCACTGAGAGGTTCCGTCGTGCGTCTCTTTCATTTTCTTTCCTTAGGGTCTTGGACGATCCGCACATTTCGTGCATTTCGTGCATTTCACGTATCAATTCTATCAATTGCATCCCAATGATCCCGTCTAAAGTCCGCTTAGTCCGCTTAGTTCCATCGAGATGCGTGTAGCCTGGCTCTGACGCACTGCAAACCTCAGCACGGGCAAAGGCCGCAAAGGCATGAGATCTTGTAAGGTTCCAGATACATCCTGATGTGATCATGCCCTTACATGTTCAATCATGCTCAATCATGCTCATATAGCTCATATTACTCATCTAGCATTTAATGCATTGAATGGTCCTTTTATTCGTCTGTCAACAATCCGGTTGCACCATGCCGCTCAACCTTCACTCACCTTCGGTAGGAAGACTTGATCGGCTCAGCACTGAATTCCAGAGTTCTGTATGTTTGAATATGTCAAATTATGCTACAAATACATATGTTCGAAGGAAGTTTAGAAGTCAAACTTCCGACAATATGGACAAATGAAAAGCAGAGATGGAAAGAGTCGGAGAGAAGAGAATAGTGGAAGAGAGAAGATCAGAGAAGAGAAAAGATCAGAGAAGAGAAAGAGTCAGAAGAAGAAGATGCAGATGCGCGAAAAGGAAGGAAAGTCGCGAAACACTATGTTTTTCCAATGATTTGTGGCTCCGGAGGGTCGAAAAGTAGGCTCGCTAAAGCGGCGGGTGCGGAGCCAGCTGGCCAGATGAGAAATGAAAAATTGCAGGCCGTTGTGGCGCGAAGAACATTTCGAAGTCGACATGTACAAAACACACCAGCTTCGGACCACTTTTGGAAGTTGAGATGTCGAAAAAGTGCATGCAGTTGTGGCGCGAAGCACATTTCGAAGTCAAAATGTACAAAGTACAACAGCTTCGGACCACTTTTGGAAGTTGAGATGTCGAAAAAGTGCACGCCGTTGTGGCGCGAAGCACATTTCGAAGTCAAAATGTACAAAACACAACATGTACGCGCCACTTTTGGAAGTTCAGATGTCGTTTCGCGTGGCAGGCGCAAGGCATGGGGCACCTTCTCAAAAGTGAGCAAAACGTGAGGTTTTTGTGGCATTTCCAAAAACGATGGCAGGCGTGGGACATTTGAAGAGGATCTGCAAAGATGCATTTTCCGTGGCAGGCGCACTACAAGAGACATCTTCATCGGAGCTGTTAGGAGGTCTGGGTGGTGATTTCCTGAGAGGGGTTGCATTTTGGAGCATCAGATCTTGAGGTTTGCTAAGATGATTTGGCGTGACAGGTGCAGCACTTCGTGTGACCTGGCATGACTTTTTCGTGGCAGGCGCAGTACTTTCGACAGGTGGACTGGAAAAATCGCAAAACGCATTGGTACGAGGCTGTCAGCTCTGCACTCAACTTTCCATTTTTGAAGGAAGTCTCGCAGAATTGCTTCGTTTTTGATGTTGTCAAGTTCAAAAATTGAAGAAGTCTCGCAGAATTGCTTCGTTTTGGATGTTGTCTAGTTCAAAAAATGAAGATGTCTCGCAGACTTGCTTCGTTTTTGATGTGGTCAACTTCAAAATTGAGGAAGTCTCGCAGAATTGTTGCGTTCTTGATGTTCAACTTTGAAAAATGAAGAAGTCTCGCAGAATTGCTTCGTTTTTGACGTTGTCAAGTTCAAACATTGAGAAAGTCTCGCAGAATTGCTGCGTTTCTGATGCTGTCAACTAACAAAATGAGGAAGTCTCGCAGAATTGCTTCGTTTTTGACGTTGTCAAGTTCAAAAATAGCGGGAGTCTCGCAGAATTGCTGCGTTTTTGGTGTTGTCAAGTTCGAAACCTGAGGATGTCTCGCAGAATAGCTGCGTTTTCAAGCTTGCAGAAAGACAGGTAGATAGATAGATCGATTGATCAATCGATAGATAGATCGATCGATAGATAGATAGATAGATTAGATAGATTCGATCGATTAGATCGATTGGATCGATTAGATCGATTAGATCGATTAGATCGATTAGATCGATTAGGATTAGATCGATTAGACCGATTAGATCGATTAGATCGATTAGATCGATTAGATCGATTGGATCGATTAGATCGATTAGATCGATTAGATCGATTAGATCGATTAGATAGATTAGATAGATTAGATAGATAAGATAGATAAGATAGATAAGATAAATAAGATAGATAAGATAGATAAGAAGATAGAAAAGAAAGAAAGAAAGAAAGAATGAAAGAAAGAAAGATAGATAGATAGAAGATAGATAGATAGAAAGATACATAGATAGATAGATAGATAGATAGATAGATACATAGATAGATAGATAGACAGACAGATAGATAGATAGACAGATAGATAGATGGATGGATAGATAGATAGATAGGTAGATGGATAGATAGGTAGATAGATGGATACTGTAGATAGATAGATAGATAGATAGGTAGATGGATAGATAGGTAGATAGATAGATGGATAGCTAGATAGATAGACAGATAGATAGAGCGGTAGGTAGGTAGGTAGGTAGGTAGATAATCAGAGAAAGAGAGAAAAAGAGAGAAAAAGAGAGAAAAAGAGAAAAAAAAAGAGAGAAAAAGAGAGAAAAAGAGAGAGAAAGAGAGGAGACATCAATCACCTTTCGATCCATCAGTGGCTTCGCTCTGCCATCCGTGATTCACAACAACCAACCTCTCCTATAGGTTTCCTATTTTTGAAACTTCCGCCGCCGCCTTGTGCGGTACTACTGGTAGAGACAATTTATGTTGAATATGTTTGAACTGTTTGAACATGTTCTAATGTCTACTTATTTGTCGAGTCTGAGCAGGTGCACTTGGCCCAATCAGCTTCAAGTTCATCACAGAAGCAACTCTCCTGGACCAAACGCAGACTCGACGCAGACATTACGCAGACAATTGGAAGATGTTGGAAGGTGTTGGAAGATGTTGGAAGGGGGGAATCGAAAATCACACGACACATCTTGATGCATCTTGACTCTTGATGCACCTTGAGCACGATTGTTGCGTCACGATATTCAAAAAATAAAGCAACACAGCAAAAAATAAAGAGCGCCTGTGGCTGCTATAGCATGCTACAGCTAGCAATGTCACTGCAAGGTCAAGCTGATGCACACGTGCTGAGGCAGCGAACCGGCATGAAGACCATCGTTGGTGAGAAGGCAAACATCATCTCACGGTGGTACATCACAACACTGACCCTCACAGTGACAACAGTGGACTACGGTGCATCCGCCCGCGTCGCAGGTGCCGAGGCGTGATAGTTTCGCGACCGATGTCATCGAATGAGCCAACCGTTCAGTGGTACAGCTTCAATTGGGGGAGGGGCCAACATAGCGCGACTTGGCCCCAACCCGGGTCAATTTTGCGGACTCGATGCGACACGCTGAAAACAGCGTCCAAACACGCCCAAGTTGCGCCATGTTGGACCCCAGTCACCTGAAGTTGGACCCAAGTTGGAGCCAAGTGGCCCGAGTTCGGCGCAAGTTACATCCAAGTTGGGCCCAAGTCGGCTCGTGTTCGGCCCAGCTTAAGACCAAGGACGGCCAAGTTGGACCCCAGTCGGCTTTGGTTGGGCAAAGTAGGCCAGCGTCCTTCACCCCGCATCCCCAACTACCATAATCCTCGACTCCGAAAAGTCATCCCTGAGCCCTGACCTGCACAATTTGCTTATAATCTGGGTGCGGGCACCAGGTACTCGTCGCGAAGCGACTCGAATATGTTAAAATGGGAATGCATCGGAACTGGGATGGTTTGTCCGTGTTTGCCCTTTATGCTCATCTTTGAACAAACTTAGTATGCTAAGTTCCTTTCAAATGTTCATATTACAAGTAGCTAGTTATCAACTACCTGGCAGCTACTTGGCAGCTTTGCCCATGCCACACTTGGCATCGAAGGTAGGTCTGGCCAACGCCAGCGATCCTGGAGACTGCCAGTGCCTTGCAATTGTCGGGGTCCACCAAGTTCGAGTTGTCGCATCTTCGCTTAGTCACCTCAAACCAAGGTGGCCAAGGGCGACTAAGGGCAACCAAGAGCGACCAAGTTGACCAAGGCTCAACTGGCAAAGGAATGAAATTCGAGAATGAACAGGCGCTGCATTTGTCAAAACTTAAGAAACCATAGAATAAAATCGACGCTGCCAGGGGCGATATCCGCTGATGCCCCGGGACACTAGACATGTCAGAACACGTCATGAGACTAAGAGATGCAGATGATGCAGATGATGCAGATGATGCAGATGATGCAGATGTGAGAAATTCTGTGTTGTGAAAATGCTGGAGCTGCTAGAAGTTGAGCTGCGCGCCCGCAGGGCATCGCTGAAAGTGACAACCTCATTCAACTCCTCCTGTCAAATCCAAAGTCTGCCAGTCCATGTCCATTTCTGGCACCTGAATCATTCAGTAAACAAGCTATGATTTTCGCCATCCGCATCTCTGGCCTTAAACCAATGATTAAGCTATGGCAGCTATGGCCTGTTGATGTCTGTTTGCTCAAAGATACTCCAAACTCCAAACATGTCCAAACTCTTTCCTGAACCTGGCCTGAGTGAAGAAACCCGGACACGCGTAGCTTGACGGAGAGAAACCTCATGCCAAAAGAATCCAAAAGGGCTGGTCCCTGCACTTCGACATACTTGGAGACTTCTGTTTGGGAAGTGGGGAACTTCACATGTGATGCCTCAAGTGCAACTACCGTGTCAATACGCGTCAATGCTCTATTCATATCTATTGATTGTTTGGACGTCGAACTTGCATGTTTGAGTTGTGAGCAAAGAAAGTGTAAAGCTTAGCAAACGATGCACTGAAGCACTGAAGGTCCAAGAGGGAGTCAGACACTTCCGACCCGAAGCAGAAATGGCAAGCGACATCGCAGCACGTCGACATGTCTGGGCCCAGAACACTGTTTGCCAAACTGACATTCAGAGTCAGAAAGACAGCTGCGCTCATAGGGCCACGCTGCGGAAGTCACAAGGCCGTAGTACCTCACAGCGACAGCTAGCCGCTAGCCACACTGCGCACAGTGCAGCACAGTGCAGCACAGTGCAGCACACAGCTTAGAGATGCTGAGATGCATTGAGATCATTGAGATCATTGAGATCATTGAGATCATTGAGATGCTGTGGCTGTGGTCCTGTGTCTGAGACCATGTTTTTCCGTCTTCCCGTCTTCCCAGGTTTTCTCCGGTCTCAGGTCACTTGGAGTAGTTGAAACCCACATCGGCCCAGCCACCAGAGCACTGCCGACCTGCCGTCATGCTGGAAGAGTTGGAACATGTTGAAACTGTTGAAACCATGGACCATACAGAGACAGAAAATGACAGACACATCACAAAGTGGACCAAGTAGCCAAGCCATGTTGAAACTTTCGTACAAAAGTCTTGTCAAAATTTGAATTCAAAAAATGTTCAACTGGCTTGGCCATACATTTTGTGCCTTTCCAGGATTCCAACTGGCCTTGCCCAGTGCCAGATCCAAGCCTAATGGTTCACAGAGCAAGGCCATCTGGATGGACAAATGCTCGATCTTCCCAAGTGTTGATGCCTGAAACTTGAAAGCAAAAGCAAGAAAAAACCTTCTTTTGGACAACACTGAAATCAAAGCACAAATGCGTGAAAAAATGAAAACTTAGAAGACTTAGACTTAGAAGCTCACAACGTCCGGTCAGGTGCGAAACCGCGCATGTATTCTCGGAACGTATGCTTAAAGAACAAAGCACTCTCCCATGACTTCTACCCCCATCTGTTTTCCCTCTACATATCTTTTTCAGGAGTGCTCGCAACCCCCCAGGTACAAGAAAATCTAGAGGTAAAATGGCTACTTCCCACCTCTTGTGACTGTCTTTCAACCCTGTTTTTTTTGGGGTGCACGGACGTGCTCTTTTGTGAAGAACTGAGTTTGCACCAAACCACGGCCAGAGAGGGACCAGTGCATGTTTTGTTTCGTGCCGCTTTTGGTGTTCAATTTATGTGCGTGTGTGTGAGTGGTGTTTGTTCGCTTCTTGCAGAGATTGCTGTCGTTTGTATTTTCTCAGCTCTGCAGCATGGAATCATCTAATTTTGGGGCTGGAAGCATTCACTTGTTTGATGTGACAAACCTTCAATCGATGCTTTCCAAAGCCATGATCAAAAATGTCATAAGAAGCAAAATATGTCAATGTTGAAAAACCAAACAGCTTCACACATCTGAAGACAACTGTAAAGTTAGTCTATGTCCAGCATGAGGCAGTCCGCCCAGCTGTTTTTCAATGTCATCAACTCGTGTTTTGATTGCCTCACTAATTAGTATGGTCAGATCTAGCCGAGAACAAAGCCAATCCGTCGACGACTAATTCCGGCGCTTCTACAGATATTTGAATAGATGTTCTTACACATCGCCCAACTCCCATGCTAAACATCCGTGCAGTATCTTTAGCGTGTGCAACAGTGTGCAACTTCAAATGAAGATTGCAACATTGTTAGCCCACCCCACCCGACGCTACATGTTATTCAGTAGCATGTGCAACTATCTATACGGTTTGAGAGTGAGTCTAGTGTCGAAAACTTTCCGCATCCTTAGAAAGTCTGAAACAGTGAATACTTGGAAACAGGTGGCAAATTCAGTCACATGTGTTTCGTGTCGATAAATTCTGCTCAACTTTAGGCAAGTGGATCTTTGATGCATCGCGCACGTCAATGCGATGGGCGAGCCAACTTGTTGATTATGAAGTTGACAGAGGAGTGCCCAGTCAGGTACGCCGTGGCAAGCAGATGGCAAAGTATTTGGGTGTTTGACCAACCTCTGAAAGGCTGGTGCTTGTCGTTGAAATCATGAACAAAAAACATCAATAAACTGCACCCAAACCCAATGAATTGTTTCCGGTTGTAAATGTTTGAAGACACCTCTAAGACTCTAGAACAAGTTGCACATGCAAATGGCATAACCGCACTAGCTTGCAAGCAAGATACGTGGTAGAATTAAAAACATATACACACCATTACATGTAGGGATATGACATAAACCTTGCAAGAATAACTTCGCACGCTGTGATGCACGCGACCATGTGCCACTGTAGTGGACTTTTTTGCATTGTATGGTTCAATTTGACTTGATCTCAGGCAATGTTATACGGAACAATATGACATAGTATTGGAGTGCAATGTATTGCAAAGTCGGACAATGTAGCATATTTGAATGTAGGAACGCAACGCAATGCGGCAATGCAGCGTCATAGATATTGATGTACTGTCAAGTAATGTCAATTTGAATTATTGTCTCAGTATCTCAAAAAATGAAAAGCAGAAACAAAACGAGAAAACGAAACCTTGAGTGTTCCCGAAAAATAAAAAGACACGGCAATAGATACTTAATCATACACAGTATATCATATTATATCATTTTATATTATTTTATTTTATCGTATTTTATACAATAATATACATATATACTTGCTTATAATCTATGCATAATATACGTATGTAAAATCCCTTCAAAACTGCCTTGGTCTCATCGATGCAGTGCCGATCGGAGAGGGAGTCGAGGGCAGCAAACATGTAGCAAGCACCACATGTGCCCTGCCCGACACGTCCGACACGACACATCCGAAGAAAAATCCCATGAAAAATGTGTGGGAAAAAAGTGGAAAAAAACTAATTCTAATTTGTTTTGTGTAGTTCGTCATAGTTCGTCGATTCCACGAATTCTGCAAATTCATGCAAATTCCGTAGGTCCTCTGCATCTCAAACCCAAGCCTGGTGATGGACATAGTCCAAGCATTCAGGCCTCTCATAAAGCCAACCTGCCGTCAGCTGTCAGCAGATTGATTTGTGTCTGACTTCCCGAAGTCATGTTCCGAGATTTTTACATGTAAAAAGACATGAGGTAGAACGGATCTGATAGCTGAGATGAGAAGGTTCACCGCAGTTGTGCCAGGTCATTTCAAGTTCTCATCATTGTGTTTGTCTGAACATGCCAGAAACATGCCAGAAAATGCTAAAGCTTGCAGGATATGATCGTCGCACGCCCAGTTCCATCAAGTTTCCTGGAGCCTGGCACTCGCTTGAGACAGTTGCTTCAATGTCTTCAATTGATATTATTTTCCGATGATGCAGTCAAGCTTTCGTGTGCATAGCAAACATGCGGTGTTGCGGTGTTTAGATTCAGTACCTCGCTCGATCACATATGGTTACGTTGATACTTCTCCACTTTTCATGGTAAAACTCGGTAAAACTGAAAATACTGAGAGCTTGGGATGAAGCAATACTAACAACCTCTCCGTAGCCTCTCCGTAAGTTGCAACTTGGGTTGGCCAAACGGCCAAACAGCACAAGTTACAAATGTTACCACTTTTCCTACGGGGAAGTTGGCCAAATTTGGCCAAAGTGGAGTTCTTGTGCCTTGGCACGCTGCTTGAGACCTCTTTCATAGGCCTCCAGTCCGAAGCTGTGGCCCCCGAAGCTGTGGCCCCTTGAAAGGTAGGTAGGACACAGGGGCACAAAGGTGTTACTCATGTTGTACTCATATTAGACTCATATTAGACTCAGATGAAGGTATATTAAGCTTATAGTTGTAATACATTGTAAATCATTGTGATATGTTACAATTCTTAGACTCAGGTTTCTGTGCGTTCAGTGGGTTCGCTGAGTGCCAGGCCTCAATTTCTTTGTCAATTATGACTCCCAGGCCACCAGGGAGACCGAGGTAGGCTTCACCTCGTCAAAGCAGACACTGCCACTTAGAACATCTTAGAACTATTCGGATGCAGTCGGATCTATTCGGATCCATTCAGTTTAACTTGACAAATTGCCTTTGATTATCTTTGATATCCATACAAGTTTTGGACGTTCTGGCGATGACACGCAAACAGCGCAAACATTGGCACTTGCACCAGCTTGCTCTGGCTTGAGCCGGCTTGCCCCGCTTTTCAGCTCTGTTGCTTCCGGCCATGCCGACGTGCAAGCAACCTTCTCTACCTGCCAGCAAAGCGCAGGACCCTACAGCCGCACTACAGCACTACAGCATCGCTCCAGCCACTACAGCCTCCAAAAGGAACCTGGACGTGACCGTTGGACGTGACACTGTGCAAGTCGAGGCTTGTGTCAGATCCAATCGACCAGAAGACACCTGTGACACGCGCAATCTATGCCGCGGACCTATGCGTGAGCAAAAAGTTCTGCACTCTCCACGTGGAGGGGGACGTTAATTTCCATCTGCAGAGACCCCTTGGCTGCCTTAGCTCCTTCGGTATTTCTTTTGATTGCTGTTTAGAGTTTAGACAAGATTAGACAAGTATGTCCAAAAGGTTCAAAGCCTCCAAAGCATTTCAAAGTCCGAGGAGCTCCGAAATACATATTAAGAATATGCCCTCTTCAGAGTCTGATCAAGGGAAACAAAGGTCGCCAGGGATCTCCAGCAAACTCACAGGCCTCAGAGGCCTCACAGGCCTCACAGGCCTCACTGGCCTCACATGGCAGGGTATTGAGGGCCACCGCCTCCCTCAGGTACCGTCCAATTGATGAATTCCTGCGCTCCAAGTTTCCAACAGATCCAAGATGTTCCAAGTGCAACTCGACATATTCATACATATTCATACATATTCAACATGCGAACTCCTCAAGGGAAATGAGTATAAATTAGTGAGAATAGAAGCGCAAAGAAGAGAACTCGCATACACCGGTAGTGTCCTGAGGTGTCTTGATGGAGCAGCACTTGCAATGGACGCAATTCTGCGCATTGATTTGCAACTTCATGCGGCCATCTGCTTCATCTGGAACGTACCTTAGTCTCATGCTCTCAGCCATCTTGCAAAGTAGTACAAAGTCCCCTGCAGCAATGCTTGACATTATGAATTGAATGCATTGAATGTCAAGAAAACGTTTCTGCTTTGCAGAGACTCGTCTTATGGCCACCTGAAAGCCAAAATCCATCGAGAGCCATCGAGAGCCATCGAAAGCCAAGGAACTCGTAGACTTTGGCAGGGCAAAAGCGTCCCTCCGGTCCGTCGTAGGTCGGTAGAGACACCTCCAACGGCACATGCCTTGCAGCCGAACATGGTTGAAGTCTCATGAAAAGGTCGAAAAAAGATGTAATTTCGGTAAGTTGGTTTGCATCAAGAATTTCCAATCACGTACTTTCAGCAACCACTTCCAACTTTCTCATCTTCTGCGTTACGCGTATCTAACTGGCAGTGCTTCTAACACAAACTATGGTGCAAGGATTGTCCTAGTCAGGCAGTCCCCTCGGAGAAAACCACAATAAATATGCGAGTTTCATCATGTTTCAACGAGCCCTCCAAGTTCGACATTCCAAAATTGCATAAGGCTGCTCCAGTGCCAGGGTTGGATTCATCATGATTCATCTACACCATCTCTATCCATTTCAATAACAGATGTCATGAAGTCCCTACCGGTGGAGACCGCAGAAAGCAGAACCGGTGGTAAACCATTTTCCCGTTCTTTCTCCCGTTTTTTCTCTTCTTTCCCTTTCCAGCCGTGGCTCTGAGATTCTTCTTTGACTTTCAAATGGGCCGGCTGGTCGTGCTCATGGTTTACCCCACCTCAGATTTCCAATGGGAAAGACAGGCATGAAAGACTAGACTGAAATTTCCAGAGGAACAGCGGACGAACTTGAAAGACATGAACTCGAATGTCACTAGCAGAAATACACCCAAAGCTTTACAAAGGAGATCGAATCAAACAAAGAAACGAGGCTGAGCAAGCAGAGAAAGAGTCCAAAAATGACGCTAAGCACTTCTCTGCTGAGGGACTTCTTGCAAGGTTCTCCAAGAGGTCAAAGGAGTAGACCCCGTCAGGCTTGGGGTACTCGATCTTCTCGCATTCCTCAGCAAAATCTTTGGCAAATTCCCTTTGGTTTTCTCTGGAATCCTCCGGAATCCTCCGGAGTCCTCTTGAGTCCCGGAATCCTCCGGAGTCCTCTTGAGTCCTCTGGAGGTGTCGGTGCACAGTCTTTGCCAAGGCACTTTGGCGGGCTTGGTGTATTCGCCTCAAGCAGAGTTGATCAACTGTGCCTAGACGTGTGTACATGCGATTAATTGTGGCCAGTTACTAAGTTGCGAAGATAATTATTTTTGCCTCGTGGTGATGCCTTCAACTTGACCAGGTTCAAGACATCTCAAGTCTCAAGATCTTACTGGCCAAGTTACAGTCCTTCTTGGACCAGCGAAACGTCCATGGTTCCTGAGGCTGGCATGGTGTCCCATCTCTAAACCCCTCCAAAACGTCAGACTGTCACTCCGTTCTTCACAGCACAAGATCCACATGATCCATGAAGGCCAATGAAGGCCACTGACTTTTCGGTCGGATTGTGGGGGGGTCTGTGTGTTGAACGGTCGTGGCCTTGCCCCGACTCAGCATCAGCGTCATGCCACCGTAGCCAAGGCCTGGAATCATCCCCAAGGACCAGGCCTCGGGATGGATAGGCAGAATGAAATGTGGCAAGAGAAATTTCATATTATTTCAACTGACCGTAATTGCAATGTCTTCCCACTTGCTTATTCTACCAACTCTTGACACCATCAAGAGTTCCGCTCTGTGCATTCCAAAGTTGAAATTCCCTCCCAGTCATTTTTTCTTCTTTTTTTCTTATCCTTCTTCGTTTTTTTCTTTTTTTCTTCTTCTTCTTTTTCTTCTTCTTCTTCTTCTTCTTCTTCCTCTTCGTCTTCGTCGTCTTCGTCTTCGTCTTCTTCGTCTTCTTCTTTTTCTTCTTCTTCTTTTTTTTATTCTTCTTCTTCTTCGTCGTCGTCGTCGTCGTCTTTTTCGTCTTCTTCTTTTTTTTTTTCTTTTTCTTCTTCTTCGTCGTCTTTTTCGTCTTCTTCTTCTTTTTCTTCGTCGTCTTTTTCGTCTTCTTCTACTTTTTCTTCGTCGTCGTCTTTTTCGTCTTTTTCGTTTTCTTCTTTTTCTTCGTCGTCGTCTTTTGTCTTCTTCTTCTTCTTCTTCTTCCTCTTCTTCTTCTTCTTCTTCTTCTTCGTCATATTCTTCTTCTTCGTCTTCTTCTTCTTCGTCTTCTTCTTGATATTCTTATTCTTCTTTTTTTTCGTCTTCTTCTTCTTTTTCGTCTTCTTCTTCTTTTCTTATTATTCTTCTTATTCATCGTCTTTTTGGTCTTTTTCTTCTTTTTCTTCGTCGTCGTCTTTTCGCCTTCTTCTTCTTCTTCCTCCTCTTCTTCTTCTTCTTCTTCGTCGTCTTCTTCTTCTTCGTCTTCTTCTTCTTCGTCTTCTTCTTGTTACAGTATTCTTCTTCTTTTTCGTCTTCTTCTTCTTTTTCTTATTCTTCTTCTTCTTCTTCATCGTCTTTTTGGTCTTCTTCTTCTTTTTCTTCGTTGTCGTCTTTTTCTTCTTCTTCTTCTTCTTCTTCTTCTTCTTCTGCTTTTTTCTTCTTCTTCTTCGTCTTCTTCTTTATCTTATCCTTCTTCTTCTTCTTCTCCTTCTTCTTCGCCTTCTTCCTCTTCCTCGTCTTCTTCGTCTTCTCCTTCTTCGTCCTCTTCCTCTTCCTCGTCTTCTGCTTCTTCTTCTTCTTCTTCTGCTTCTTCTTCTTCTTCTTTTTCTTTCTTTCTTCCTTGCTTTCTTCCTTGCTTTCTGTCTTTCTTTCTTTCTTGCTTTTCTTTCTTTCTTTCTTTCTTTCTTTTCTTTTTTTGTCTTCTTCTTCTTCGTCATCTTCTTCTTCTTCGTCATCTTCTTCTTCTTCGTCTTCTTCTTCTTGGTAATCTTCTTATTTTTGTTATTCTTCTTCTTTCTCTTCTTCTTCTTCTTCTTCGTCGTCTTCTTCTTGTTCTTCTTATTCTGTTTCTTCTTCTTCTTTTTCTTCTTCTTCGCCGTTTTCTTTGTCTTCTTCGTCTTCTTCGTCGTCTTTGTCTTCTTATTTGTCTTCTTCTTCTTCTTCTTCTTCTTGTTCTTCTCTGTCTTCTTGGTCTTCTTCTTCTTCTTTTTCTTCTTCTTCTTCTTTTTCTTCTTCTTCTTCGTCGTCTTCTTCGTCTTCTTCGTCTTCTTTGTCTTTTTCTTCGTCTTCTTTTTCTTATTCGTCTTCGGGATTTCAAACTGTAGTGTCTATGTGCCGGCATTGTCAGTGATGCCAAGAAGCTGGTTTGAAGTTCCGCACTCGGGACAGCTCTTCCCAGACCCAGGAGGACCGAACTGCCTCTTCGTACTTCGTCACCTTGAACTTCTCTTGCGATTGGAAATGCTCTTGTGTTCCACGCATTCTACTTTTAATACAGACTGTGTGCATGTGTATATAGTGTGTATGAAATGTATGTATACACATCTCATATATTTATTCATATATGTATGTTTATTTATGATTATTATCATTTATTTATTCATTTATTTATTCATGTATTTATTATGTACATGTAAATACATATATATATAATTATTTATTTATAGTTTGATATATATATATAGCTTGATATATATATATATATATACAGTTTGATATATATATATATGTATAGCTTGATATATATATATATAGTTTGATATATATATATATTGATATATATATATTGATATATATATATATACAAAAAGTTATTTATAAGATATATATATATATTTATTTATTTATATATATATATGTATTTATTTATATATATATACGCACACATGCATGCATAGATGTGTGTGTGTGTGCGCGTGTATTTGTCAACTTTCACATGTTCTGCCTCCGGTCCTTCGAAGCCACCGAGCACTGCATCTGCTGCGCATTCGCCGGCCAATGTGCCGGTCCTGAACTAGTTTCAGAGTATCATTTTTTCAAAACTCAAGATAAAACTATTGTCGTCCCTCCGAGAGCTTTGCAGCGCATTCTCATGGCAACATCCAAAAAGAATCGCTGCAACATGAACTTCTCCTTCTGAAACCTTTCTCATGCGCATCACAAACGCCCGTTTTGTTGAGCCGGGGCGCTTCATGGCTGTGTGGCTCCCCTTGATCTTTGGGACGTTTAAAAACCCTGCGCTGCAACCTGAACGAAGCACTCCATCCCTGAAGATGGATGCTTTCTTTGCAGCTTTCAAATCTAGAGTCTTTTGTTCAGAGTTGACAAGTGACATCTTACAGTAAAATGACAGAAGACGGGAGCATTGGAGAACAAATGTGAATAATGAGCAAAGGAAGGAAAAGCCGCTGACAGTACAGACATATGAGCTCCCAGAGCCAGGAGGCATAATGGTTTGAAGTGTCTGAATATCAGTAAACAATTCAATATTCAACGATAGAAAATCTGCTTGACATGTAGACGTCACATGTCAGATTGCTTCACACCTGCAAGCATTCCGCCAGGGAAGGTCAGCTTTGGCACCGCTTGCAGGCCGCCCTCATTGAGGCAGCGAGCACCGTATGAGATGCAAGTACCACCCTGGCTGGTAGCACCGCATGAGCTCCGAATGCAGATCCAGCTCAAGATGCTCAAGGTGCTAAGTTCAAGCTCCGCTCAAGCCAAGCTGGTGCCACTGCAGTCCGATGTGTCCAAGATCTGTCCAACCTGCCCAACCTGTCCCTTGTTTGTTGCCTCTAGCAGAGCTTTGATGCGTGGGTGCGTCTTGAAGCGCTGAAACTCCTGATACGGACTCCTCAGTGATGGAGTCACAAACTGGCCAGCTCAAACATTGATATGAGAGAGCGTTCCCCAGAATCAACACTTTTCAGTAGTTGACAGGTGTGGCAAATGTTGACCATGTACTGGAAAGTCTCTCAATCGCCAAAGGACTAACATGTTTGGATTCCAATAGAAGGGAGGATGGGAAGGAATCGGGGTTTCCACCAAGTTAGTTGTGCCCAGAAGCAGGTAAGGATTGGAATAGTCAAGGCCAACCACCATACCTGGGCCAGTGGATTTCTTAGAACTTCGGAAATTGTGTACGTTTCCAGAACAAGTTCTACAATTCTCCGAGCAAAACTCTAACAAACTCTGACTCTGCATGGACCTATATGAAGAAGGTTCGGCTCCATGTGGTAGATGAAGCCACCTTGGGCACCGGCCAAAACTTCAAAGTCGGATCAGTTGCACAGTCAGATCCAAAGATGGGATCGGGATCTTCGGATCCGCACGAAGGCGCTTTGAATCTCCAGCATGCATACAGAATCGTCAAGGTTTTTGGGTGATTCACGGTGATTCTTCTGATTCTTTGGATTTGTTTCAGTTTGGGAGAGCTCAAAATTTATGCATCCGTTCGGACCTTCAAGTAGAAGGTCATTGCAATTCCTCACACTGCGTCTTGGTTTGTGGGAATTGGGGATTGACAACTGGGGGGTCGAGACAAAAAATAGACATCCATCACTCCATCACCATGTGTCCGCCCAGTCATCACATGTTGTCACTAATTACGCATACTGTACCTCTGAAACGAGGACAAGCAATGCCAAGATTCGAATCTGCAGATGCTTCTCAAACATGGTCAAAAAGCGTTGTAAGGCCAAAGCTTGTGTACTTTCATACGAAGAGTGAATTCCTGCGTTTTGGTTTTTAATTCTAAACCACCTGGATTCAAAATCCAGCTCTAATCCAGCTAGTCAAACAGGCGAGAGGTCTTTAAAATAGTTTGAAATTATTGCTGTCACATCTCGGTTTCAAGACGCAGCTCTCTCTTCACTTGGTGAAACTTCGGCATAACTTTGACACAGTTTGAAGATGTTTGAAGCGTGGACTCCGTGGACTGAGACTATGTCCAGGACCTCCATAGCTCATCAAATCCAAGGGCCAACCCACTGTGTGAGTCACTGTGCCCGCCCTGTGGTTTTCAGGGAGAATTTCCCACACCTGCAAATTTCAGTTCTCCCGATCTGCCAAGCTGACATGTCACCACAGGTGTTAGGATCTCATACGCTTTACAGGCTTTTGACTCCTGAGACTCTTTAAAGAATTTCCCGCAGGTTGCATGGATTGCGTGGGGGAATTTACATGTTCTGTCACATGTGTCGGATCTATTCCACGTGTATTTTGTATGATTTTGTCACATGTCATGTCACACGTGTCACACGTCGGGTCACACGTCGTGTCATCTTTATTCTCTGCCTCCTTGACACCAAGGCCATAGTGCTGAGGCGACACACCTGGACAAGAGCTGCAAAGAGATTCTCAACATAAATATGGTAAATTAGGTCATGGAACCAAATAGCAATCTATCGAGTGATCTAGTTGAGCAATTCCTTCTTTCAAAATGTCCGTACACTGCAGTACACTCAAGAACCATCCTCCTTTGGACACCTTCATGTTTCATCGCCCCTTGTGACTCTGGAGTCGTTTCATGCATTTTCCCAGAAAGACACCGTCATTTACACGGGGCCAAGTTGGCCTTGTCGCAGATTGAACTTCTTCATGATCTGTTCACTCAAGGAGCCTCTGCAGCCTGCGCGCCCAAGGCCAAACATGGGATACTGTGCCCAGAGCTCTACAATGATCTACAATGAGAATGGGACATAGTGATAAACTGAAGGATCTGATGGACAAAGAGGTCTAAGAGATGTCGCACATTTTGACGAAGAGTTCTCTCGAGCAAAAAAGCTCAAAGTTGAGCTGAGCAGAGTGTTCTGCGAAAGACACGAGAGGACGCGGACAATTGCCTCAAAAGAGCTCTGAGGATAGTCAGTGCTCTGCTTAAATCAACACAAGCCTTTCAAAACTTTTCATCTTTCTTCACTGATCAAAATCCACAGAATCTTCAGCGCGTCACCAGGCCGACGAAGCGACAATGTCGGCCATGTCCGTTCAAAGTCCTTTCAATGCCAGCTTTCTTGAAGTTATCCCCAACAGCTAAATCGCTTCACTCCGAGTATCGCCGCGCATACATCTTGGCTTTCGACACCCTGTCAGTGTGTGGGCAAATCTAAAGAATTGCAGTAATTCACCAACCTGAAGTAAATCCACTTTGGGATAGTTCCCTACCAACACTCATTCCAGTGAAGTTGCAGTGAGGTCGTAAAAAAAATTAGCCAGAAAGATGCCAGCTGTTCAGAAGACAGTTTTCTGTTTGGTCATGGGCACAGAATGTTGATTGTCGAAAAGACATAGTCACATTGTCAAACATATTAGTAGTTTGCATTACATGGATCTTTGTTGATATACAGCTAGCAGGGATCTTCAATCTACAGTTATACGGCTATGAAAACAGTGGATGGTGGGATTTAGGCACCAGAGGGTGGATTCAAGTTCTGAATCTCCAAGACATCAGCGGGCAAGCGTCTATGCTCCCACAGCACAAACGCCGCTAGAAACAATTACAGAGATGCAGCGGATGAGCAAATGCAGCTGAGATGCAGCTGAGCTGAACAAGGCTCGAATTCCACGGGACATTCCGCAGTGAGATTGTTCCAGATTGTTTCAAGACGATGAATGGAAAAGTAATTCAACACCGAGACGAAAGATGCCGTCAAGAACTGATCAGTTCGATCTGTATATACACATGTACATTTACAATCAAATACGATATTATATATATATATATTAATATATACATCCGCCGACCCCGGCCGACGGCAAGGGGGAGCGCGTCAGGGCGGAGAAGTTCTGAAGAACAACAATAACAACAACAACAACAACAAGAAGAAGAAGAAGAACAAGAAGAACAAGAACAAGAACAAGAATTTTCTAGAATTTCAGGAGACACGTTAGGCAGTTTTTGGATGCGATTTGGCAGCGTTTCGACTGGTGCCAGTCAGTATAGCTTTTGCACGTGTGGCTAAGCCAGCTTCTCAAAAGGTTCAATCAAGCTTCTCAACAGGTTCAACACACCTCGCAGCTTGCAAAATGTTCCTTGTCTAGGAATTCAGACGACACGTTAGGCAGAACAAGAACAAGACAACGAACAAGAACAAGAACAAGCACACAAATGCAACAAAACGATGTGTAGTAAGATGGTTACAAGCTGCGGTATGAAAAGAACATCACACTGTGCTCTGCACCTGCGCGCACGCGCAGAGCACGTGAACAACACCAACGCCGACACTACTATACATAACCCTTATTTCATCGCCGGTGTGCGAAGCTTTACAATATACATATATCATATATGTATGTAATCGGTTGTTTCCATGTTTGCAAAGCCAGGACGACAAGAACATCCTAGCCATATCTCACCCTTGGAAGCACATCTCAAAGACTAATCTTTGGATTGGACTTCTGGAGCTGCAGATCGCAGAAATGCAAAACCCAAAGGCTTGCAGATACAAAATCACGGCATCCTGGGTCAAACTCTGCAATCAGCGCTTCCACCCTTGAGGTGCTCCACTGCCAAAAGGTCCAGTATTTCTTTTGATAATGAATGATACTGAAGGATTCTGCGCATGTTGCCAAGTCATTGCCAAGTCATTGCCAAGTCATTGCCAAGCATGAAAGCACAGCTCTGCACACTCCCTGTGCATCGTTGAGTGGCTTTGCCACTCAACTTGCGAACTTCCAGTAAATGTATTCAAATGTAACTTCGTTGCAGGTTGGGCAGTTGGGCAGTTGGGCATCATGTTGCATGGTAATTTGGACTTCGCTGGGTTGGAATGCGAATGCTAAGTTGCGGTTGGTGCAGGCACCGCTTACCCCTGGCGAAGGTCCCAAGCCTCACTGCACGATGTGGCCAGGGAAAACATTGCCACTGACCTAGGTCGTGGCAAGGTTAGGCCACAATGCTATCTGCCAAATCTTCATCAAGGTGTTCCGCGTGCTCGTCCTCTGGTCCACACCTCAGAAGTCTGTGCCACTTGCTATGAAGGACGACTTTGCGCACGCTTCAACTTCTTTCAACTTCTTTGAATTGGAAATCTTTATTTCTCTGAGGTGCTCAAGGCTGATGGCCGCTCCCTCTTGGATCAACGCAGTGACTCCTGCGAGGCGTTGAGATATGAATGACCCGATCATGAACCTGGAATCATCCTCGAATCCTAGGTGCGAGTTTCATAGCCTGAAACACAGTGGCAACGGTCACGCTTGCACTGCTCGCACTGTGTCCTGAAATCACGGCTAGAATGTCCTGAAGGAACCAAGACCACAAGAGATTCAACCCTGACTCTGCAGCCGCTGCAGTCAATGAATTGAAGGAAAAGGTGGAAATGGGTCAGAAAAGGCAAGATTCCAAAAACACATTTCAAACATGTTCAAAACAGGGCAGTCAAAATGGCCTCGCGCTTCCCAACACAGTAAAACACAATTCATTTGCTGAAAAAAACAAGCTGTGAAGCTGTGAAGCGCCGGACAATGCTTGATGCGCCTTGGCACAAATGGACACGGCAGCAGACTTCACAGGACAGGCAGTCACAGAAGCGGTGATGAGCGTCGCCACCAACGTGAAGACAGATGAGATGCCTGCACCATACGGACCATGCCGTGCCCGAATGGCTGCACTGTGGAATGGCACAGCCAGAGTGCCCAAATGGCCAGAAACATAATTATATATATATAGACTGTAAACATAATTAACCTATTATCTGATTATAATGGCCAAATCCTGGAAGCTGAATTGCCCACGCCTGAGACTTGAATCAAACAGGCAGTCGTCTGCTCGTCCTGCAGAATGCGAACTTAAGGCCAGGCAACACAGTCCACACGAAACAGAAGGATAGAAAAATAAGGTGCAACTTGTGCAGCTACTATAGAAACTAAACATGCATTGCCAATTGCATCTGCAACAGTGAAATGGACAGTTAGATGGTTTGCAGTTTCAGCAAATTGTCTGGCGCACAGTTTTCCCCAGTCCAAATGGTCTCCAAAGTCTTCGTCTTCATTGCAGGGACTGTGCTGACCGGCGAGAACCGTATTCATGATGCCTGGACACAGGTTTGACCCACAGCGAAGGGCAAATGGATTAACCTCCACAGTCAAGAACACTTCGAGCTGCAGTCTGCTTGGCACAAACTCCTGATGGTCTGCAACAATGGTCTGCACAAATGAAGCCAGTGGAGAAAAAGTGGTTTCCATTTTTTCCTTATGTTCATTTACTATATGCATTTTACGTCAGCATAGTGCAAACACATGTTATTGTTACATCATTGCATTGCCTCAACATCTTTACAAATCATCAAATCCAACTCGTCTTTTTCGGGAGAAAAACTCGTGATTTTACTCTCCATCCGGCCTCTCCCTAGGAACAGTGCAGAGAGGCCGCTGTCGAAAACGCAGTCAGCAATCTTCACTTGACGCTTTTCATGTGCAGCAATCAGATCCTGCATCATTTCATGCACTTCATGCATTTCATGCATTTCATGCATGTCATGTTCACCAAGCATCTGCAGATATTTATGGCCTTTTGGATCTTTTGGAAGTGCAGTGCATGTACAATGTTCCAATATGTTCCAAGATTCTCTAAGCTTTTGAAAGAGCTGATCATCTAAAACCTGCGGTTGGTTGGCTGGCAAAGTCCGCAGTGGCACTGATGCTGTCGCTTTCGAGTGCAAACTGTGCAGATCTTGCAGCGATCGCAGGTCTGCCAGAGGGAATCCAGTGTCGAGTGCCGTTGAATTCTCTCCACGAAGTCGTCGAGGCGCATCTGGCAGTTTGGGTAGAATCGCGTCAAGCGGATTCTGCAGAAGTTTGTCTTTTTGCAAATCCTCGACACATGCGCCCTGGCAAGGCAAGCCGCGTGGCTGACACCAAATGCAAAGAAGAGTCAAAGATTCCGGAACAGTTTGTACCTCAATGTATCTTCAGGCCTTTCACAGATAGCTCCATGTGAGATGACACCTTTGTTCAGCAATGCACAGCCTAATCCTGAACCCGCCTTCATAGCAATCAGCGCGCTTGACACAAAGCTCAGAATGGCTGCAAAGCCTCCAAAGCTCGGAATCAAACTTTGTTCAGAGACCTCCCGTCCCCAAAAATCAAACACAAAAGCTCGGTAAATCCCAAAGGAACAGAGATTTCCGGGTTCCAATAGCGGCAGAGAGCAAGAGCATTTTATGAGCAAGTTGCGAAACGGAGGTTGACTCAGTTGACTCAGACTCGGTTCACGACTCTCTGTGACTCACCCGTCGGCCTGCAGTGCTCACAGCACACTTTGCAGGTTGGCTAAGGCTGGCAGCGCAATCGCTCGCAGCGGCACTGGTAAAAGTTGCAGTAATGCCAGCAAAGGCCAACTCAGTGCGAAAACTTTGCTTGTAAGGGCCAAATTGGCCTCTTTGCTTCAAAGAAACCTTGATATGGTATAGATATTGCAATGTGTTTTGATTTGTTTTGACTTTACGAATGAACCAAGGACAGGCTCGGCCCCCAAGAGTGAGGACAACGAAATATCACGAACACAATGGAGAATAACTAAGTCGAACATACCAAGTTCCCATTGGTTTCTGTCCACCAAAACGAGTGACGAGAGCATGTCAACATGTTTTTTTCAACTTTTCAGAATCTCAGCAAATCAAATCACGTTGCCAAGTCACCATGAGACTCACTTGAGATGCACAGTCTCGTTTTTCTCGATCCTTACAAGCGTGCCGTGTGTCCCAGTTTTGTTCATAATTATTCATTATATATATATGTATATATATATACATTTCATGGATATTGTTGCTCTGATTGCACAGCATCCTGGAATGCATCCTATCCACAGAAGCTCGTGCCACATGTCGAATATTTTTGTCGGATATTAGATGATAATAGGAGATGCTACTCATATGAGTGGAAATGCGCTCCGCGCTTCATTTTTGTTCGAGATATGCAAGAAAACTATATATATCAGAGCTGTGTCACTTCTGGAGACAAACGTGATCAAGATGCTTCCGAAAGTATGAACTTGAGGCCAGGGGGAGGTACGAAAGCTGGCAGGACACTGCTAATATTGTACCAGAGACTGTTCAGCTGCAAAAGTAAACTGATGACGATGATGGTGGGCACAAATGATTATGACGGTGACGGTGACGGTGATGGTGATGGTGATGGTGATGGTGATGATGGCGGCGACAATGGCAATGACGATGACAATGATGAAGACGATGATGATGATGATGATGATGATGAGGAGGAGGAGGAGGAGGGGGAGGACGACGACGACTACGACGACGATGATAACAATGCAAAAGGATGAAAATAAAGAGGTAAAAAACTATACCGAGCCCCAAACCACGGACCAGGGGTGATTGAACCCAGGCCTGCCTGGGGGGGAAGGTCGGTATGAGTCTGAAATATGAGTCTGAAAGTGTCAGGGAAATCCAGCGGTGCTACCTGCCTATTCCTTGCTAAAGCAAGAGCAATTTCAGAAGATTCAGCTAGCACAAGCTAGCTTTCGTGAAAATTGCATCAGGGCTTCAAAACATCCAAGAGATTTGCGAGAAGACACAGTTTCTGGGTGTCAAAACTTGCTGAAGACACAGTTTGAGCAGCAGTCTCTGGGTTCTTGCACCTGTCCTGCACCTTGTAGAAACTGGTGGCCAATTTCCCAGCTGATAAGGCCACGCCACTCACATCAAAACCACATGAAACCTCCGCAAGCAACAGCAGTCAACAGCATGGCCACATGAAAAGTTCTGGAGACATCCTGTTGGGGTCGTTGCCTCTCACTTCCAAAAAATAGATCAGTTTTGGGCGAGGGAATGTTTACTCGTATCTCAAGACGGTTTCGGGTCTTCATAGAAGGGTGAAAGAGATACAACTTATCTTGCTGAGTTCTACTTGCTTGGCATCAACATATTTCTGCGCAGTCTGTGCAGTGTCAGATAGAACGAAAGACCACAACAAAATGTCAGGGCAGTCAGGGCGGTCAGGGCGGGCTCCCAGAAACATCGCTCTGGTCTCCACGCTGCAGACTCCTGCCTGAATGGGTACCGTGCGATTCGCTGTCAGCAATGTAGTTTGTGCGGGCGTTTGTGCAACTGCTGGAGAGGCCAGTAGGGCCAAGATCCAGATCGACATTGCACTGGAACCCCGACTCTGAATGTCGTCCTATTCGTTTCCCGAAACCTTCATTTGCACAGTTCCTGAGTTACTGATATTACTGTTCTGTGGATTCGACTTGGTTTTAAAGCGCCTCTCACTCTTAAGGAAATAAAAGGCTTTGCATGTCTATGGATACACGGGATGCAGGATATGTGTACACATGACATGGAAATCACAGATTTCAGCAATGCTTGAGACAAACACTTTCCGCGGGGTAGATCTTGAAATCACTTGAAGTCTCCGAGAGGTTGTGGTATGACCATATTCTACACGGCACAACGGGCCGCAATGTGAGAGCTCTTGCCACCAACTGCTTGCAACAGCACATGCACTTTGCACACCTTTGCACACCTTTGCATACCTTTGCATACCTTTGCACCTTGCTCTCTTTATCTCTCTTCGTCGTCGAGTTTTGGCTGAAAGTCGTGCCTTCAGCCAGGATGGTCTGCTTCGCAAGCAGTTCCATGCCTTCCAGTGACACCAAAGTTAGTCTAGTCGCGGTCATGCGCCGTCTTTGCTTCATTTGTCAGTGCAATTGGGAGATGAAGAGCAACTGAAGCGCAACAGAAGTGTGTGCTCTGTACATCTCAAAGTGCAAACCTACGGTGCAAGACTCTGAGACTTCAAACTTACCCATTCAAAACGTTGGAGTATCTCTGAAGCAAACCGCAGCTACAACGAAATTAATTGAACACGAGACAATGATTGAAAGAGCTGAAAGGTTCTTGAACACATTTCAAGGCATTCAAGACATTTCCAGGCATTTCAAGGCAATCTAGATGAACTCCATTGACTTCTGTTGGATATGGCCCGGCATTGCATCTCGCCTGGTTCAAAGGTATCCTTTTCCTTGCCATCCTTTCCAATGCCCACATCTCGCAGCTGCACACCGGCCACCGCGCCATCTGCTGTGTACACAGGGGCATCAGCCGAAAAACCTACCAGAGACATCCAGATGAGCATCTGATCTTGGGGCCAAGAAATGTGGGCAAACATCAAAAAGGCAAAGCATGATCCAAAGGATTCAATTTGATGGGAAGCCTCCAAAAGTGTTCTCCCCGAAGAGACATGCTTAGAGGTTGGCAAACTCAACGGTATTTCATTTTCACTCAGCACTGTGCGCAAAAGCAATTGATTTGCTGTGAAAACCATGTTTTGTGATTTCGCACTGCGAACTGAAACATGTTCTGCTGATTTCTGCTGCGTTTTTCCTCTTATAGAATTTACTTGGACGACCTCTGTCCTCCATTTCTGGATCGGCGCCTGCGTAGATTTCCACGCCCATTCCCTCGGCTTGTTCACCCAGCCAACGACACAGCTGGCCGAGAGAGATGATGTAGTTTCCCTCAGGCGAGAGCTTCACAATCAAAAATCTGGGGCAGAAGCTCCTGCTACTGGAATTCAGAGTACATCATCATACACCATCCCTGTTTCTAGTTGTGAGTGCTTCGGCGGCAGACAAGCAGGACAACTCAGTTTCGCCTCATCGCGCAGCTATTCGGATCAAGGCCTGTATGGGGAATTAAGCCACACAAGACCACCTGGAAATCGCATCAGCTGCACATGCTGCTCATCCACCCAAGACATGCTGCTACTTTCACAACGGATCTTCTTTGTTTTGTGGCTTGGAGTGGAAGCAGCTGATTAAAATAGTCGCCACATTTCCGATTAAACCCGGAGAATTTGTCAAGTTCTCATATATTCAACTTCCGTCTAAGGTCGCTTCCAAACAGATCCATTCTATCAAACCTGGCAAAACTGCTTCTCAGGGGGTAATCAGAAGGCAAAATTTTTGGCCTTGGTGTCCTTGTGGGACCTTGCGTTCCTAGCTACTTGGATCACTATACCTTCTTTCTGGTGCCATCCGGTTCTTGCATGAGTGGATCGAAACTTCTGGGCTGAGGCTGTGGCCTCACCTTGAGGTGCATGAACATCATCATGGCTGCTCAGCAGGCCCGAACGTCTCGAAATCTGTGCATCTGAGCTCGCCACTGTCCCACCTCAAGGCGCAGGTGTTGGACCAGGCTGCATTGCGACTGCAAGTTCACGACTTGACAAAGGCAAAGGAACAGGAGGTTCAGCTTCTGCAATCACTGCAGGTGCTGGATCTTGTGGTGTAGGTTGATATAGCTTGGGTAGTCTCATGCGACTCAAGTCCACGCGCTGTGATGTCTCTCAGCGCAGCTTCCACTCACTCTTCAATGGCATCCCTCCAGGTTTCAGCTGAAACCTGTTCCCTCGCTGAAGCCAATCGCACATGTTCCAACGCACATTTGGTCAACTGACCCTTGAAACTCGCAAAAGCATTGGTGCAGCCTTCTTTTGCCACAAGCAAGGCAGGCCCATGCCATCTTTCACGCCAAAAGTAAACTTGGCGACTTCAGCATGCCTAATGGCTCTGGAAAAGTGGCGCCTTGTCATAGCTACTTTCGCAGTTTCTCGCAGGGCAAGGCGGCGAGCAAGATGCGGCACTGCATCTATGAGGCCATGTTCGGACAAACGTGCATGAAAACCTCCCCAAACATCTCCGACCATCCTAGGCTGCTTTCCCAGGGCTGCTTGTGCCGGGCTCACTCCAGCTTCGCTCACATCATGGTTGTAGGCGTTGGTCGCCTCATGGACTGCTGTAGCCATTTCGGAAAAGGTGCCAACGGAATGCTTTTTCACCACGGTGGCTATCAAACACTTCAGAATACCTCCTCCTCGCTCGCAGGCACCATTTTGCCACGAAGCTTGCACGGCTGTGTGCCATAGAAGAACTTCATTTTCACTGCAGAAACCTTCACAGTCATGGCTCATCAGTTCTCTGGCTTGATCAGCAACCAGGACTCTGGGCGGTCCAAAAATCGGCCACCACATCTCACGCAGAAAACAGATGACTTCTTCACTGGAACGGTTGGGCAGCAAACGAGCCATCTGAAAACGGGTTGCCCAATGCCAATCCACCACATGAACCACATAGTATTTACGCCCATGAACATCAAAAACTTCGACCAAATCCAAATGAACTTGATCACCAGTGTCACGAGGCGTTGGAAGTGATGCAGGACGCCTTGACTTTGGAGGGCGCTGCTCAGCGCACAAGTCACATTTGTGGGCTTCGGCAGCAACGACAACTTCAGCTGGGGCTCCAGCTAAAACCAGTGCTCTGGCAAGCCTTTTGTTGTCACGGTGCCCAGTCGCATCATGCAGCTTCTTCACTGCCAACTTGACTCCAGCAGATATCTCTGGTTGATCCTCCGCAGGAACAAGCTGCTCCTCCGTCTCCGAGTGATCAGCTTTGGTGACTCCAGGCAGTTCAGGTTGAGGCCCATCATCGGTCATCAGAACTTCTTGAAGTGTTTTGAACTCTTTGACAAACTGCGCCTCAATGCCGCTGACAAGTGCTTTGGCCAAACCACCCGGATGAATTCCAGCCGCAGAGGTGATTCGGCTTCCGCCCAAAACAGGACGGTGCATATGGTCTTTCAGGCAGCGAAGTCCATCGAATGCCTGTGAAAAATCCGCTCAAGAAGTGCAGAATCTGGTTGGCTTCTTGTGAGGGTTGCCCTGGCCGTCACAAAGTCCAAGACGACATTGGCCAAACCGGGCTTCAAAGCTCTCTAAATCCGATAGAGCTTGTTCCATCTCCGGCAAAGTCCAAGCCTTCGACGGAATTGGGTTCTCCAAGGCAAAGTGTCTGCCCTCAGGCTTCTGCAACTTTGCCAAATCCAGAGCAAAGCGCGGCAGGATTCTGCCTTCTTGTCTCTTTCTGGCCAAATCAAATAATGGCCTGAGACTCATCAGCAGTGACCAGGGCCCACATGGAAACGCAAGCACCAAGCAGTAGGGCTTCTCTTCCTTGACCTTGGAAGAACCAACCAAGCTCTTCCTTCGGCAACTCAATTCCTTCACGTTTCATCTCACCACAAAGCGTCCTGAAACGAGTGCAGAAAGTGGAGATGCGCTCGTTGGGCTGACGCTTCAGGTCTTGATAAAATTGAGCTCGAAGGTCTCCTGTCGATCCTAGTTCCATTCAGCTGCTCCAAGGACTCAAGCAACTCCTTCAAACCAAAAAAGGGGTCGGCTTCCTCGACCTCAGCACCTTCAGTCGGTGGGTAAATCCCAACATTCGCTTCAAGTTCCTCCGGCAAGAATTCCTCATATCGAGCTCGGACAACACCTGTCTGGCGCAGCATCCATCTTGCAGCAACGTTGAACTTCTTGCAGGATTCCTTTTTGAGGCTCAGGTAGGAACGCGAAACCAAGCACTTGTTCCTTTCTTTGAATCCTCTACTGATGACTTAGTCAGCTTCAGCGCAAAGGATTTGCAAAACGTAGCGTAGTGCTGGGTGAATTCGTCACCCGCCCAGAAAGTACATTGGCTACCAAAACCACCTCCAAACCAGCGGGGAGCAAGCAAAGGTTTCGGTCAACTTCGAAATCCAAGCCAGGAGTCCGAGTCAACCAGGGTTCCAATCCGGCGCGAAGTAGCGCAGCTAGCAAAGCAACCTGGATCGAGGTGAGGCTCCGGTGCCACTGTGAATGCTTCGGCGACACACAAGCAGGACAACTCAGTTTTGCCTCATCGCGCAGCTATTCGGATCAAGGCTTGTATGGGGAATTAAGCCACACAAGACCACCTGGAAATCGCATCAGCTGCACATGCTGCTCATCCACCCAAGACATGCTGCTACTGTCACACTAGTCAAGACATTCTTTATTATATTCACGGTGATTTGACAAAGCTTCAATTCGAATATGAATTCGAAGTTCAATTCGATTCGATTCGAAATTGTTTTGATATTTTTCCTGGATGCCAATTCAACACATATTTTCCGCATCCGCACCTCCTGCCGCAGCTCTGGCGCCAGGTGCAGCAAGGGATTGGGCATCGGGACTGCCAAGTCTTCATTGGGAAGCCTGGCGATGTATGCGACATATGCATACATATGCGACGCGCCGACACCGAGAAGCGTCTTGGAGTCCGAAACAAGTCTCAAGTCTTTCTAAGTTACTTATAAGTTTCTCAAAGGTTGACTGTTCATCTTATTAGCACTTATTATTATTATGGTTTTTCCAGAGCTCTCTTGAAATTGTGTTGGACATTTGAAAAGCCGGTTCTTTTTGACTTCTACACATTCTTTTTTGGCAGCCTTCAAGATCAGCTTTTAAATCACCGACCGTCTACAGACGTGTCATGTCACATGGCATCACATGGCATCACATGGCACATTGGCAGGCGCCCCGCACCAGTAGAAGGAGTCGCTGGTCACCGGCGTATCAAGTGGAGCCCCTCGTTCTTTCCAGTCAGGCAGAAGCTCCTGGCGGGAACCGGCTAGCAATGTAAGGCGAGCCCCGCGTGGGATCCTTTGCGCTGGATCCGTTGGATAAGTTGGACTGCACAAGTCACACAGGTTGAGGGGCTCCTGGTTTTGACAATAATGCAGCTTACTATTCAGTGTTGGATGTTTCAATCTTGAAGAAAACCTACAAAAGTGGAAACCGGTGTTCTATGGCGCATCAAGACAGAGAACTGAATGACTCGATATGGACAGAGAAAATTCAAGCTGTAAGTCGGTGAAAGAAAGCTGCTCACAGTTTGACACAGTCCTGCAGAGCTCGTGGTTCGAAGACATTTCCCGACAAGATGTGAGCACCCACCTCAGCACCTGAATTGGAAACAATTTAAGAACAAGAGGCGTTTGATTGTTTCTCGATCATTGAATTTTTCCATCACTTGCCAGGCTGAAACTCCGCCTTCTGACAAACGTGAGCCCACAGGGCAGGGATGGGCAGAGCTGCCATAGACTTGGCTGAACAGATGCCGAATACTGTCGGTTAACACTCCAATCACTCCAAAAGTTGCCCCGGCTCGCCTTTCTCGACGACACAAACCTAAGGAAGCTGAAACTGTGCAGCTTAAAAATTGAATAAAAAGGGAGACTCTTTGAAAATAAACCCAAAGAGTATCTACAACAGCCAGAAACAAAAACAGTTAACAAACACGCAATGAGTCAAATATGTTTATTGCCAAGCCCTTCTTAATCTAGAGGCCAGGCGTGCAAGGCGCAATCACAGCACAAACACTTTATGAAAACCGTTTTTCCGGAAGCATTTGCAATACTGTGGCAGCTGAAGGCCCAAGCTTGTGCGAAGGGTTTCTCCCAAAGAACTGCTGCCCGCCTCACTCTTCACTTTATCTACGTAACATACATCATCGAAATCTCCTACGTCCTTTACATCACCTACATCTTCCACACCATCTTCTACACCGTCTTCTCTACATCTACACCATCATCATCTTCTTCTTCATCCTCATCATCATCATCATCGTCGTCATCATCATCAACAACATCATCATGATCATGATCATGATCATCATCATCATCATCATCACCATCCTCATCTACATCTACATCTACATCTACATCACCTACATCTTCTAATCTGCCTTACCTTACATCACGTACAACTTCATCCTCATCACCTACAACATAGACAACTTCACCTACATCAGCTACAGGTGATCAACTTCTAGGTAACTCCTACAAAACTTGACCAATGTCATTTACACGGGAGTTGACTTGCAGGTGATCCACTTCTAATTGAACTCCTACAAAACTCCTGCAAGGTCATTTGCACAGAAATTGTCACACAGGAGTTGCTACACAGGAGCTCAGCTAACTTCCGGGTGGTCAAATTGTATCTAAACCCCTGCAAAATCAGACGTCTCCAGTTCTTCTATTTCTCTCTGGCGGCAGGAACAGCCAGGCGGTGGCTTACGAAATGTTACCCCTTGCGGCGTGTCGGACACATGCGAATCTTCTTTGCCCGCAGCAACCGTCTGCGGAGATCGTGCGTGTCGGATGCCCAAACATGTGGTGGAATGTGAATTTCTTTTGGGCACGGGCAACCCTCCGCAGAGATCGCGCAGGTCGGACGTCCAAACATGTGGCAAAATACAAATTTGGCGTGGCCCAGCGCAGCCCCTCTGCATGAAGGTCCACCGTCAAAAACCGGTGTAAAATTGTGATTTTTGAGAGTTCAGGTGCAAGCGTGGCATGACAGGCAAACGGCAATAACTGTGGAAAAGTGCGATTTTTTAACGTCAGATGCAAACGTTCAAGAATTGGTGTAAAATTGCGACTTTATCCATGTTGAAACATCAGGCACAACCGTTTCGCGCAAAAATAAAAGTTGTGTAAAAATGCGCTTTTACAAGACCAGGCGCGACTCTTTCACGCAAAATGATTGCCCAACGTCAAAAATTGCGATTTTCCAACGCCAGATCTATGCAACCCTTTCGTACGTAATGATGGCCGAAAGTCAAAAACTTAAGTAAAATTGCGATTTTTGGAAGCATGTAAAAGCTGCTCTGTGGAATCGGTTTTTCTGTCTGTGTGTAAAGTAAAGGCTTCTCTGTGTAAAAGCTTCTGTGCGTAAACGCCTCCGTGTGTACAAGCTTCTCTGTGTAAAGGCGTCTGTGTGTAAAAGATCCTGTGCGTAAAAGCTTCTCTGTGTAAAAGCTTCTGTGGAAAAGCTTCTGTGTGGAAGAGCTTCTGTGTGTAAAAGCTTCTGTGTGCAAAGGGTTCGCTGTGTAAAGTCTTCTCTGTGTCAAAGCTTCTGCGATTCTCCGAAAAAAATCTCTGTGTAAAAGCTTCTGTGTGCAAAGGCGTGTATATGTCAAAGCATCTCTGTGTAAATGCTTCTGTGTGTAAAGGCATCTGTGTTCAAAAGCTTGTGTGTAGACGCATCTGCCGTATCTGTGTGAAGAACTTTTGTGTAAATGCCTCTGTGTGTGTCAAGACTCCTCTGTATAAAAGCTTGGGCATCTGCGGGTTCAAGTTTCTGTGTGTATAAGATTGTACAAACTGCTCTGTCCAAAGGCCTCTCTCTGTGTAAAAGCTTCGGTGTGTAAAAGCTGCTCTGTGTAAACCCTGCTCTGTGAACAAGCTTCCATTCGTAAAAGCATCTGTGTGTAAAAGCTCCGTGTGTAAAGGCGTGTGTGTGTGTAAATGCCTCTGTGTATAAAAGATGCTCTGTTTAGACGCTTCTCTGTGTAAAGCTTCTGTGTGAAAACCTCTGTGCGTAAAAGCTTCTGCGTGTAAAGGACTCTATGTGTAAAAGTGTTTGTGTAAAAAACCTTCTTTGTGTAAAGGCGTCTGTGTGCAAAAGCTGCTCTGTGTAAAAGCGTCTGTGTGTAAAAGCTGCTCTGTGTACAAGCATCTGCGTGTGTCTGTGCAAAGGCGTCTGTGTGTAAAAGCTTCTGTGCGTAAAAGCTTCTCTGTGTAAAGGCCTCTCTGCGTCAAAGCTTCGGTCTGTAAAAGCTGCTCCGCGAAAATGCTGCTCTGTGAAAAGAAACCCGTGTGTAAAAGCTGGTCCGCGCAAAAAAGTCTCTGTGTGAAAGCTGCTGTGTGTAAAACCGTTCGTGCGCAAAGTTCCTTCCCGCTGGAACCTGAACCTGTTCTTGGGAACCTGTTCTTCGAACCCTTGCTTGGGAACCTGTTCTTGCAGTGGAAACCTTGCTTGGGAACCTGTTCCCAAGGACCTTGCTTGGTAACCGTGCTACCCTGCATGGAAACCTGCCCTTGGAACCCTTGCTTGGGAACTTGAGGCACTGTTCTTGGAACCCTTGCTTGGGAACCTGGTCTTGTGAACCTTGCTTGGAAACCTGTTCCAAGGAACCTTGCCTGGAAACCTGTTCCAAGGAACCTTGCCTGGAAACCCCTTGCTTGCGAACCTATTCTGTGAAACCTTTTTCGCAACCTTTTCTTGGAAACCTGTTCCTGGGAACCTTGCTTGGGAACCTGTTCCTGGGAACCTTGCTTTCTTGGGAACCTTGCTTGGCAACTGTTCCTGGAACCCTTGCTTGGGAACCTTGCCTGGGAACCTGTTCCTGGGAACCTTGCTTGGGAACCTTGCTTTGGGAATCTTGCTTGTGAACCTGTTCTTGGGGGATGGCTGAATACCCCAAGCTTATGCTGTTGGGAAAACCTGTTCCTGGAAACTTTTGCTTGGGAACCAGCTCTTCCTGGGAACGCTTGCTTGAGAACCTGTTCCTGCGAGCCTTGTTGCTGCTTGGAACCTTGCTTGGAAACGGTTCCTGGGACCTTGCTTGGGAACCGTTTTTGGGAACCGCACTTGCAAGCGGTTCCTGGGAACCTAACCTTGCTTGGAACCTCTTCCCGGATACCTGCTTGGGAGCCTCTTCCTGGGAACTTGCTTGGGAACCTCTTCCTGGGAACCCTTGCTTGCGAACCTCTTCCTGGGAACCTTGCTCGAGAACCTCTTCCTAGCAGCCTTGCTTGAGAAGCTGTTCCTGGAAACCTTGCTTGGGAACCTGTTCCTGGAAACCTTGCTTGGGAACCCTTGCTTGGGAACCTTTTCCGGGAACCTTGCTTGGGTGTGAACTCTTACTTGTGAACCTGTTCTTGGGAACCTAATTTGGGAACCTGTTGCTGGGAACCTCTTCCTGGGAACCTTGCTTGAGAACATGCTTGGGAACCTTACTTGTGAACCTGTTCTTGGGAACCTTGTTTGGGAACCTGTTGCTGGGAACCTTGCTTGGGAACCTTGCGCGGTGCGGATTTGGCTGCTCCGACCTGCTTCCGAGACCTTTACTATGGCTGAAGACCACAAGCTTACGCTGTTGGGAAAAACAAGATGGAAGCCGCGAACCCGAATGTATTCACGTTCTTGGAGTACACGTGAAAACCTCTGCAATAGGAAAACGAACCTTTTTTTTCATGCATCGTGCGCGCATATCGTCTCAGCGAAGGCACCTGATCAACAGGTCACAAAGAGACAACTAACGCACAAAGACACGCATGGAAAACATCGCTTGAAGACAGTACATATTTCCCCTGTTACCAGTCTGCAGTGTGGAGTGGAAAGTGTAGAGTGTGGAGTGTGGAGTGTGGAGTGGAAAGTGTAGAGTGTGGAGTAGTGTGGAGTGTAAAGTGTGGAGTGGGGAGTGTAGAGTGCGTAAAGTGTAGAGTGTGGAGTGTAGAGTGCAAAGCGTAAGACGTCCCAGTACTACTTTGTACTACAAAGCTTGCACAAAGCACTTCCCAGTACCACTTTGTACTACAAAGCTTGCACAAGGCACTTCTCAGTGCTACTTTGTACTACAAAGCTTGCACAAAGTACGTCCCAGCACTAGTTTGTACGACAAAGCTTGCACAAAGCACGTTCCAGCGCTACTTTGTACTACAAAGCTTGCACAAAGTACTTCCCAGCACTACTTTGTACTACAAAGCTTGCACGAAGTCGTTCCCACTACTATTTTGTACTACAAAGCTTGCACAAAGCACTTCCCAGTACTTTGTACTACAAAGCTTGCACAAAGCCCTTCCCAGTACTACTTTGCACTACAAAACGAGCATTTCGTGCGAGACTTCCTCCAATGTTGACACTTTCGACACGTCATCAAACAGGTTGGAATGTCACAAAGTGCCACGCCTGCCGCGCAAAACGACATGACCACCTGCAGCTTCCCCCATAGACACGGAATGAACGGCGCCACGACGACGCGACGACAACGCGACGAGCCACTGGAGGACATACATACCATACATTACATTACATTACATTACATTACATTACATTACATTACATACATGACATGACATTACATACATGACATGACATGACATGACATGACATGACATACATGACATGACATGACATGACATGACATGACATGACATGACATGACATGACATGACACTACACTACACTACACTACACTACACTACATTACATTACATACATTACATGCATTACATACACACACAGACAGGCAGACATACATACCATACCATACCAGAGCATAACATTACCTTACCTTACGTTACGTTGCGGTAAGGTACGTTACATACGTACGTACCGTACGTACATATGTATGCATGCATGCATGTATGTCTGTATGTATACATGTGTGTGTGTATGAATGTATATATATATGGGTAAATTATAATATTTCACCAACCTGAATTAAGGCCATTTGGGTGATTTCCAATACTAACTATGATTTCCAGTGAGGTCGCAGTGAGGTCGTTATAATTTACCCAGAAATAATACATATATATATAGATTTGTCTCTCTTTTTCTATATCAATCTACACAGGTCATTTTTCTGAGGGCCCGCACGTTGAGCTCTTGTCCAAGGGCCTCTGCCCGCTGCTTAGCGCGAATGGCGGCTGCCAAACCAGCAGGGCCAGCTGGCACGCAGTGGATCGCAGTGGAAGTTGCAACGTTCCATCGTTTTTCAAAAACACCTAAATCTCACAGCTCAGGACTTGTCCCTGCTAAATACACAGGAACAGTGGACTTGTCCCTGCTAAATGCAATCGCAGTAGATCTTGCCTACCATTCTTTCTCACCCGAATCCAAACAGACCCAGACCCAGGACCATTGACCCAATCTTGCAAACAGCAGTGTTTCAGGATTGCAGGATTATGTTCTGGCTTTGGGCTTGGCAACGCACCACTCCCAGAGCCACAAGACCCACTGGGACCCAGTTGAAACCAAACAGGCAGTGTTGAAAAAAGGAATTTCGGCCTCCCACGACCAGGAGATCAAACCTTGGCAGAGAAATCTTCAAACACCGGACTATGGGAAAATCTGACTGCGTTCTGGGATCTCTTACAGATTCTCTTTAAAAAGGTCTGTGTCAGTCTCTTCAGTATTTTATGGTCATTTTGATCAATTTTGCAGCTCTTTCATTCATGGCTGTTCGCATTGCCGGCGGGCACCGTAATTCCTAATCCTGGCAAGCCACTCCATCGACTCTCGTGAGACGCTGAAGTTTCGGAAACCGCGTCGTTTTGCCTCGCAGGACAAGGCAAGTCCCAGGTTTTGCTGAGTTTCAAGATGTTCCTTCAACATCTTCAACAAGTCACAGATCCTTGCAGGCATTTACATGCACCTCAAACGGCTTAGGAGCATATTGGGTAAACATCTGTACAAGTACAGTAGTTTTGAACATGCTTGGTGACCACTTCAGACCGATTTATGCCACCAATGCAATGTCTGCATCAGGATTTGTGCTCATTGTGTGAGTCTTCAATAGTGACAATAGGATGACAATAGTTTGCATGTGTGTTTGGTCTTTCACTTGTGCCAGGTGCCGTGCTGGTAGCAAGCAGCTGGCATTTGGCAGCCTAGCTCCACAAACGGCAAAGAACAAAAGATTGACCCCTTGCGGGTCAGCTTGAGATGAGCCAACAAGCCTGTCCGGCCGAAATTGCTTAAGAATCCCACCCTGGGTGGTCGTTGAGATCCCAAAGCTTCTCATATCTAAACGGGTGGAAAAAGCACAGTAAGCACACGAGAGCTTTGGATGCTTTGGATGCTTTGGATGTTTTGGATTCTGGTGCCGCTCCACTTCCTTTAGTTTTTGATGTTGTTCAGATCCAGCCTCCGCAACGCAGGCCACAGCATCCTGGTTTGTTGCCGATGATCCCAGGATATCCCGTTGCCGACGGCGCATTCCAAGTGCAGAAATCCTTTCCTTTCAGCTTTGACAGCTTTGAATTCCACTTGTCTATGGTTTTCGATATCTGCCGAGCCTTTCACCGAAAAAACGAAACCTTTCAGTCCTTTGAGTCCTTTGAGTCCTTTGAGTCCTTTGAGACCACCGTATTAAAGGGAGGTGTCGACACAGCGATCCCGGGGCTGGCCTCTCCACTCCGCAGCCCTCTGCTGACGATTCAAGCTAACACTGCTGTGAGCCGGTGCCAGTGCGGCTCAAATCAACACAAAGACCCAATGAAGACTTCAATGAAGTCACGAATGAAGTGCAATGAAATGGAAAAGCACGTGGGGAGAAGAGTTGTCAGCTGATGTCAGCTGTTACTGTAGAAGATACGTGACAAGTGCAATTGTGAAGCGATTTTCAGGATTTGCATGAAGGAAGCTTGAAGATGAAACTTTCTAGCACAGGACAGAAAGAAAAACACAACAATTCCTGAGGTTTTTTATGACCTTGGTGACCTTCACCCAAATGCAAGGGTTGCAATACAAAGAGGATCCGGATGAATCCGGAGAACAAATGTCTGAATATGTCTGATTTAAGATGGAATTCCTAAACTTAGACTCCGAAAGACAAAGGCGCTAGTGGGCTGCTCAGTGTAACCCCGTAGACTCTACGGATCTCGGCGTGTTCGAGACTCTTTGCAGTCCACTTCTGTGACACGGATTTACTCTAAAGAAACGGTGCAAGACTAGGATCTATTGACAACATTTGACAACGAAAATGGCTGCAGTTGGTCCATTTGAGGCACCCAGCGCATCTGTTGAAGGCTGGTCCTCTTCGAAGTGTCCTCTAGCCTACAAGGATCAGGTCCTTCAAGTGGGAAAAATATAGAAATGTGGAGGTTTCACAGAGCTCCAGAGAGGATGTTAGAATGAAAATGATTTTTTAAAATTTAAAATAATTTTGAAAGGACCGAAATGACCAAATGAATGCGTTCATGTGGTTTGGCTTTAGGAAGCAAAGTAGCCAGCACTGCCAGTGCATTCCAAAGCTTGATTGACTCTTGAGACACTCACAGCTCTGAAAAGTGAAAACCATGTTCCTGCACAAGATTTCTGTTTAGTTCAATGTGTCGAAATAGTTCAACCAAACCATTGAACAATTGAACTGTTGTTATTAGTTGTTATTAGTTGTTGTTGGCGCAGGAACTGCGCTTGGTCTCTTGTACACTTGGGCTGCAACTGACTTAATGAAGCGCCCCGTGGAGCCTTGGGTAGTCGTTGATTCAAAGTCGAGAGATGTCGAGAGTCTCTCAGATTGGAATGCCATTGGGCCATGGAATGACTATCACAATGATCACAAGATCGACATGCAAAAATCTCCGCCGTGAAAAAAATCTTGCGAAAATTATCCCGAAATGTCTTTCACTGGGTTTCCAGCTGGGATGATCTTGCTTCTGTTGCACATCTGCGCACAGAAAATGCAGCTGATGGAGAGAAAACTACCAAATGATCAGGATTCCAAGAGATGTCCCTGTGGTTCCATCTATTCCAAATTATTCCAACAAGGTGCTCAATAAAACCCTAGAGATTTTATTAGAAATATCTTGTTTGGCCAATCCCCTCCTCCTCTGATTTCAACAAAGCCCAACAGGCATCAGCAGTGCCATGAGAGCAATGACTGCAATGACTTGCCGTGTCTTGCCGCAACTGAGGCTCTGACAAGGAAGAAAGTCACATTCATTAGATCACACGCGGACAATGGTAAGACCTTGGTCTTGGATCTCAGAAGGTTTCAGAAGGTCTCAGAAGGTGTCAACCAGTGATCTATTTTCTGTTCCAAAGCTGTTTTCCTCGCTGTTTTTCTTGAACTCTGGGTTTGGCACCAGCTTGGCACCGCGAGTCAAAGGTTCCGTCCCCGAATTGTTGGCTTGCAATCTCTCCTCTGCTCTGGCGAACCTCAAAGCTGGGGCAGGTCAACTTCTCGTCCACAGTACATCACAGTGCGTCCTCAGCATCCTCAGCATCCTCATACCGTTCCGGTATCAATACATCGATCATCGAAGTATCTTCTCATGCCATGCACATCGAAGCACATGGCAGTGCATCGCCTTCTTTTAAGACACTACGCCCGCTATGCGTATGCGAGGATGCAATAGTATTGATATTGATTCAATGGCATTCATTCATGTATGTTATGTATGTTATGTATGTGATGTGTATGTGATGTGTATGTGATGTATGTGACACTGTGTGGCTATGAAGTGCACTCCCTGCACCCCCAAAGCATGTGCTGGGTCATCCCTGCGCAGATTGCTCGTCATTAGTGGTGGCGGCAGGGTTCTGCATCCATTCTACCTGTGACATGTCCGGCCCAAAGCAAAAGGGCTCTCAAGAGCCAACTTGTAATGTGACTGCTGAAGCTTCCACTACAGTGTCACTACAGTTCCGAGACATTCTTTTTGCTCATGTCACTGATTGTCACCAATTCTCACCTTGTCACTGCATTTTTGCATTTTTGGAGGACTCTTGACTCTTGATGGTTCCCCAGCTGTTGCAAAGCCCTTTCCGATCACAACCGGCCACAACCCACACCTCAATTCCAGTGCGCAAGATCTCGACTGCCTTTTGCATACGACTGAATATGTCGAAAGAGAGAATGGATCTGAGAAAAACTAAGGAATGAAATGGCATGAATGAAACATAATGAAACATTCCGAATAGTAGCCTTAGTAGCAGAACACTTCGGAATCTTAGTAAGTCTTAGTACTCTTCAGGAGTCCAGTGTGTCCAGCTCCGAATTCGACAAAGAATCGGACTTGGGCGACTTGGGTTTGGGACAGAGAAAGGATTGGTGGAAGTCGTGGAAGGCGTGGGCTGCATGGAGTTTTCCGCTTCGACATTCCCCAAGTGGCACACTCCAAGTGGCCTCCAAGTACATTCCCCAAGTGGCCTGGTTGGGGATCGAGTGTGGTGACGTTGTCAGCTTGGCGCGGAAGACATAAATCAGTTCCTGCCGGCAGTGAGTCCAGCGCGCACATGCACACGAGGCACACGAGGCACACGAGGCACACGCGGCACAGTCTATGTGGACCAAAAGGAAATGGATGAAAACGCTTTTTTGAAACCTGAAAAAATGTTGAAAAGGATGGAAAAAAATGCGGAGCAAGGATGCAACCTGGTATGGAGGACAAAATCATGAAGCCCTGAAACGTGTTTGAAAGTGAAATCTTCTTGAAACCTGCTTCAGTGTCCCGAACGGATTCATCAGTATTGATCTTTTCCCTTCTAAGTTGAAGTTGAGAAGCTGATAGTTTTTTGAAAGACGTTGACACTGTTGACACGGTTGACACGGTTGGCACGGCGCCTCAGCGATCTTGGTGTTTGCAGCTAAGATTTCCAGGTTCACCTTGCTAGGAAGGTCTGGGCAAAGCCTCGGGACTCGACTTCCGACGCCATCGAGTGATTTTCATCACTTCCAAAAAAGACAAAAGAATCACAAGGCTGATCCGCGGCGAAATTACAAATTAAAAACGATCAAGTTAGACATGTTAGACTTCTTATGACTTCTTTGGATAAGACAAGCTTTGCGCTTTGCTTTGCTCAGCTCCAGACGTCTCCCGCTCCTGGGCGATAAGTTCTTCAGCAAAGTTCTTTGACTGAACCTCAGAGCCCGAGCCAACAGAGCACCCCACAATTTGCCAAAATGTCAAGTGGGAGATGAAAACATGAAAACCATACTCAATAAGAAACAAGAAGGAACAACAAGAAACAAAAAACACAAGAAATTGGAGGGAGACTTGTTCAGTTTTTTTGGTCTCCACACGGTTTCTGCTGTCCATGACTTGTAAAAAGCCCTGAGCTTCAAGCCACTGCTGTCGAATCGAGTGCTACTTTCCTGCCTTGCCGGTAACGTTAGATTCATATTGGTTCATGGTTCTATGGCAACGCCCGAAATCTGGCCCGATGCCGCACCAACAGTGACGCACCATTTTCGATTCGACGAAGAGATGTGTCAGTGGTGCAGTGTTCGGAAATGCAGCAAGTCACAGCCACAAGCGACTAAATGCGCCTAAATGCAGCTACCGACAAGTAACCTTCTTGGAAATCGCAATGAAATCGCCATATAAGCTGGATATGGTGGATAAAGCTAAATATGGTTCACAAATGTTCACAAATGTTCACAAATGTTCACAATATTATTCAATAAGCTAACAGGAGTTGAAATCCACTGGATCTGTGGAATCCCAGGGTACACTCGATCACATGACCGGGCCAAAGCAGGTCAAAGCAGGCCAGAATGACGCCCTGCAACTGAGGAGCCTCAGTGATCCCACTGAAAAGAACAAAGGCTTAGAAATCTTAGAACAATAAGAAAACAATAAAAAAGACATAAGAAAACATAAGAAGACATTGGAAGACTAGGTCCTAACTGGGCACTGGCACTTAAGAGCAGAGCTTTGTCAGGGTTGCTCTAACCGCTTGCACGGGTGCACCATATCTTTATTCCTGTGAGGCTGTGATCCTGGCTGTTGAGTACTCTTCCAGTTCGTTGACCTGAAGTTCTGCTGCAAATGCATTATATAATATCTTACGAGATTTGCATCTTTGAACTTGCGTTTTTTCATGTTTTTTCTGCATCTCTGAACCAAGAGTTCTCCCACCAAGCGTCCCTTTCGATGGAATCAAAGAAGATCAAACGACTTCAGAAACCACTCAATGATTCCATCTGTTGCAAACACTTGTTCTTGTTCGCCCGCCTTCCTTCTGCATCATCGCTGCTGGCTGCGAAAGGCCATGCCTTGGGGTTTTCTAACTTGGGAAGTTTTTTGAGAGGTGAAGGTTCATTTGACTACTTTGAGTACCTTACAATGGAGCATAACCGGAGCAAAGAAAAACAGAAATGGAATGTGTTTTCTGCAATTTTCTTAGATTTCTCAGTTGTCTGAAAACACAAACCTGCGTAGACCTCTGAATTGAGCAACTTTGCAAACCAACAGCAGTGTTTCAGGGTGGGTTCCGGGAGTCCCTTCCAGGTTTGGCTCGGCAAACTCCGCGACACTCGCTTGGTTTGTGAAAAAGAATTCAAGCAGGTGGATTCTTAAAACCGGAACGACCCTGTGAATGTTGGAACAAACACCGTGCAAAATTTGGTAAACAATAGAGGCCGTCCTGTCTTGTCACTTCAAACAGTACGGTTTGTTTGTCACAACACGTGTCTAACATTCCGATTTCAGACTGGCAGTACAGCTTTCTTTTGTCAGTTTACCATCATTGACATTCATTGACTACATTACCACAACAAATCGAGGATTTTTTTTCAAATGCATAAATCGAGGATGTCTTGAAAATTCTCATAAATTGTCTTCCAGAATTTCGCTTGAAAAATGCTCAGGTCATTGCATCTGCCGTGGTTTCTCCTCTCACAATTTGAACGTTGCAAGACGTTGCAAGTTGTTCTGCAAGTCATCCGCGTCAAACCGGAGAAACATATGAAATCAATTTGAAATCAATTTGAAATCAATTGAAACATTTGTTAAACATGTATAAACAAATCTCTGTGCACATCGTGCAAATGTGGCAAACATCATAGATCATATGATGCGGTGCAGAACATCTAAGAAAACTCAGAAAAATTCTTACAGGCTGCACCGGCTATGCATGCTGATGCGCCAACGCAGTTCGCATGAAGTCGACTTACCCGCATTGATTCACAATACATACATCATTACACATCACTGAGCCGACTTAAAAACAGAGTCGACCCTGCAGGTTGTAGCGTCTAAACGTAGATGCGGCAGGAACTCAACAAATCAGCTGCAAAAAAAGGTGCAGGTCCCAACAATGACCTATGGCGTCTGTGGCATCTATGGCATCCATGGTATTTATGGCATCCATGGCGTCTATGGCACTGTAGCATCCTATGGCCACAATTCGAACAATCCCCCATGCCACTTCTGCCACTTCTGCTTGGGCTCCGAGTTATGGAGCTCTCGGCGACCAACTTCAAGCTGGCGCACGGCAAGCGTGAACAAACCGTGAACAAAAACTAGCAACTACACAGCCACTCCAAGACGGTAAAGTATGTGTAAAGGCATGTAAAGTTCAATATGTTGTTCAATATGTTCAATGTAAAGGCTGGAATTGAATGCTTTCTTGAAAGGGGAATCCAGAGCCACGTCATGTCTGGCGTCATGGACAGCAAGTACTCAGGAAAGATCTGGGCCTTCCGCTGTTCCACTTGTCCATGTCTTTGGTGCACCTGCAAGCTGAAGATGCATAGACTGCAATGGACTGCAAAGATTTGTCGTCTTCAGTGTCAAAGTCAGTCAGGCGGCTGCAGACTTTGCAACATACTCCATACTGACCACCTTGCACTTGAAGGTGAATACACAATTCTACGGAAGAAAAATGAATCGTAGTGACACACTAAGCAATGATTGGTAAGCAGTGTATAATATATATATATATATACAGTATATATATATTATACGTATATCTTATCTTGCCATCGTCGCGCTATGTCGCACCTCTGTGTCAAATCGCACCCCCTCTGGCCCTTTTTGGAGCAATCTTTGGAGGGAAGGGTTGAGCTGGTCCTTTGCAGCTCCGGGCTCCTCAGCTCCAAACACGTGCATCACGGTACTCACTCTATTGACTCTACTCACTCTACAGCCAAACTTTATGCCAACTTTATGCCATACTTTAAGCATCTTTATGCCCTGCTTCACACCCTGCCTAGATCTAAAGAGGTTCGGCAAACATCTCTGTGCCTTTAATTCCTTTCATTCTTTGAGATAAGGCAGGTGTGATTTGCAAAAACTTGATTGTGAGGATCCTCCCAGTTCTTGTGTGAAGTTTGCCTGGTCAGAACCTTCATAACTTCGCCCAAGGACGGCACCTATCAAGCATTACAAAAAAAACTTTTCACCGCCCTCGCACTCCACTCCCTCGACATCTACATCTCTCGACACTCGACTGCTGGCAAAGAACGTCGTTAAGAACGTCGTTAACGTCGTTAACGTCGTTAACGTGCAACATGTGCAACTTGACCTGGAGAACTTGGAGAACTTGGAGAACTTGGAGTGCAGGTGAGTTGGGAAGTTCGAGGGGTGCAGACGGCAAACCAGCGGCCGCTGATCCCTGGGTATGTTCAGCTTATTTCAGCTTCCACCAGAAAAGTGGCGCGAGCTATTTTGATCTTGACCGTCTTGACTTATTTTCTATTTTGTCTCTCTAGCCTATGTTCCCAGGTTTATTGCATACAAATTATATAAATTAGATAAATTATATTTCATTCTGTATGAGACTCTCGTGACAATCTGCCTCTGTCAAATGAGCGTTGGCATCCACAGCAATCTCCAGTGGACTCCACGGCGCAAGGAGCACTTGGGAGATCTTGGGAGATCTTGGGAGATCTTGGGAGTACAAGACAGTCTTTAATCATAACTAATCATAAATCGGTGCATCGGTGCAAATCTTCGTAAACAATGTAAAATAATGTAAATATGTGGTGCAAACATGTCTAAAGTACCAGAAGGAACGGGAATGCTCAAGAACAAAAGTAGTTGAAGAAACAACAAGTCCTAAGTCCAAGGAAATGTGCGACAACCAGGTCAGACATAGACGACATAAAAGATCTAGTAAGTCTAGTGCATCTCAGAAATTTTGTCGAAATCCTGTGACTGCTGTGATTTCCTCTTTTTGGATCGGAATCTTTGTTTTCGGTCTCTGGTGAGCCTGGCCACATCAGTGTCACTGCGTCGCATGATTCTCCTTGGCTGTGCCATTTTGAATATACCGAATCCATCCGAATCCTTTCCCTTAGATTTCTGCAGACTTTGACTTCGAATTCTACGGAAGCTGCTTTGGTCTTGCATGGTGTCCTACAGGTGGAATGTGATAGCAAGACTCACCTTTCTCGTTGGTCAAGAATCTACTAGACCATGCAAATCAGGCAAGATCCTTCAAGACACACTAGGGTGGCGAAGGATTGGAAGCTTCAATAATCCCAAAAAGGTCTTCACGGTTTCCGGGTTCCAGTTTTACATATGTATATCACATGATCTAGGTGTACTCATGCGCATGTATCTACTACCAAAACAGAAGGGAGAGTCAAAAAGACCTTAGACATGGATTTTCTTGGAAAAACACAACTCGGGTTTTGTGAGCCACACAAACTAAGGTCAAAACGAACTGCCAAATGATTCAAGTGTCAATTGAGCTAATTGAGTCACTTCAGTTTATCGAGTCTCCGCTCGGATTACTTTAGAGCCCTAGTTTGGCCAGGAACCGTACATGGTGTGTGTGTTCTGCGTGCTCTGCATGTTCACTGAAGTCTTGTCATCTTTGTCATCCGCCTGCCGAGCTCAGCTTCAAATTTCATGCACACGTACTTTACATGGAAAATACATCTTTCACAACTCCTTCACACTCATTTTATATAATAATTAGTGACATGGTTGCAGGAACAGAAATTTTAGTCCCAAACCATGGGACTGTTGTTTCTTTTTCAGAATTCATCCGAATATCATGCCCCCAAGCCGCACCTCAACTGCCGCAGCCAAAAAAAAACAGAAACACCTGGCACTGCGTTCGCTTCCTTCTCACCAATTTGCTGATGTTGCAAAAGGTGTCAAACGCGAATTGGTCTGTTGTTTTTTATTCTCTACAGAAACCGGTTGAAAGGAAAACATCCAGAGTGTCCAACAGCACACACAGCATTGGCAAACCAGGTCTCTCATGTTGACATGTCAACATATCAGCAGCGCAGGAATCTGATGATCATCTTGCCCAGGACACCTTTCAGAAGAGAGCGCAAGAATTTTTTAAAAAAAAATACCATCACAGAATCAATTCATTTTTGCAATTTTTTTGTTTGTTTGTTCATTCATAAACCATTCACATGGTGGAAATTCCCACAACCTGTATTCAATAGAATGTTGAAAATGCCAAACATTCTGCAAAAATAACAAGTTAACAAGTCACAAAAATATAAACTGCATCAACAAGTTCCACAAGTATGTTTGATACTGTTGATGTGATATAAAATGGCAAATTGTTTCCAATTTTTGGTTTTTGTTTTTGATCCATTTATGTTTACTCAGCGCACCGGCCTGGATCCTAAACGTAAAGGAAGAGGGCAATATTGTGCTGCCCCTGGCATGTTGTTGTCTCATCAAAACCAATGTCATCCCCAAAAAAAACCTGTTTTCAGGAGCTTTGAAATCGAAGTTCTCATTTCATGGTTTGGTCATTCAAGAGTTTGTTTGACTTGGCACCCACTGATTTATTGTCATCCCGGACCACAAAGTTGCGATGAAACCAATTCAAAGCGATTGAAATTGGTCGGCGCCACCGGCATGGAGACTTCAAACAACAAAATGACCTCGGGCACTCGGAACATTTCCAAACTAGCGCGGGTTGCCTCAGAAACCTGGGACCTGCAATTCACAGACTGGCAGCTGGGGGCAAGTTAAGCCAAACACCTGAGACCCCGGCTGGGACAGTTGCCACACGCTGGAGGCAAACTTGAAGCAAAAGTGTTTGAATGCCAAATAAATCAAAAAACGATTGTCGTCTTTGCACCACGTTTTTGACCATCAAACATGTTTTCAGCAAACGCAAACCAACCAATAAAAACACCATACAGTTGAAAAAACAATCTGTCAAACACCCAACCCAACTTGTCACTACCAAAAAAATCCATGACCGCAATTGCAAGTTTTGAACATCTACGCTAAACTGCAAAATGTTTGAATGCAAATTGTGGTTTTGCAGAACTGTCGGGGACATGAATAGCAGCGATTGCACATGAGTAGCAAAAACACGGTGACAAGTGGCATTGTGGGCGATGAAATGTTTGGCAGTAAGGCGCGCAACTGTATGTCGTTGAAAAAAGTCACAGCCATGATTGGGTGTTATGTTGTCGCAACATTTTGGCCACTCACGTGAAACCGGTTCCTGTGTTTTAAAACAGTCCCGAGCAAAGCGGAAATAATGACACAAAACCTGATGGTTTGCGCATATAAATCCACATTACAAATCAAACAATTTGAAACCACGGGGGTGGTACGAAAGCTAACGGGGTTGGAGTAGGGTGGTAATCGTAAGGGGGGATGAGCAAGGTGAAGTCGGAATGCGGCAACGGTCTCACGCGGTTTTTTGGTGTTGCTGCAAGTCACAAACAGTGCCAATCTTTTGATGTTGATGAGGTTGCTGACCAAAACGATGAAGGAAACTGATGATAACAAAAGTGCTGGTAACAGGAATGAGTTGATGACGACGATGATGAGAACGAAACCGATAATGAGGATGATGAGGATGATGGGGATAATGAAGGTGATGAAGATGCTGACGATGAGAATGAAGATGAAAATGAGGATGGTGATTATGATGAGCAGGGCTGTTGGAGGGTTGCAAAACCTATGAGGCCAGCAAACGAAAACCCCCCAATGCAGTAATCGTCTCTTGCCAAGTGTTGTAAGCAAAAAAATGCCCCCCAAATGGAAGCCCGAATCTGCATAAACATGTTCGAGACAATGCAACATATATATAGATGTTTGATGATGATGATGATGAGGATGAAGATGAGGATGAGGATGTGGATGCGGACGTGGATGCTGCGGATGATGGGGATGATGATGATGATGAGGATGATGAGGATGATGAGGATGAGGATGAGGAGGCGGATGAAATATATACAAAACTTACCACGTGCTGCGCGGCGTTTGCTTGACAGCGAAAGGGTTGAGGGCGTGCCGGTCTCTTCATTCCAAGAGCGCTTATGCACGCTTTGGCAGCGAAGTGAAAATATATGAAACTGAGTTGGATTCTGCTTGATGAAAGCGAGTTGCCTTTTGACCATCAGTTCCGTCACAAAATCTGCAATTTGGGGCGCCTCACCTCGCCAGCGTTTTTTTCTAGCTGAAACAAGAATTTACAACTAGCGACGCTGCTGATGCCAAACACGAAAAACTTGTGCTCCCAGAATAGTTTTGGGTGCTAAAACCTATGCTGATGAAATTCATTCGCTTTGTAGCAAGGCATGATGTAGAGAAGACCTAGCGGCGTAGCATCATGAAGACAAGACCAAACAGGGTAACACGATCTGATGTAAGAACATTAAGCAGCATAAGATCAGTTAGGGAAGGTCAAATTTGACGTAGGGAATCATGCAGCGTAGAATCATGAGGACAAGACCGAATAGCACAGTATGATACAGAGCACATTAAGCAGCATCACATGAGGTAGGGCAGCCCAAGAAACCCAACAAGAGGTAGAGAAGGTCAAGCAGCGTAGCCGCAGACCAGACAAACAACTCAACAATATATAGAGAACACAAGCTACATAACACAGGAAGGTCAAGAACGTAGCATGAGGTAGCAAAGATCAAGCAGCGTACCGTCTTGATGACAAGATCAAACAGCATACCATGAGGAAGGGAACACCAAGAAACATAACTAACATACGGTAGGGAAGGTTCAGCAGCGTAGCATGAGGTAGAGACAATCAAGCCGCGTGGCATTGTGAAGACCAGATCGAGTAGCATAACATGATTTAGAGAATATCAAGCAGCATAACATGACGCAGGGGGGATCAAGCGGCAGCATGAGGCGGAGAAGATCAAGCAGCCTAGCACCATGCAGGCCAGATCAAAAAGCACAACCTGATGTAGGGGACATCAGGCACCACAACATGAGGTAGTCAAGGTCAAGCAGTGTAGCATCGCCAAGGCAAGATCAAACTATCAAAAATCAAAGATCTGATGTCGAAAACACCAAACAACAGGAGGTAGGGCGGGTGGTGAAGCAGCGTAGCATGAGGAGGATAAGATCAAACAATGCAGCAGCTTGAAAAAACAAAAAGCATAACACGATTTAGGGGACATCAAGCAGCTCGACATGAGGCGGGAAGGTCCAGCCGCGTAACAGGATATAGAGAAGACCAAGCAGCCTAGCATCATGAAGAACAGATCACATAGCCTTTACAGTAGTAGTGGAAAGTTTTTACTTAACCACAGATTAGACACTCCATATAGTGTGTCGAAAAAAACAAACCGCGAGCGCCATTTAGAAGTCATTCACTTCCAAGTTACATCGCCAAAACGAGTAAACAACAACCAACAAAAAGGAAACACAGCAGCAGATCTCGCACACCCAATGACTCACACAAAAATCAAGTCAAATTAAAGGACCGGATAACCCCACATGTCAACTTCTTCCAACAAGCAGCAATAGAAAGGTAAAGATGGCATGGGGAAAGTAGGAAAGAGAAAAGAGATGGTGAAGGATTGGGGTGGAGTAAGTTGTGTGTGGAAGAGTAAGTGTGAGTAAGTTGTGTGGTGATGAGTTGTGTGTGAGGTGTGTGTGTGTGTGTGTGCGTGTGTGTATGTGTGTGTGCGTGCAGAAGTTGTGACGGGTTATAGATTATTTTGAACTCCTCAAATAAAGTTGTTACGCATATCATTATATAGGGGGGCAAAGGTATTATATACTTGCTTGCTCGCAGGTACAGCTTTACCCTCGCATACCCTATACGCGTGAAAGCTAAACTACCTATCTACGCGTAACAACACAACATCTCAAACTTAAAACTTAAAATAACAGCTGACAGCAAACTTGAAACATGACTGAATGAGTTCACGAACGGACTTTTTCTCGCTGATGGCAAACACGGGGTTAGATCATCCATATGACCTGCTTTGGTCCTTTGTTTCGCATGCTTTGCAGAACGATTCGATTTGGATGCTTTTGGACTTGGTTCACAACCCTTCTTCTTAAAGGAATTGCGCAGTCTCTCCCCCAATTTTTGGGAGGGAAAACGAACATAGGTGAGTAGGGTGGGTACAAAAATTGGACCTACGTCGGAATGAGGGTCTTCCCTCCCTCCCACCCTTGAAATGGTAAATGTACGACACAACATAAATTCATCATGTCCCATGTGATCATAGAAGTTAAACATCACTGCTTCGATGTTTAGTCTACCATTGGAACATTCCAAGTGTCTTGTACAAAACCAAATAACTCAGGATAAAAGATATTCATGGAAAACATCCATGCTTGTGGACAAGTATGATGAGTATCAACGTTCACCAAAGTTCATTTGTTTGTTGTTTGTTGCTGTTTGACTTCCATTACCCTTGTTCTTTTCTTCTCAACAAACGCTCATCTGTCTGTACACAGGTAAACAGGACAAAGGCAAAACAGAGAAACTTTGTTTCACGGTTTCTTTTCTTTTTCTTTTTTTTGAGGAGAAGGGATGCTTATCCCAAATTCAAAGTCAATCTATAAACACCTATTGGCAAGCCAACAGGGACCTTATAGATTATTTTGAACTCCTCAAATAAAGTTGTCACGCATCTCATTATATAGGGGGGCAAAGGTATTATATACTTGCTTGCTCGCAGGTACAGCTTTACCTCGCATACCCTATACGCGTGAAAGCTAAACTACCTATCTACGCGTAACAACACAACATCTCAAACTTAAAACTTAAAATAACAGCTGACAGCAAACTTGAAACATGACTGAATGAGTTCACGAACGGACTTTTTCTCGCTGATGGCAAACACGGGGTTAGATCATCCATATGACCTGCTTTGGTCCTTTGTTTCGCATGCTTTGCAGAACGATTCGATTTGGATGCTTTTGGACTTGGTTCACAACCCTTCTTCTTAAAGGAATTGCTCAGTCTTTCCCCGGTTCGCTTCAGCATTTAAAGTTTGGAGAGCTTTTCCAGTTATTGGGCAGCTTGGAAAACAACGGTCAAACGGTTGTAAGAAACTGATCTCATCCCAATTGCCACGACTTGGCGAATCCGCCACATTGCTTGCAGAAGGCACTCGTGCCATCCAAATGGCTCTCGGCATTCTCATCCAAGCGTTCTAACTCCAGTCAGAGTTGTCGCCACGGTTTCAAATTTGAAGTGCCCTTCACTTAAACATCAATTGCAGTCCAGTCGTCCATGGAGCAGGTGGGCCCATTGCTTCACTGCGACAACGATCCCATAAAGTTCAGTGAGTCCAACAGGATGGACCAGCTCTTCCATCCAACTCTGTAACACTTGTGCATCCACGTGCGCTCCAAAAACGTGTGTACCTGTGTCAGCAAAAATCACTCCACCAATGGTGGCTTCAACTTCGCCACCCGCTCCCGTCTCTACCGCCCCGTCAGTGAAAATAAGAATAGGTCTTTGAGGTTCGTCCACTGTGATATGTTGAGGTTTTCCTGAATTGACGCGTGCCAGCAGGAGCTCAAAAGCTGCACGAGAAATGTCATCCAGTGGAAGGTTTTTCTTTGAACCTTCGTGCTTCTCCCACTCTCTGATGTCGGCCATCGCACGGCGGCCTGAAATACGCATCTCCGCATATTGGATCCGGCCCAAAACAGGCGCTAGGTTGGAGGCATCCAGCGATCCAGCTCGCAAGATGTTTTGGAGTTCACCTACAAGCTCTCTCTTGCGAGATTCCTTGTTGTCAACCTTGATAGCAGTATTGTCTGAAGTATCAACCACCACGCCAAGCATCTCGGTTGTACCAGAAAAAGGGGCAAGCTTGTCACTCGCAAATCTGAATCCCAAAAGTTGGAATAGTCCTTCTACACAAGCTTGAGTCGATGTTGCTTGGCTGCGGTGTGTCACGCAAGGGTAATCGTCGAAGTAACTCGACCACCACAGGTTCAGTTCAATCCCCAACCGCCAGATAAGTCTTGCTGTACGGTTGAAGTACAAGACACTGGCTGTGCTCCCAAAGGGGAGCGTTCTCATGAGAAAACAAGCTGGGCGCTGAGAGGATGGATCTCTCAGCACCACTACAGTGCAGTCGTAATTTGGAGGGTTCAAGGCCAGTTGTTTGTATGCACTTTCCAGATCGAAGGCTGTGGTGGCCAACCTAGGCTCCAAACCTTTCCAAGCGGTATGCACTGCATCCCTGAGTCTGCTCCCACCGCTAAGGCAAAAATCCATGCTACCCCCATTGATGCAAAACCGTGTAATGACCTGCAAGCACCAAACAGTATAATCCAAAGCGTGAAGGTCAATCTTCTCGCCACTACTGAATGCAAGGTTGAGTCTGTTCTCTTTCATATCATCGATCGGCCTGACCTTGCCACGTTGAAAGACAGAAAACCGTCTAACTGGAAGCCACCTGTCAAACATCGCATCCACTTCATCCACTGAGTACGGGCCTTCAAGCCAGTGCTTGTCTTTAGCCTCTTTGACAGTAATTGCAAACAACTCTTCAGGGTGGTCGTCCAAATAATGTGGAGACGACACCTTTCCCAGTAGAAGTGGTTTGAGAAACTTCGCCTCCTGCATCAAGAGCCCCTTGTCGAATGCTGCCGGTCTCACATCTGTCTTAAATACTCCAGTTGGTGCAGCATACCCAGTAAGCATGAACCCTTGACGCAACTCTTCGTGAAGTTTTGTATCTGGCCATCCCACGGTTGTAGCCAGTTTCTCAAGCAACAGCAGCTTCTTCCCTTCAAACACATGAGCAACTTTCTCATGCAAGCGACCATGTAACGATTGCTCATCACTTCGCAGCTCGCAAAGTTGAAAAGTCTTTGTTCTTTGCTTTGTCATTTCCATGGGGCCCACTCTCAAACAGTTGAAAATGCACTTGATCAGACAGTCTGGTAAATTACGCAGTTCATCAAATGGGTGCCACAACTGCTTGGCCAAGCTGACAAACTGCTGCATGCTCCGAAAAATTCTAAAAACGTATAGTTGCAAGTCTTCCCGTGTTGCTTCAGTCCTTAATAGCTTTGCCCCTGGTGGGACTCCCATCCAAGAGGCAGTCAGAGTCTTCTTATTCGAAAGAGGTGGAGGAGACTTTGAAAGGATGCTACGGACAGCTGCAAATTCAGAAATGATTTGTGGTACGCCTCTGCCTTTTGCCTGTTGATTAGGCTTCACCTTGTCCACAACCACATTTGCATGCCTTCCATCCAGTGACCCAAAAACCATATGCTCCAGGATGTTGGCGTACTGCTCGCACAACGCTCGTGGATATTCGGCTTCCTTGGCCGTGTTGAATTCACCCTTTTCATAGTCGTAGCCCCATTCCTTATGAGGATGAGAGCCATCACAAAATTTTTCCAGTGCACAAAATGCTGAGGAGCTGCAAAGAAAAGCCGTGTTCTTTTTGCGGTCACCACCATACGCACATGCATGGAGTTTCACAAAATGCCCATGGGCCAATGCGAAGCTCATCTCTGGAAGTTCCCACAGCCAAGAATTTGTGGGGTTTTCGATTGTCCATGCCACACCTCTTGAATGCAGAAAACGTATGATTTAACCTGTCAGCCCAAGCATATAGTCCGTTGGCGGCTTTCACCTTGGCCGCGTCCACATCAGAAAGTCCAGGCAGGCCATGTAAATGATCAGCATCCCTCAGTGGTGGGGGCCCAGGAGGGCCATCAGGCAGAGGGATACCTCGTGCCCGTGAGCACGTTCCGCAAGGAAGGGCTATACGGACGCCCGCTACATTGTAGTCGTCAACAATGCGGTGTAGCAACTGCTCAGCATAGAGCGTTGTCAAATTCGGCATTTTGGAACATGACGGTTCCTCGGACAGTCACTTGGGATGACTTGGATTCCTCTTTGTTGTACAACTGAACTCAAAATACCACAACCAGCACATGCCTCAATGAAAATAGGTGTGTCCTTGTAACCAGAAAAGCTCGAAAAAATTGCATCTGAATTGTTTGTACGCTCCTTCGAAGCGTTTGCATCCCCTTTGGATGTCTTGGACATGGAGGGACATTTCCACCATCTGCCGGACTAGCTTGTCCAGGCTGGGAAGTTGGCGCGGGAATCCACTGCTTTTGGGTTCCCTCACCAGTCAGAGCCGCTCAACTCGAGCTCAAGCCGACGCTTGCGGCCTGCACCAGCATTGGTGTCACATTCACCTGACTCTGTACCTGCTTCGCCCAAAAGTCAGTTTGATTTCTTGTTGGGGCATTCAACTGCCGGGTGTGGTTTCAAACACCCTCGAACGCAGCACAAATGGAGTCCACGGTCGCACTTCTGGCCGTTGACATTGGCTTGGCATGTCTTCAAGTTATACCCAAAGCACAAACGATTCCCCTTTGGGGTTGCTCCCACTGCACCAAGCTTCAGAAGTTCTGTTGGAATCCTTTGAAAGGGTGTGGAAGGGTCTTACCCTGACCCTTGCCTTTTTGATCCAGTCTTTGCTCGTTTGTTTGGTGGGTCCAAACTAGGTCCTGAACTCTCTTTGGGTGCTTGGCCAGCAGGCGCCATTCGCGGTTGAAGTAGGTGCCTAAACTCGGCACAGTTGAAAACCTTGTCAAAAACCTTGTCACACGGTCGGCCATCTTGAGCCGCTTTGATTCCAGCCCTTGTCTCTTCACCCAACACCACAAAGAATTTCTTGTCTGCCGCTTCCAGCTGTTTCATGGTGACACGCTGATAGCCACTGGGAGGTTCTTGCATGCGTACATCCAGCAACAACTCAACCAGCATGTCATGTTTTGCATAGTCCATGATATTTGCCTGCCCCATCACCAAACCTCTTCTCACCAAAGCATATCTGACTTGAATTTCTGTCATACCCTGCATAGGTTCAATCTTTGAGGTCCGGGCGAGCTTCAAGGTCCCATCACTGTTGAAAGACAAGTCAGTATCTTTCTTGACATTGTTTGCAAGTTCGTATTCACGGCTGATACACATGCTCCATTCAACGTAAGTCAGCCTGTCAGATTCGTATGCAGCGCAACATCTATCCACTAAGGCATCGGCAGGTTCGTACTGGCCTCGTATGGCCAAACCTTTGAGCTTCTGTTGTTGGATCTTGGGTCGATCTGCCCTCTCAGGCGTCTTGAAACACTTTCATCGGTCTGTTCAAGGTGGACATTCATTATATTCAATTTATATCCCAGTGGATATAAAAAGCAACCAAAAGCAAACATTTAATCATATCAAAAATGCGATAACCTTCAAATATATATATAAATACCAATAAACGCCATATCACAAAACCAAACTAAACATAACTAACCAGAAACAGAAACAACCATCACCACTGGCTTCACCCGGTCAGTTTATTAATTCTTCCTTTTTCATTGCTGGATAATTTGTCAAAGCAACTGTTTGGCTTTGAAGCAGATACCATGTTTTGTCAATGGCATCACAACCCCCGTATCTCAGATATGGGAGATTAAGAATGAAACAGACCAACGTGCACGCCCAGGTATGCATCAGTTAAAGTAACATCTAAGACTAAGATGTCACAAGTCAAATGCCGAGAACCGACATTGATGTCCTAAGTTCGAAAACCAAACTCCTATGCCATGCCAGAGGGACTGGCAAGACGAATGCAACGGATGCAACGGATGTCGACGACGGATGTCCTTCAGAGAATGCGATGTCACGAATTGCGGACCAGAAATTCGGAAGGGTGAAACCAATTCCTGGGACAAATTGGTATCACTATTCAAGCCTTAAGTGGTGTGGCGGGGGGGGAAAAATTCAAAAGCAACCGCTTGAATATGCTGAATGCCACCTTGAACCCAAAATGGCCGAAGACGCAACACAATGAAGTTCCTCCTAAAAACATCACTGAACGAGTAGAGTTAAAGTTCAAGGTGGGCATTCATTATATTCAACTTATCCCATACAAGTGGATATAAAAAGCAACCAAAAGCAAACATTTAATCATATCAAAAATGCGATAACCTTCAAATATATATATATATATATATAAATACCAATAAACGCCATATCACAAAACCAAACTAAACATAACTAACCAGAAACAGAAACAACCATCACCACTAGCTTCACCCGGTCAGTTTATTAATTCTTCCTTTTTTCATTGCTGGATAATTTGTCAAAGCAACTGTTTGGCTTTGAAGCAGATACCATGTTTTGTCAATGGCATCACAACCCCCAATAAAACTATTGACAAAATTCTTTGCTGGGTAATGACGCCAAAAATCCCCCACAAACAAGTGCAATTATCCAGCAATGAAAGTAAAGGAACCACGTTCGGAAAAGTGCCATGTCAATCAGGAAACTTCCACGGGATCCAAGTGTCTGGCGGTAAAAGTTTTGGACAGCTCTGAAAGAGCCATAGGTCCGATAGCTGCAGCTGAATTCGATCTTGGAACAGAAAGTTATGAGGTGGATCGCCAGAATTGGACCACCTACTCAAAGCGTCAGCATATTCATTGTCTCGGCCAGGGATGTGTTGCACTTCTACTTCAATGTGCGAACTGCATATGATTAGGCATAGTTTTTCTAAGAATAATGCTAAAGCAAATAGTTTATTTGCACCCGTGTTATCGGAGGGAGTCCGTACTCGAATTGGAATTCGAGCTCCGGGGAATGATCTCACAGCTTTGTTCACGAGCGCAATCTGACCTAGAGTCTCAAGAGCTGCAATATCTGTTTGAAGGTCAGTGTGAGCTGGAATGTGCAACTGGTCAAAATCGGACGAATGCAATGGAAGGCTCAACCATCTGCAGGCACCAGATGGAAAGTAAATTACACCGCCTATTCCGGCTTGGGAACCTGCTGCAAATGCATAAGCAACACAAAGACCAGACCAGGTAGGTTTAGGCCACATACTTCGGATAGGAGAAAGGTTGGCCATCCATTCTTCATACAATTTCAAAATCCGCATCGAAGATTGAGAAAGTTTACGTTTGGATGCGTTAGGATCTCTAACTCGCAACCATATGCGTTTGTCAGAGAGGGTACAACTATGCAAATCTCCTTTCTTCGTCACAGGTTGGTGTCGCACCTGTACAAGATGACCATGCAATGGAATCGCAGTATGTCGTGGCTTTCGAGAAAATACCAAGTCTTCGGAGACACACTGACTATTTCATCCCAGTTGCCTGGATCAACTGAGAATTGTGAGGCTGGCAAAGAATGCAAGTCACGATAGAAATAGTGAAGCCATACCCTCATTTCTGGCCACAATTGTGTAATCCAAAGTGCCAATCCCAAGAAGCGTTCCAGAGATTTCTTGGAGCAATGGGTTGAAAGTTTCAATTTTCGCAGCAATTCCAGAAGCTTGGCACGCTTGTGCTTGGGAACTGTGATGTAGCCCGCTCGCAAATGAAAGGACCACCCAATCCATACTATAGTTGAGCCCGGCTCGCACTTCTTCCAGGAAATTGGACGGCCAGTGAGGATGCAAATGATTGCAATCACAGCTGCACTAAGTCCAATGACCTGTGTCTCTTGGAAGAATAGGCGTGAGCGATTCGGCAACGTGATTTGTGATTTCTTTTTGAGCTGCTTTATACGATACTGATTGTAACTTTTATATGCGACATATAGTGTAATCCTATACATAGAGTGCTTTTACTACCAGTGTGAGAGTGTTAGAAACGTGAAGGCTCAGCTTGCTGATCCTGCTGTTTCTTAATACTCGGCTTAGAGTTTTAACTCGGTGCGCACACACTGGTTGTTATGATGCGCTCTCTCTCATTCCTATTTGCGATACGCTTGTCCCCGCGATTCCTGCGTGGTTCGCGCTGCGTATTTACTGTGCGTGTGTCGCTTTAATCTAGAGACTTCTATTGACATGTTCTGACAAGGTTCTTTATGTTTGGATTGTTGAAGCTGGCTTTGAACTTCAACTGAAACTGTTTGAACATGAACCGTGCCGTAACTCTTGTGAGAACTGAGTTTTATTTCACGATTACCTTTTCATTGTTTGGATTGTTTGCATGTTGATTTTAACGTGCTCAGGAATACTTTTAAAAGAATCCTGTCAATCCAAAAACATCGAACTGTTTAACCATCTCCACACAGTATAGACAAGAATGACTATATGATTGGCTATTTCCTCTCCAAGAAGGGTAGGGTAGGGAGGGAGCTCTTTGAATTTGAAGAGCTGTGATTTTCTTTTAGCAGAAGCCATTTCGTTTTCTCCCACCCAAGTTCTTTTATCCACCCTGGGGGGAAAGAGCAAGCCACTTCGGTCGAAATGTGGCCTTGGAAATAAGAAATATGTCCACTCACTTGACTCTAAGTGGGGGACGTGAAAACCTGCGGTTGCGGAAACTTTCAACCGGACTTGACAATTTTTTCCCCCGGCAAGTCGCTGAAAAAGGAAAGTGATTGCTGCACGACCAATCCTGTCACATGTCCAAACTTATTCACTGATGTTGTTGCGTGATTTTGCTTTTTCCATTTTGATTTGTTTAGCGAGCAAAGATGATTTTCAGACGGAAAGTTTGGCGTGATTCGGCAACGTGATTTGTGATTTCTTTTTGAGCTGCTTTATACGACACTGATTGTAACTTTTATATGCGACATATAGTGTAATCCTAACATAGAATGCTTTTACTACCAGTGTGAGAGTGTTAGAAACTGGCCTTTATCTTGTTTCGGTGTCATTGAGTATTGGGTCCATGCACGGCGTTTGCAAAAAAATACAGTAAACACAAAGAAAAACAACATGTTTTGGCTGTGTTGCTGATGTTTTTGATGCTATGTTTAACTATGTTTGCGAGGTATTTTTCTGGTGTTGCGGTGGCATTTGAATGGCTTTTGGTGGTGTATGGGTGGTCTCTTGCTGGTGGGTGTCTTGGTGGTGGTGGCATGGCATGTTGTGAGCTCTCATAATATGGGTTGATATTTCAATGGTGTGTTGCATCCGCGCGCGCAGACACAATACACACCAATACACAATATCAAACAATCCTGCACACTTGTGGCCCGTGACATCTCCAGCGCTTCTCCGTCGCGTGTGATAAAGTAAACAAGTGCAAAATCTCATCCAAAAAAACGGGAGTGACAGCCAAACCGATTGTGCATTTTTCAGGGAAAGCGTGATTTTTCCTGCGCGTTTTCTACTTGACTGAACGGTTGAAGATTTTATGCGAATGCTTCCGCATCTGCCGGCAAGCCAAAAAGTGCAATCTACACACTTATAAAGGGATGACATATATAATATAATTATAGGGCATGCTCGGCATGCTCGGCATGCTCCATCTCTTCTTTGAGTTTTTCTTTCTTGGCAGCTCATGTTGAAGCATTTTGGGCCGCCTTTATCTTAGACTTGGGCATTTCAGTGTCGTTGAGTTTTGGTCCATGCAAGGCGTTTCTGATGCTCTCTTGGGACATGCTGCACTTAGGCTACGCTGGCCTTACCTAAGACTCACGCTGAGCAATATTCACACCATGTTGGGTTGTTGCTGCGTCCCCTTCCCACGCGGTGCCGATGTAGAGCCGACATGTCTGGGCACTGCCTTTGTGGCCTGTCACGTTTGTCATACTGTGGTGCAGTGTGGGTTTCTTGTCGTGTCTTGGTTGAGGGCGGTGGTGTGTCAGTGATGATTTGAGGGTGTCTTGGTGGATTGTCGCGTAGATCTGAATTTCTTCTTTGGAGGCAGCCACCAATTGCAATTTGCTGGCATTTTGATCACTTTGATCCGAGACCGGCTTTGCATCTTCCGGAAAAGCCCCGGGGCAGCGGGGCGTGTGTGTGAACCATCTGAAGAGATGTAAGACTTCTAATTTGGGGTTCCTTTTCATTGCTTCTTGTGATGTTGCAGGGGGCACGGGTGTGACTCTGGTTCCTGTGCCAACAAAGACGGCCAGATGTCACAGTGATACAAAAGGTAGACGTCCCTTTGACGTACCTCTCCAAGTCGTTGACGCAATTCTGCCAACTGACTCCGGAGTTGAGTGATCTCGTGCTGGGATTCAGGATCGGTAGAACGAACCGGAAGCCATCCCTGAATATGCTCAGCTATGATCTGCGCCGCAAATTTGGTACTCGAAGTTTTGTCCAGTGTCTTCCCATCCTGCCTGGCCCTGACCTGGGAGACACGGTCAAGGTCGATTCCTCTGTCCTCAACTGAGACAGCAATTCCGTCGCAAACACTGCGGCCGCGATATCCCACGTAGGGACGAGATACAACTCTCTCCCATGAGCAAGTTTCCGAAGCCAGTGATTGCTGACATGTTTTTATTAGCAAAGCTGGTAGTGGGAGAGCAAGGAATCACATCCTTCAGTGTCAAGTTTTTGAGTGAAGGCAGACAACTTCATCACTCTTGGAAAGGTCCAGCCATTGACCTTTTTGTTGTCGTAGTGTTCTCGATCGCCCATCCAATTCTCATTTAAATCGAAGCCATAGACCTTGGAAGCCTCTGTTGTACCAGGGTTAGATGGTGAACGATGAGGAGGAGGAGCGCCCGTTGACTTGGAGCGGAAAAACCCGTTGATAAACCCTGCAGTGTATCAGTCTCTATTGCGCAGGTGCGTCTTGGCAGCGTTTGGGCATGCGTGTGTATGTTGTGCTTGCGAGGTATTTTTCTGGTCTTGCGGTGGCATTTGACTAATGCATGCTGCATTTGACTCTGGAATTTACAAGCAAATAGCTGGCTGACGCTAAGTCTCGCCTACGGACGAGGTATGAATCATTGTTTTTGGTGTTTTCTCGAAAGCTGCATGATGCCATCATGTCTGGAGAAGTTTCAATGACGGTTGAGAACGTTTTCCTGGGAACAACATTTTTGGAGAATGTGTTTTTGGACGTTGTCAATGAAGATGTGGTTTTTGGAAATCGTTTCGAATTTCAGAGGAGGCCCGCACATGCGAAGCCTGATTTCAATTGACTTTCGGGCCCCAGAAATGGAACCTGAAAGCGCACATGTGGTAAAACCTTTGTTGTTTCAAATGGCCTTTTTTTTTCGTAAAAAGTGCCTTAAAATTGTTAAAATAATTGATTTCTCAATGAATGAAAATACCAAAAACTCACAAAAACACACCTATGATGGTTTCACAATTTGCATCAATTTTGACCACACTGAGAGAGTGCAAAAAATAACAACCTGTATTTTACATGCATGCATGTGGACAGCACTGAGAGAGTGCAAACAGCAAATTTGTTTGACAGTTTCAATGTCTGGTTTTTGTTTTTGATTCCATGTGGAGAGTAGTTGAACCAAATAGTTTCTGAACCCACAAGTCAGGTAACAACAAATATCCAAAAACAAATCAACACAAGCATATGGTCAAACCTAAACTGGTGTAAATTTTGACCATACCACATGCACTGAGAGAGTGCAAATATGCAAATAGACCTACCTACCCACATACCTACATACCAAAACGAACACAGTGTATCAGCCTCGCCATCAATGCACCGTGCGGTTCCCAGATTCTCAGATGTGTTTTTGCTTGTGGCTGCACCCAGTAACAATGTGGAAGTCTTCAATTGTGTTTGTTTTTGGTTTATATCTGTGTGAGGTGATTTTCCAACCAGTTTTTCAATTGGGTAGTTTAGTTTGGGGGGGGCAGGGCGGGCTATTAACTCACCAGTTTATGATTTCTTGGTCATTCTCTGATTCCATACAAGTTTTTTCCTATATGTGAAAAAGAACATGTGATCATGCCCCAGGTACGCAGTCTCAGGCACAGCTACTACAACTTCACCAGTCTGGGCCACTCAGTTTGACACTGTGAGAGTGTCAAACTGTTTTAAGATCCAGCACTGTGACAGTGCTACTGGCTCACTGCTGTGAGAGCAGAGCCAGAGGCCGCCAGCACTGTGAGAGTGCTGGTGGGTGATGCTGTGAGAGCATCATTGCCCAGTACTGTGAGAGTACTGGAGTGTTACTGTGCTTCGAACTCAGGATGGGCTGGGCCATATTCTTATAGGACATATTATATGGATCGATGCAGGATCACACACAGGTTGTTATATGTATGTGTCACATCTATACATTTGTGCACACACACATGTGCACACACACCTGTCCAATAGTTTTTTCACAAAACACTGTTTTTCAAAATGTTCTGCAACCATCTCAAACCAGGTGCACTGTGAGAGTGCTTTTTGAACACATGACTTTTCATTGAAAACAAAAACATATTGAAGTAACAGTTTGATAAGTTTGAATCTTGCCACCCCACTTGCACCAAGTGTGTGCAAACATTGACACTCTGTGAATGTTCCAATAGTTTCATCAAAGAAGACGTTGCTAAAAATCTCAAACTAAGTGCACTGCGAGAGTGCCTTTATATCACTTTTCATTGAAAACAAAAACATACTGAAGTTTGATAAGTTTGAATCTTGCCACTGTGAGAGTGGGAAAAGAACATAGCTCATCGGCTCCATCAATGAACCCACCCGCCGCAATGCTCCAGCGCCATCAGATCAGCGTCGGGCAGCCTGGCAACGATCACCACAAGGCTAAACATTTGATGGTAGGAAAATGACCACTCTCACAGTGGTTTCGCCATGAAGAGTTCTGGCACACACACACACTCTCTCAGTGGTGCTTGGGAAAACACAGCATGTCAGCGTCATTCACAGTTTGCATGGTGTGCATGGTTTTATGTTGTAACAATTTGGGGCTCAAGACGGACATTGCATCTTCCATGACACAGGATATACACAACAATTGACATCATTCACTTGAAGATTTGATTTGAAAGCCTTGGAACGACTCAAAGCCCAAACATAGCCAGTAAAAACACCACCTTAAGAATATGTCACAGTGATGAAAGATCAATACCATTGAAAACAAATGAGTGCGCTGGGGCCACGTGTGCCTGCTGATCCTGCCATGGCAACCCACTCCAAAGTCGCCGAAGAGAGCAAAACAAAGAGAGCAAAGCTGCCAGGGCCGCTACCAGAACACAAGCTGCTACAAGCCAGGCCAAAGCCACCAGGAGCTCAACCAGGGACGACAGCCAAGTCAAAGCCAACACCTGAGCCAAAGCGTCCTGCCGCCAAGCAGATGCCGACAAGACCACCTGAGCCAAAGGACCCGCCCAAGCCGAAGCCTCTGCCACCCAACGCAGCCCCGGTGACCACACCTGCCACAGAAGGAGTGCCTGAGCCAAAGGACCCGCCCAAGCCGAAGCCTCTGCCACCCAACGCAGCCCCGGTGACCACACCTGCCACAGAAGGAGTGCCAGAGCCAACACAGCCACCTGCCACTGCCGGGGACAACAGCACGACAGGGAAATGGGCTTGGACACAACACCAATGGCATGATTGGAGATCTTCATCGGTTTCATCGTCTTGGAGAGATGGTGGTGCAATCAGCAGCCAAGACCATAGGCAGAAATGGTTCGACCAAGCCGAAGCAGAGCAGCAAAAGGCTGAGGAGGAGTGGCAACACAAGAAGGAGCTCATGCAGCAGCAGCAACAGGCAGATGAGAAGCTAAGGTGGGAGGAGAGGCAGCAGAGAGAAGCACAGGACGCAGAGAGAAAGAAGGCTGAGATTGCACAACAACAAGCCTATCAGGCCTATCAAGCGCAGCAGCATGCACAGCAACAAGCCCAACAGGCATACCAAGCCCAGTTGGAAGCCCAAGCACAAGCTGAGGTGGCAAACCAGTCAGCCATGGCCTATGTCACTACCCAACAGATGCTGCAACAACAATACCAGCAGCAGCAGCAATGTCAGCAGCAAGTGCAGTCCCAACAGCAATGTCAGCAGCCACAAGCAGAGTCCCAGCAACAGGCACACCAACAATACATGGAAGAGACGCAGGAGTACCAAAGGCGGCCATACTCAGGAAACCGGCACAACTGGCCAAAGCAGAACAGAAGAGATGAAGGGAGGTACAAGGCCGGGTTGATGAGAGAACAGGCGCTGCAAAAGGAAAAGGCAGCGCTTGAGCAAAGGTTGCAGGCCACTGAACTTCAAGTGGAAGTCGAGAAGGTGAAAGTTCAGGAACAAGTGGACGCAAAAGAACGACTGAGAGAAGAGATCACAGCACTCCAACAGGAGGCCCAGAGCTTGTCACAAAAGAATGCAGCACAGCATCGAGAACTACTCCAGAAAGACCAAGACATTGAGAAGGGACGAGCAAAGAGACAGGCCATGCTGCTGCATGATATGTGAAAACCTTTGTGGTTGTGGAGCTGTGAGAGCATTGATGTTTCCAGCACTGTGAGAGTGCTTTCGGGTGCAAGAATATAGCTACTATTAAGCAAGGCAAATATTTTCCCAACTTACATATTTGGAATACATGCGCGCAAAACAGGGCTATATATGTGCAATTCGATCTCCATTGCCCCACTTGCAGCTACCAGGTCCTGCGGGAGCGAATCGTGCAGCTGGAGGCCAAGGTCCAGAAGAAAAAGACGCAGCTGAAGGAAGCAGCAGAAGCCATGGCACAGGCAACTGCAAAAGCCACAGAGGAGGTCCAAGAGGAGCAGAAGCCACGGAAGAGCCAAAAAAGGCAGGAGCCCAAAGCGCCCAAAGAAAGTGCAAAGAAAGTGAAGACGGTCTGAGAGCAGGGCACATGCACCAACACCGAATCTGCAGAAAGCAAGCCTATCAGAATAAAAACCCACTGAGCCATACCACAGCAACAGGAAAAGCATCAATTGTTCACTTTGCCATACTGACCTAAACCAACCAAAAAGGGACTATGACTATGACTATAAGATCCACAAGCAGAGTCGGGGCCAAGGTACATTTTTTTTCATCTGGTCCAACATGGACCCAGCTTAGAGGTGATGATGCCAGGCTGAAGCTCATTTAAAGTTTTTGTATGAACCTATTTTAAGACAGAATCAGTTCATCAAATTCCTGTGCATATAATTCTTCAAAACGTTGGACATATTGGACAGTATCAAATTCCTATGCAATTCTTTAAAGCATTGGACAGTAGCTAGCTTCTAAATGCTTCTAGTGTTTTGTCCTGGTGGGCTTCAACACTGGCACGCTCTGAGAGGCTATGGCCGTGTGGACAAAAAAGACGCAAGATGCAATTCCCATGTCCACATGCCAGGCTCTGTGAGAGTGCAAATCTCATGCTGGGCACTGTGAGAGTGCAAAGTTTGCAAATTGATCTACCATCCTTGTCTGCCTGGTGCTTCCCCCCGGTCGCCCAGGCCTTTTATGCCGGCACAGTGGCTCGCCCAGACCTCAGCCAGGAACTGCGAACTGACAGTTGGATCGATCTCACAAAACAAGACACATGATTCTCAGCATCATCCCCGAAGCCAAAAAAAGAACACCACCTTCATCTTCATCATCATCAGCATTATCATCAAGATCATCAGCATTATCATCAAGATGATCATGGTCATGAGCATGATCATTGTTGTCATCATGGCCGATTTTTTTTTCTCATGATGATTCTGGCACTCTCACAGTGCGCAAAAAGAGCCTAAATCTCTTAAGTTGTCCCCATCCAATCAATTTATTTCCCACATACATGCGGCACTCTCAGGGTGCAAAGGAATACAGTTCCCCAACCATGTCCCCAATCATCTCCATTGAGAAGTAGCTGTTCTTAGAGGTTCCAGTCTCCATCCCCTAAGTCACAGTGAGAGTGGCAAATATATATATATATATTTAAGTCTCCATCCAATGATATCATCCAAACCCTGCCAATGTGAAATAGAAGGGGGGGCGCCCCCAAATGTCAATGTGTGTGTGCCACATTAATCCCCTGCTGGAAATGGAATGACTGGAAATGGAACCCCACTGGAAAAAGGGAGGGCTGCACCAGCAACACCAGCAACACCAATAAGATCTGGGTGAAATGAATGGAAACAGAACTCATTGGACATCGCAACAAACCAACTTCTGCCGAAGCTACCGTTTCTGCACAAGCTCATCAACATGCATGTTTGCCATACGCCCAGGTATGATGAAGTGAGGATTATGATTGACACAGGACCTGGGCCTTTCACCATCTTACGATTGCGCTTAGCCATCTAATCATGCCTGCGATTGGTGCTATGCGTCCTGGTTCATTTATTTATCAAACCATCAAACCATCAAACCATCAAACCATCATCACCACCATCAAACCATCAAACCATCATCACCACCATTGGACCATCAAACCATCAAACCATATCAGCATCACCACCACCACCACCACCATCACCATCACCATCATCAACATCATCATCATCATCATCATCACCACCATCATCATCATCATCGCCATCATCGCCATCATCGCCATCATCGCCTTCTCCTGTCGAGTACTAAAGTCTGTATATATACCAAACCCCCATGCGCGTAATAGGCATCACAAACTTGCATGAAAAACCTCTACAGGTTTATTCGAAACCCCAAACGCGTCTCTCACTTTCTCGCAAATAAAAACACTCGCCAAAAACAGAAACCAAAACATCTCCAACATGAAAAACTGCACATGCCGACATGTTGAACTCAAAATGACATCCGACAGCTGCACAGGTGCGAAAAACTAAAAACCGCAAATGCACTGAAATGGAAAAACTGATGTGGCTTCAGAAATGATCACATGCTCGGTCTTGCTCCTCTCTTTTCTCTCTGGCTTGCTAAGCAAGGAGTCCGGGGTAAATTCGAAAAGGTGATTTGGCTCGAGGTTTGCATCCATTTGGAAAAACGCAGGTTTCCTCATATATCGACCATTCTGGTTACGACTTCTGTTGTGCATACCAGCTGGTCACGGATTCACCCCCCCGAAAATTGGGTGGGGACAAAGTTAGGGTGGGACAATTTTCGAAGGTTTCCAAATTTTATTGGATAACCCACCCACCTTCCCTCGAACCGGGAATGCTACAAATGAAATGAACATACTCCAAGATTGGGAAGACCAGAGTGAAGTATTTGACCTTCAGTTTTATTCAGACCCTGTTTGTTGTTTGCGACCAACTGATCGGATTCAGTAAAAGTGAAGCACACAACAGGGTAGGAAACAACAAGTGAAATAAATAAAACTGGAAGGTTCCGGTGATAAACATTGACGAAAAATAAATGTTTGGTTTCTTGTTTAAAGAGTTTCAAGTTCTTTGGCAAGATGTCAGCACAGAGATCGCTGTCGTCTTTACCTACGCGGAGGTGAGAGACACGCAGGACGCGGAGAGGTTTAGCAAGTTTGTACAAGAGAAGTTCGCAAGAGGAGAGGTTATATACAGACCAGGCCTTAAGGAAGGCCTTGTTTAGTACGCCAGAGAGAAAGTCTTGTCTGCACGCAGAAACGCCCTTCTCCTGTCGAGTACTAAAGTCTGTATATATACCAAACCCCCATGCGCGTAATAGGCATCACAAACTTGCATGAAAAACCTCTACAGGTTTTTTCGAAACCCCAAACGCGTCTCTCACTTTCTCGCAAATAAAAACACTCGCCAAAAACAGAAACCAAAACATCTCCAACATGAAAAACTGCACATGCCGACATGTTGAACTCAAAATGACATCCGACAGCTGCACAGGTGCGAAAAACTAAAAACCGCAAATGCACTGAAATGGAAAAACTGATGTGGCTTCAGAAATGATCACATGCTCGGTCTTGCTCCTCTCTTTTTCTCTCTGGCTTGCTAAGCAAGGAGTCCGGGGTAAATTCGAAAAGGTGATTTGGCTCGAGGTTTGCATCCATTTGGAAAAACGCAGGTTTCCTCATATATCGACCATTCTGGTTACGACTTCTGTTGTGCATACCAGCTGGTCACGGATTCACCCCCTTTCTTTTCTGACCAGCTGTGATCCCAAGCTGAGTTAGCAACTCCTCAGGGTGTTGGAATTCCAAACAGTGTGGTACATCCAGCAGCGCCATGACTTCACTTGCATTGTCTCTCGAAGGTGCGTCTGCAGGGTTGGAGTCGCTTGCAACTCTTTCTATCCAGCTGAAGGTTGGGCTGGAAAGTTCAAAGGCATAAAAGGTTCTCACCAACTGTAACATGGTGGGGCTATTGCTCAGCCCCTTTATCAAGGCAAACCGGGCAGCATCGTTGTCCACCCACCAAATGGACCTCCGCCCATTCAAGCGTTCCCTGAACATCCAGCGCAGAGAAACCATAGCGTACAGCTCGATCTGGCAGATGAGCTGGTCGCCTACCAGGTTCGACCAGCGGTCAAGCAGTGGTTGGGGGACTAGGCCAGCAATGACCCATTTCTCGCCAGTTGCCATGTCAATGACTACCGCACCCAGGCCCCCTCGACCTTGCTCCCATGCACCATCAGTAAAAATCAAAATGGGCCTCTTCTCGCTGAACGCTGTCAAGACTCTCGGCCGGCTGGCCTTCAAAGTGGAAACCGCATAGTCACAAAGGCCAGAGATATCTTTGGAACGGCCGCTAACCGCACCGGATCCCAACGCCATAATTTCGGCGCAGACCTGATGAAGGTGACGGCCAGCGAAAAATCCACATGCATAGCGCAGAAGGCCGTGCAGTATCTGAGCCTCGTGGAGAGACATTCGTCCGGCCTGCTTCACTCTAGCGAAGTGCTCAAGTAGCCGTTCAACACGGCCAGGTTTGTTTGCAGTCACCAAGAGGCCATCCTTGATCCCTCTCAGGTCTAAGTTGCACCCCAAAACCTGAAACTGGTTTTCAAATGGTTTGCCCTTAGGACCAGTGCGTGCATGACGCCATCCCAAGATATCCAGCAAAGAGCTCGCCGCCTCGTCTGCATTCTGTGCCAGCTCCTTCGGGGAGAAAAGTGGAAAATCATCGTAGAAGACCCCGCAAGGTATCAACAACATGCGATTCATCAAAAACCACAAACTCCTGCTCAAACGGTTGAAAGCATACACCGCTGCTGTCGCACCAAACATCAAAGAATTTGCCACCAGGAATTGTGGGGCACCCGTGCTGTCGTGATAAAACAGCACTGCCAGGTGCCTGTGACAGGGGTCAATGCCCACCTGTTTGTAAGCCTTGCTCAGGTCAAGGCACTTCCCGTACCAATCTCCCGAGCCAAAACGCTGCTCACCATTCTTCACGGCTTCGGCAATGCGCAATGCAAGACCGGATATATAGTCCATATCTTGGAGCTGAAGATAGGAGGTTGAAGTGAAGGCCTGATTGAGCTGGGATTCATGGCAGTCATCTATCGGCCGTAGCTTGGCCTCATCACCTCCTTGCACCAGGACAAAACGGCGCACCACCATCCACCTGTCGTGGCCCAGAAATTCTGTGACCTCCTGCTCTGAGCCAAAAGGGCCTTCCACAAAGCCCAAGTCAAGCTCCTCCCTCGCTGTCTCTTCCAAGTGTTTCGCATGGGCCAAATCCTGCTTTCCACCATTCTTTCCCAGAATCGCCTTCCGGCGCCAGCATGCTGAGTTCTCCAGGTCTTCCTTGGTCAGGGTGGCTGGTCTAATGAGCTCTGGGTAGCAAGCCGGTGTATCATGCTTACCAACCAGAGGAACACCCTCTGTCATAAAACGGACAACAGCCATATCGTCATAGCCGTATTTCTCTAGAAGGCTCTTCCACACCAGAATGCGCTTGCCCGCCAAAACTTTCTGCAGGAAGGCAGGCAGTTTGCTGTGAAGTTCTGTTTC